GACAATCCCATAGTTTCAATCAGAGATAATAAAGCTCCGGCTAAGTTAATCTGACTGATTGGTTTAGCGAGCCTCCCAAGAACTCACACATTATCTACCACGAAAGAAGAAAAGTCGTAGACCGTGTTAATCGAGGACTGGCAAGAAGTCTTATCCAGTGTAATTGTGGTGTCATTACATTCTTACACATATTTATATAAGACCCTCGGTTATTAAGACAACGTGTCCTCGCAGCTTCAGTTGGAGGACCATCAGTGAGCGTACCGGTGTACTGAGGCCCCCACTCGTCTGACTCAACGTGTCGATAGTCCAGTAAGTTGTTAGGGTCGTGGATACAGATTATATTGTGGATCAAGCAGAGAGCTGGAGGAATGCGAGACTGGATTTCTGAGTTATACTCAGGGGGAAGTAGAATGATGCGGAAGCATTTCTTGAGGACGCCAAAAATATGTTTGATGATGTTGCAAAGCATTGCGTGTCGCAAGTTATAGAGTTCCTTCACATTGCAAGGCCTCAAAGGCAGATAAGTATGAGAAGAATAAAATATTAGAAAACGATGTACAAAAGATTTGCATGGCCCCATTCTGCAAGGTGATAGTGTACACCTCGATAGGGTACAAGCAACTCATCGCATGCAGTGAATCTGGCGTCTGCAAGATAAAACTTCCCCGGCGGAATGGTGAAGTCCATCAAACGTGCAGTGTGATAGACACGAGTGTCTGCTGCGGACCCCTGGAAACCGCTCAGCATGTACATAAAGCACATGTCAAAATCACAGGCAGCAAGACAATTCTGTGTCAAGTTGCCCTTGCGGTCACGGGCAGCATGACGATCAGATGCTGTGGGGTGACACGCGATATGCGTGCCATCGATGGCGCCGATAACATTGGCAAAGTACGGGTAAAATTTCCTGGTTTTGAGGATAGTGGGGGGAGTGGGGGGCCTGTGGACTGGGGAGACAGACATACGTGGTATAGATCGGCTGAGATGAGAATGCGATCAAAATTCATTTAAAATACCTAGAAAGGAGCTATTGAGTTAGTACAGCCAGGTTCAAAGTCATGGGAGGACGTACTTCGATATAGTGTCGTTTGAGCGTTGAAAATGCTCACCAAGATGGCGTACAGAAAGCCCAGTGACACAGGCATATAAGAAGATAGCAAGCTGTTCCTCCAGCAGCACATTCTTTGAGTTGTCTATTCCGCTTTCACGAAGCACATTCAATAATACAAAGAAAACATGGTGGTGGACGCCAAGCTCGCATCGCACACGTTCAGGGTGGCCAGTAAGGAGCTCGTTGACCCAAGCGATCCCTGATAGCGCCGAGGTATGGTATGGTTCTTTCTCATAGTGGGTTTGTATGTAGGAGTTATAGGCGTCCACTGCGATGTTAACCACTCCAGCGGCTGATACCATCAGGTTCTGAAACACATTGATGATTTGTTGCAGGCATTTTAGATCTCCCTTCTCTGTGTCATTTGGATCCCCCTCATCATCTCTATCATCTGACTGATCACCTGTGTCATCGGAATTAGTGTCGTCCTGGTGGTGCCAAAGACGCGAAAGCATACTGTTGGTATTATTGTACAATGAGCTCTGCAGCGTGTGGTGTGCGGTGTGCGACGTGCTCAGATCCTCGAGTCTGTAGCGTGACAGTGCAGATTTCAAACTCGGAGCTTACTTAAGTTTGAAGTTCAAAATCTCGTTGAAACTTAGCCAGATTCGAGTTCCTGAACGGAGTCTTAAGGACGGTTTTCACATGCAGCATGTGTTCCTCCAGGGGGTCAGAGTATATTATAATATCGTCAAGGTAAACGTCCATCCAATTCCCGATGAACTCACCAAATAGGTGGTTCATCAGTGCTTGGTAAGTGGCTGGCGCGTTACAATTGTCTTGCTGTAAAACTGTGCTAACCATGTTCCCATCAGGAGTGGTTACCACAGTCCGGTCCACATGCTCAGGTATGATTCTAATCTGTTCGTATGCATCTTGTCTGTTGATGATTGATTGATACTTTTGCCTAGCCACGCAACATAGTATCCCGTCAATGTCTGGTAAGGGCGAAGATAGCTTCCGGGTGTTTTTGTTGCATTCACACAGATCCACCACCATCCTCAGCTTCTCTGTCCCCGGCTTGCAGATGACCAGCATGGGGACGGTGTTGCCGGCACTGGTGACCTGCCATCGGCCTGAGGCTAGGTACGCCTTTCATTTCCCCCCCCACTGAGGTCTTAACGGCTCTGGGCACTTGGATGGTCTCCATTTGTAGATCATGTCCAGGTCAATGAGAGGTATGGTGTGGTTGATGGCCCTTAATGGGGGCAATCTCATCTTGCTTGCCTTAGCACATAATGGCTTTGCCAGGCGTTGTAGTTCCTGTCTTGCGCGCTCGAGGCTCTCCTCACGAGCTTCAACCATATGCGACTCCAGCACGGAGACGTGCTCGCCCCACACTGGCAATGCCTCATCACTCCTGACAATTACTCGTGCAGGGTTCAACCCCACCATTACCTGGTGCTGGAAGATAAAGGGCATACCCAAGATGAGGTCATAATTCTGTAAGTTGATTATGTTGAAGAAATACTCCTCTCTGATGTTCTGATAGGCAAAATGCACCTTTGTACCAAAGTTCACCTTGGAGTGTGACCCTTGCATGGCCAGTTGTATCGTAAGTGGCTTTTCCAGTGGGATTCGCTTGACTTTGAGCTGATCTGCCAGGGTAGATGACATAAAGTCAGCGAGGGATCCGGTGTCGACCAGCACCTGGGCTGGTCTTCCATTGATGTGAATGACCACCACGACAGGCTTACAGTGGCTCAAAAAACTGTCCGCATGTTTTGACATTTTTCACTATCTATGATATTGTGTGAGAATGAACAAATTCCTCAAGGACATACTTATACCACATTGTAGTATGGCTTCAGGGCTTTTATTTGAGCCCTACACCGTGGGAATCGGCGGAGATATGGTGGAGATATAAGGCTTATAAAATGATGACTCATGTGGACAGTTTTTTGAGTGTATATTAAAACTATATAAATCATTATTTATGACACCATAAAAATCATGCCACTATTATATAAATTATAAAGTGGTGTCATTATGTTATTTTATGACTATATCTAACTATATAAACCAGAATATCTCATGTATCATAGTCATAATCACCATGAAAGCCATCTCCTCTGCTCAAAGAGATAATATCCTCTCTCTGTCTTATGCTGGCCTCTCTGCTCGCCAAATTTCCTCTAGAACTGGAATATGCAAGTCCACTGTGGCCAAGTTCATCAAAGAAAGCCACCCAGACAAGGAAAACTCTTGTGGAGGACGTCCATCCAAGCTTACCTCTACTAACAAAAGGGCTATTATCCAACATATCACTACAGGAAAGGCTGATAATGCTGTCCAAGCCACCCATTATATCAATTCCACCATCACTACCCCTGTCTCTTCACAAACTGTGAGGAATGTTCTCAAGGCAGCTCATCTCAAGGCAGTAACAAAGAAGAAAAAGCCTCTTCTCTCCATCAAACATAGGCAGAGAAGACTAGCCTTTGCCTTAGCTCATCAACACTGGACTGTAGAGGACTGGAAGCATGTTATATGGTCAGATGAGACCAAAATCAATAGGATTGGGTCAGATGGGAAGGTGTATGTATGGAAAAAGAAGGGAGATGGCCTAACAGACAGAGAGGTTAATGGGACTGTCAAGTTTGGAGGAGGTTCTTTAATGGTATGGGGCTGTATGGGATGGAATGGTGTGGGAATGCTTGCTGAGGTTGAGGGGAAGATGAATGCTGAGCAGTATGTGGACATTTTAAATGACCACTTGCTGCCTAGCTTGGCAGAATCAGGGATTGATGAAGAAGATATCATTTTCCAACAGGATAATGATCCCAAGCACACATCCAGAAGAGCTAGGGAATGGTTTGAAGAACATAACATCAATGTTCTTGACTGGCCAGCACAGTCTCCTGATGTCAATGTCATTGAACATCTCTGGGGAACACTCAAGAAAAAGCTTCAAGCCTATGAAAACCCCCCTAAAGGAGTATGGGAGCTTTGGGAGAGAGTAGCAGTGGAATGGGGGAAGATCACAGCTGAGGATTGCCAGAAATTAATTGAGAGTATGCCTAGAAGGATAGAGGCAGTAATTAAAGCCAAGGGAGGTCATACAAAATACTAGAATACCTGGTTATTACTGTAAAATACTTGAGTCAAAAAACTGTCCGCATGAGTCACCATTTTGTGAGCCTTGTATCTCCACCATATCTCCACCGATTCCCACGGTGTAGGGCTCAAATGAAAGCCCTGAAGCCATACTACAATGTGGTATAAGCATGTTTTTGAGGCATTTGTTTGTTCTCACACAATATTATAGATAGTGAAAAATGCCAAAACATACGGACGGTTTTTTGAGCCACTGTAGGTATGAGCCGTTTGAAGTCCCGCATGATGGCCAAGTTCCTCCGTATGGCAGGGTACCTCCCTGGGGCCACCTGCTGACCATTCAGTTTGATTAGGTGGAAGTGGCTTGGGGTCTCTGCGAACTGACTGTATCTCCGGGATGGCATACAACTGGTGCACCACATCCTCTAGGGGCGCAATCCATCGGGCTGAGTGTCCCAGACTCCAGGTCCAGCAGCCTCAAATTGTTGTCCTCCCACTCGAGCTCCTTTTCCAGCATCAACTCGTTCATCTTACGGTAAGCCTTCAGCAGGTGCTTCGCGTACCAATGACTTACGTTCGGTTTCTCATTGCAGAGGAACCACTCATCTGCCATGACATAAAAGCTGAGCTCTTGATTGAAGACCTCGAAGATCACATCGTCCTCATACTTAGAATGCTGACAATAGAACCAGTCCGTGCTAGCACCGCCTGGAAATCGGGTTTCAGCATTTAGCATGGATGACACCCTCATTGATATGGCATCGCCCATTGACGTTCTGCATTGCATGCAACGCCTCATGGATCTTGGTAAGTCCAACTCTTCAGATAGTCATTTCATGTACCAGTCACTGACAAAAAACTCAGGGTTGGCCAGTAGGTGCGATGGTATTTCTAGGTCGTCCGCTAGGTGGGAACCTCTATCCATTATTAGGTGATGTGTATCTGATGTCTGATAGACCAGGAACCTCTCCTCCGAGAAAGTCTCCTCATCAACTAGGTCATCCCCTGGGTAGGGGGCATGCAGTCTTAACAACTGCTCTGCTTGGTGGGCCAGAGGGTCACCAATAGGTTCATCGGTGATACCCCATGTTCAGCTGACCGGATTTTTAGGTGTCTCATACTCCAGGAGGGCACAGCTCAGCGGGATCTCAGTGATCACCTCTGAGCTGTCCTCCAGGGCATACACACTCCCCTCCGTGCCCGTTTCTACATGCATAGTGTAGTTAGGGACCCTGGGAGGTTTGTCCCGTCCTCCTGATGCCACAGTCGTTTGGCTAGGGCAGCTCCGGGATATATGTCCCATTTGCTTGCATACGAAGCATCATCCTTCGGAGGCCAGATGGTCATGCTCCTCCTTACTCATCCATTCCTCTCTAGGTGGCTCAGAACGGTGTGCATTCAGGTTCTGGGGTTGCTGGTTGTGATTCCCTTTCCTCCCATTTCGCTCGTGGGTTCCCTTAGATGATCTTGGAGGTGCATTGGAAGAACCTTCCATGGGTTTAGGCTTACCAGGGCCCTTGTCCTTTTCAGGCCTTTTCTGAGATCGCGATCCATGATTGCAACCTCGCGGTTCTTTTGTCGTGGAGTGAGCAAGCTCGATAATCTCAGTGGTATGTTGAACCTTCCTCAGGGAGGACACCTCTGGATTTAATTGCATTTGGTACAGCTCATTTTGAATGGTTGGGTTTAGCCCAAACCAAAACTTAACCACCTTCTCCTGGTCTGGTACGTTTCCAATCATCACCCATAGTTTGTTGAGCTCAGACAGGTAGTCGCGGACTTGTTTGTCCCCTTGGTAGCATCGGTACAATTTCTTACACTGTTTCATTCGGAAATTGAGTGGGAAGCAGTAGTTAAATAACTCGGTAAAGAACTTGCCTAACCTCCAGTTCCCTGGTTCATCTGACACCTGCCTGACATAGAAGTCATATGCGGTCCCTTTCAGGAAGTGGGACAGTACAAAGACCTGTCTGTTCTGTGCCACATTGCCATCTTCTACGTAAGCCATTCCTTCAGTTATGAGCTGATGGAATGCTCTGGAATCCACCGCTCCATCATAATCCGTGGGAGGGATGGGTTTCAAGGTAGTTTTCTTCCTTGATGATTTATGCGATTTGCTTTGCTTACTCTTCTTGGCAGATCGTGTCCTTCAAGCTGGATGTTCATCTTCCGAGCTGGACATGGACTCTTCTGAGCTGGAGCTGCTCAAGGACGAGGATGATGAGGTGGATGGGGAGTCAGGATTGGACTCTGTCATTGTCATTGTACTCGATGATCTGTCAGAAGGGTCCTTGATGGGGTCTTTGTGGGGCTTGGTGCATTTCCCTCTCTTAATTTTATTGAATGCTCTTCCCAAATAGCTCTTAGGTGCTATCTGAACCATGGCGTCCATGGCGGCCGGTGAGGCACGTGTGAAATGCTTTTTGGAGCCCTTATACATTGCTTTCTCGACTAGCTTCATGACCAGGTCCTTGGGTGAGTGGTTTGTCTTCGCTTTGTTGGTTTTTCCCTTCTTGGCCAGGAGTGCTTCCTTCTCTATGATCTCAGCATGGAGCCGCTTCATCTGGTCCTCAAAAGACTTCGTGACTCGGGCTTCAGCTGCCCGGACTGCTTGCTCGAGTAGGTTTGAGATTTCTTCTTCAGATCCCTGCACATTGTCTGTGTTAGAGGCCTCTGACCGGACTTGGTCTGTCCGGTCTTTCTTGGACCAATCTCATGCGTCTACCCATTCCCTTAAGGCCCTATACTGGGCGTCAAAGTCCATTTCAGACTCGCTAACATTGATATCTCCTCAGTTGCAAGGATCGACACCTTTGCCTTTGGACGTTCCTTTGTCCATTGGCATTCCACGCTCATGGGACTGAGCTCGTCTCTCAGCAGCCTTCCTGTTGAGGATGCGCTGCTTCTCTTCTTCGGTAAGCCTCCTTTCAGCTTCATTGAAGGTATCGTCACCCTGATGGGTGTTTTTGTCTCACTCAGACCTGTAACCTTTTGGGGTTTCTTATGGTGACGCTTGACCCTCTTCCAAGGGGTGTCGTTTTCATCACTCTCGTCACTGGACGTCATGAATGCAGGTTTCATAGCATTAATGGGAGCACTGGTAATAGTGTCGGTCCCCTCATCAGAACCAACTACAGTGCTGATGGCGTCAGCAGATCCCTTCTCAGCACCAGGTTGAGGGGTGTCTGTCCTTGTCCGTACCATGTCGCTATAAGAGCGGACAGGTCTGAGGACGGAGTCATCCTCACACGAGAAGGATTTCTCAGTGGGAGACCGAACGGGGGTCTTGTAAGTCTCAGGTTCAGTCAATGGGGACTCAACTAAGGTTCCGGGTATAGTGGGCTCGACGCTAATGATAGCAGAGCGCTGGGATCACAAGTTATAGTGAGAAGACATTGTTTTCGAGTTGTATGTCCGGTGGGCCTAACTGTAGTACTGACTCGAAGGGTGTTGGGGAAAGAGTATTAAAAGGTAAAGCAGATAAGACTTTTGTTCGTCAAAAAAGATGTGACGTCTACTGTTTAGCTAATCGCTCAAAGTAGCTGGCACAAGGTGAGAACATGTTCACACGAGAATGACAGTGTTAAAGTCTGGTATTCTGGGTTGTAAAAACGCTACCCTAGGTATATGACTATCACCCGTTGTCTTCTTACTTGAGGGTCTTATATGTTATTCAGAATACAATGACTATCACAATTGTACTCTTTAAGACTAAGGTGCCAGCTCCCCAAGTTCACGGTCAACAGATTTTCTACTTCTCAGTTGATAATGTGGTGTTCGTGGGTGGCCAAAGGGTAATAAATTACTTCTTTGCTAGATCACTTCTTGATAGTAAATGAGTATATATATTTTGTCAGGTTAACTTAAACCTAGTAGGTAATATGAACCTCTCTGAACTGAATGTGGCACGAATATGTAAAATGATGGATAAAACGATAGATTATTGTATAGGCGATCCCTGTAAGATAGTATACAATCAATCTAGACTAAAAGAATACAATTGTTTTCAAAGGCAACCCGTAGGCCTTCACTTTCTTTGTGATCTCACAGTGTTGAGACAGAAAGTGGGAAAACTCCTGACTTCAAATTCCTACATTCCCACACGGTTTGGGAAAAGAATGGAAGGGGAAAAACTTATATATTATGTGAGAATGGAGTCCTTATATACATTTTAGAAACCATCCTTACTAAGCAATGAGTCATCACTGGATTGGTAAGATTATGCTTACAAACCAAGCCTTTTGGTGTGCTGAATCAGCTGCACATAATACAGTGATTTATCTTCTTACTTACTGGACAGCCCAAGTTGACATTTCTCCATGATAGTCGGGTCCAACCCACCATGGGCCCACATGTGATATTGTTCCCCTAATATACTGGATGGGCCAGGGGGTACACAGCATCCGAGGCTCAGGGGTGGGCTTACACCATACTCTGTAAGGTACAATAATGTATAGGATAGTAGTGTTATGGTCTATAGGCTATAATTGTGAGGGTGAGGGGTGGGCCCAGTAGGTACTTGCCGACTTGTTAGAATATCTCCAGCATCCCCGACATGGTATATACCCATGACCATACAGTTATACTGTTTGTAAAATCGCTGGAAATCAGACCAAGTCATGAGTCATGTATGTTCATACAAAACCGCCGGGTTAGAATAATCACCAATACCGCAGCAGATCTCCGAAGTTTTGATAGCATATATACCCATGACCATACAGTTATACTGATTGTAAAATCGCCAGAAATCAGACTGAGTCATGAGTCATGTATGTTCATCCATACAAAACCGCCAGGTGAGAATAATCACCTGATGCCGCGGCAGATCTCCGAAGTTTTGATAGCATATATACCCATGACCATACAGTTATACTGTTTGATCGCCGATACCGCGGCAGATCTAAATTTTGATCTCACTAGCCCCAGGATCACTCAGCTTATTTGCAGATATATATTTCAGCAAAGCTTGGCACCTCAAGACATGCGTGCAGGTGTCTGCTACTATTGACTGGTACCTCGAGTAGTCGGCTCGGGGCATATCTACAAACTCATACACATCATCCCTCATGTACCACACCCAGCCTATTCGGTCGCCATCCATCACATCCACCCCATGCCTAACAATTCTTCCTGAACCAACAACCATCACACCTGAATCATACACAACTTCAATGCCTATATTAGGCATCTTCATCCTTGCTGCTCCATAATCGCCGACGCTGGTCATAACATCGAACCATTTGGAATGAGACAGAGGATCACGGTGCAAGGGTGAACGTCGGTTGCATATAACGGCGACAACCGTAAACACGGATGCCCATTCTCTAAGACAATCTCCCATTTCAACCAATTTCTTGTCGGCAGCCCAGAGACCAAGGGCCAGCGCCATTGCCAACGATGACCAATAAAGGTTAGGGTGCATGACTCTCAACACTGCAGCAATGAGTGCCGCCGGTCTCTGTAGCGCCTGACAGAAAGAGCAGTCCATTCCCTTTAAGGGTCGCCGCCGAGACCTCCGGATGGAACTTCGGAGCTGGCTGTTAGGTTGTGAGAACTCACCAGGTGGCCTTGCAAAAACCATGCAGGGGACAGATTGATACACCCTGGAGTGACTCCATGTTGACTGGGATAAAAATTGGATTCATGGGTCCTCCATTTATCACCGGTCACAGCGCTGCGTATAACACTTTTTGCCAGTGGGGCTGACATCTTTGCAGTGGCCACCGCCATATCATTCTAAAATTGTTAAAACAATAACCTTTGGCGATGGGGGCAACTAACCTGTATGGCTAGATCAATAGCTCCAGGAAGATACCAGAGGACAATGACTCCGAACTTATCGCAGACAACTGCAGGCCGATCAAGAAGGATTTGACAATCCAGCGGATAGCGTGCGAGGAGGTTTTCTTCACACTGTCTTACTAGGATGTGAAAGGCAAGAAAACTCTCCAAATTTCACAATACTCCACAGTCAACGGTTCAGACAATTACCAACGGTTGATAACATGGTTGTTCGTGGGGGACGAGGTGTGTTGGACTTTTCAAGCGAACGCTAGTGATGTAAAAGGGGTAAAGAAACGATAGAAACTAATAACGATAGAAACCAATAAGTAGCACAAGGTAGTGCTATAACCTTTAGAATAATGTGTTGCAGCTGTATGCAATGAACTAGAACTATACTATATCCCTCTTGGATATTCTTTACTTATACTTCAGCAATGGAGAACAAATTCACTAGCGGGATCATCCCAATACGTGGCCTTGAAACCAACTCTCTGCTGCTCAGGATCTCACAATGAGTAATGACACAGTCCAGAATAGAGTACACCTTCTTGATGTAGTCTTAAGTGGCCAAGCTCTTAATATTTGTTGACAGATTGTAGGTCTTATTTGTGTCTACCCTAATTGATGAATAATACGTGAGATTCTCCCCACAGAACTTTTCCTGTATCTAAAAGAGAACTAGAATGATTGAAGACGATAGAATCAAAGTTGGCTCAAGAATGTGGCCAAATACTTCTGAAGAATGTGAAGTATAATGTGCTTTAAGAATGTGCTGATTGAAGATTATGTAATCAAATGTGGCTCGAGAATGTGGCCAGATACTTCTGAAGAATGTGAAGTATAATGTCAAAACAATGGAGCTAAATAAGCTAATATTTCTCCTGATATTCACTTGAATGTTCACTCAAATAATGGGGACAAAGAATCTAAGGGGTGAAAGAATGTTCCCCTATGTTCCCCTAACTGTGCTTCACTCTGTTAATACTTGGGAATCAAATTGATTGCTTCACAAGAGGGGAAAATGAGCCCCCTTATATACTACTAGACTAGTGGCTGTGCTACTGATTACTAATGTACTATAGAATATTCCAGAATGTGTCAGAATTATTGAGAAAGAACTATAGAATGTTATAGAATGTTATAGAATGTTATAGAATGTCATGGAATGTCATGGAATGTTATGGAATGTCATAGAATGATTGGTAAGATACTCATAGAATGTTCTAGAATACTCAGCAAAGGCTGTGTTCAGATCCTTCTAGCACTGCCTTATTGCTGTGCATTGATTACCAATCCATTCCAAGCTATTTGTTGTATATCTTGGTTTGGTTGGCATCACTGCCTTGAGTACATAGATGTAAATAAAGTGTGCATAGAATGTGTATATACATATGTTTGGCATAGGGGTAAATAAAATAAAGAATTATAGAAAGGGTAAAGGGTACGTTAAGTATTTAATTTGAACCGCTAAGTTGTATCTTGGTGATACATGCTCAGAAATGTCCAAAGTAAATTGAAGTAAGGTATAGAAAATTTAGGGGAAGTGCATAGGCTATAGTAAGGAATTGCATGTATCATAAATTTGCCATGACCATGTACGAAACAGGTTTCATGCATGTCAACGCTCAGGTTTAATCCTTTTCTCCATCATCTGCAGTGCATCCGCATACCTAACCATATCGAAGTTGATGGTGACTACACCAATGTAAATCAGAACTGGCACAGTACCAATGAAGGAGTCATACCTGGATTGCGATAGGCATCGGCGAGCTTGCTGGCAAGGTTGGAGCATCCCATAAGCATAGAGAAATTGAGCTCCAGAGGAGGAAGGACGTTTGGCTTCCCTGCGATCAGAGCAGAAAACTGGTGACAAATGTATTCACTAGCAATGTGGGTTGTGGCCAAGGCCCAGTCAGGAGGGATGGGATTCATAGAGCACCGGATACAACACCGCATGTACCTACTAATATGTCTGGCTGCAAAGATTACATAAAATCAGCACAGTTCACACCATGCATATGACGTGAGGACGGACGTAATGATAAATGCTTGCTACAGGCTTGTAATGATGTGTAAATCCCACAACATATGTAATGGAATCGATATGATTTGTTCATTGCCAATTTTGGTAGCTGCACGGTCCTATAGTACCTACCCATCCATCCCCAGTATCGGCATTCAGTTTGATGACAGCGCCGAGAGCGCCGGTGTCCTACCACCATTGAAGCACAATGTCACCGATAACACGTCGACAATCTGCTCTACTATACAGTAAGATATCGCCGGCAATATCGGTGTTTCCATTGACAACCTATACACTCGGTCCTATAGTACCTACCCACCCATCCCCGGTGTCGGCATGCAGTGTGATGACAGCGCCAACAGCGCCAGTGTCCTGCCACCATCGAAGCACAATGTCACCGATAACACATCAACAATCTGCTCTACTGTATGGTCAGATATTACACCATCTATGCCCTGCAGCATCATCTGGCTTGATTTCACATGGAGGCACCGCTGTCATCAAAACATTGCCAGTAAGATCTCCAATGACAATCTATACCCTGCAGCATCATGGGCCGGTTTCTACAGATATATCAAAACACTGCCAATAAGATCTCCATTGATGATCTATACCCTCGGTCCTATAGTACCTACCCACCCCCAGTGTCGGCATGCCATTTGATGAGAGCGCCAAGAGCACAGGTAGCACAATGTCACCAATAACATGTCGACAATCTGCTCTACTGTGTAGTAAGATATCGCCGGCCATTGGCGATCAATATCCTGCAGCATGATCTTGCTCCATTTCAAGTGCAGTCGCCCCCGCCATCAAAACACTGCCAATAAGATCTTCATTAACAATCTACCTTGCCGCATCATGGGCCGGCATGTGCAAATATGCCGGATCAAAACACAAGATCTTGCCGCTAAAATTTCTGACAGCTACCTATATCCCTAAGGTAGGAATCATTGGGATCAGCATCGCTGAATACCCCCAACTACTACAATCTTCCTAAAACATGCTGGTGAACTAGAAGTATGGAACACTGAAATGGTCTAATTAACACGTCGGATTCCTGATGCCGAATCACCAAAGGCAGGTCCACCATCATCAGCACTGCCAACAACATTTGAGGTACCAACACTGTTCATCTGGGAACCACCGGCGACATTGGTACCAACAACACTGTTCATCTGGGAACCACCAGCGACATTGGTATCAACAACACTGTTCATCTGGGAACCACCAGGCGACATTGGTACCGACAACGCTGTTGATCTGGGAGCCACCGGCGACATTGGTACTGACAGCACTGTACATCTGGGAGCCACCGGCGACATTGCCTAAAAATGGGCCCCCCAACCCGGATGCACTAGTCAGCATGTTCAAGTACAACGCTTCCAAGGCTTGTGTCTGAGCAACACTAAGAGGAATGACAGCTTTGGTTGCCGCTGTAGGTATGTTGGTAAGGAATACGCCATTGGGGAAAGGGGTAGTAGCAAATGACTGGTTGGGTGCCATAATACGTTGGCACAGAGCGTTATAGCTATCCTGAAGGAGACCGGTGGTACGCTCTTGACGAGCCAATTGCTCTTCAGCACGCCGGAGTTGCTGGTCATGAGTTGCCCCGTCATCCTGCAATACCTTAACTTGTTGGTGAAGGTCGCTGAGCTCAGTGCATAGAGCCTCCATTGCAACGATGTCGAGTTCTTGATTGGCGATGCGCTTGTTCATCACCTTGACCAAGTCAGTAGTGACTAGATTGCGAGCCTCCAATTTGTCAAGTTTGGACCGAAGGTGATTTACAGTATCTTGCAGTCCAGTACTTTTGGCACGCATTGCAGTGGAGTCCTGACGAACCTCCAATGTCATGGCCTGCAGCTCGTTCAACATGGAGTCTCCCAACATATCTACCTCCATGTGGTCCAGAAGGGAGTCTGACGGAGGATTTAATATCGGGACGAGGACACTTGTGCTGGCGCCGGAGAGCTTTGATCAATTGCCAAAGTCGTGATTGGCGGGACGGAATGCACTACCACAGGTCCACTCCTAGCATCATCACTTTCAAGCATATCTAGCATAGTTAGGATGATGTAAATACAAAGTTAACAAAATCACCTTTGCCGGCAAGACACTGTTGTGAGCTGGAAGGAGTACGGCGATTGGTGCCGGTGGGTGTCGGTTGGTTGCCGGCCCTAACATGTGAGCACTTTGCTTTCGACCTTGAGCAGCGGCCACAAGCTTTCAGTGCACCGCTGGTTGAACCATATGCCTGGCGACAAACAAGATTGCTTGCGGGATGGAGCATAAGCACACGCCATCAATGAATCGTCACAAGTACATACACTTTGATGCACTGCTCACAGCGCGGCACCAGCTCCGGACCATCATTGTCCTATGGGCAGTTAGCACTTGGAAAGACAACAAGACTGCATACTTACAGCATTGACATCTTCCTTCAGCAAATCACCGACTTCCGTTGTCAGCGACTGAGCAACTTTCTGCTTCTTTGCTAGTACCATCTGTTCGGCATTAATGACAATGAGCAAGGAATTAATGAGAAGAACGTACCGGCAATGGGAGACGATCTCCAAACATAGGCTGCTGTTCTGCCGTTGGATCGGTCTTCATCGGTGAGCGACTTGGAGTTGATTCCCATCGCCTCTTCAGGATCCCAAGCACTTGAGCACACTCCACCTCATCCTGATCATCTACATCCTCTGGCTGGCGCTACATCCTTGGCCTTCCCTTTCCCCTTCCCTTTCCCCTTTCCCTTCACCTTCGCCGTCTCAGATGGCTTATTTGCCGCAGGCGCAACATCTCCACCATTGCCAGCTGGAACAATTTCTATCCCATCACCTTCCAAACGCAACTCCTCCACCTTCTTCCTCCTCGGTAAAGGCCTGGCCTTTGACTTGGGCTTGGATGAGCTAGCAGGAGCTGGCGTCGGCGCAGGAACTACAATGCCAGCCGCCGGTTGAGAGGCTGGCAATGTGTCTTCCGGGATGGGCCCAGATGCTGAAAAACGGCGTGCCTTCTTGGCTAATGGATGCTTCTTGATGCGGGGATCATTCGCCTTGATATTCTTCCACTCCGGCGCACTGACAAAGTTTTTCTGGCTGGGATCCAGATGTTCCAACAACTCCATTGCAACCGAGAGAAGCACCGGATGGATCAAGGTAGCCGACATCCCATACTTTGCAAAATTGGGCGACTGCAGACAATCAGTTTACAGTGTTATTCTAATCGGGAAATATCCACCAAAATATTCCCCATCTCCACAGTGATCTTCATGTGATCGGCGTGACCCTCCTTCAACTTCAGCGCTCTAGCTAGGATTTGTAGGACCTGGGCAGTAGCATCACTGAGAGCTTCATTAGATATGTCATTGGAGGGCATGATGAGGATAAGAGAAGTGGAAAATTAGAACACAACAACAGGGATAAAATGTATCAGTAGGATACAATGAAAATTTGAAGTCAGGTACTTCTCTTCTCAGCAGCGAGGCTGGTGCCATGCGGCAATCCATTGAATTGAATAGAACACGTTTCGAACTCACGTGCCCGCTTTTCTCACACAAATTCCATTGTTTGGGTAACAGTTTCAAGTTCCGCGACATTTCACTTGAACCTCATATTTAACATTGAATCCACCTCATCAGATATAATCTTCATCCTAAACCACATCAACCCTTCATTCCGATGTCCCAACCAGCAGATCGCCAGGTTCGATTCGATCTTCCAATGGACACCGACGATGAGTCTAGCTATGCTGGCATATCTCAGTCGCCGACATCCAATGCTGATGTGACCCCAAAGGGTAAGTGTAAGTACCATCCGCCGGTCTGCGCTAACTGGACCTTAGCATTCTATTTTGGCATTGGTCTTCCACCGGGGCCCCAAACAAAGTTCAACTTTGGCATGGACATCCAAGGTCCTTCGGCGCCGTCGCCATTGCCGCGACCAACACCACCAAAGTTCAACTTTGGAATGGACATAGACTGTCCAGCAGGGCCACTGCCTACTGCATCTGCGCCGCTGTGGTGTTCAAGCTCGGGCTAGCCTCGCAGAACCCCATTTCGCTATAGGAGTCAAGCAGCCTAGACATCCCCATCGAACCCATACACCACTTCCTTGCAAAGTCTCGACTCACTCGACTCACCTGTGTTGCACCGGTCTATGTCCGACTCGGCCGATATGGATCCGTGGCCTCGGTCTCTTGCAGAAGAGCCAGGGTTGTCTTAACCGTCCCTTGCTCACCGGATCGGCCATCGCGCACCTCGGCCAACCGTTCTGTCCCATTGGTACCAAATCCTCCCATGTCCTACCCATGTCCGCCTATCTCCATTGGTGCGTTTTAAGCTCATTTTACTGTTACTGAACAAACAGCAGGCGTTATTACATGTATTCCCATGGCCGCAGCACTCGCGAGCCTTATTACATATCGACCCGAGTACCTCGCATTTTGCTACTACTCTCGCCTGTGCGATTCCAGACGTTCACGCAGTTAGATAAATAGGACTCAAGTTCGTATTATCCCTGACTTCCCTTCCTCAGACATACCTGGTACCGTTGTAGAAGTCACCTTAGTTAGCCCTCGATTGTGCAAATTGATCCCCTTGCTTTTTATCATCGGACATGCCTAGACCGCTCTAAGTGCACTCTATCTAAGGTTTTTTTACCTAGGCCTTGTAAAGATCTGGACCGCTACCGGTAGTCTTACATTGGCAACCCATACCTAGTCTTACCTCGTCATACCTAGTTATACCTGGACTCTCTTTCCTCAGCCTAGACTTACGTGCCGCTCATCGGCATCAGACTCCCCACCTCGCCTTGGTATCTTGCATCGGTATCTCGCGCCAGGTGTACCATTGGTATCCCATATCGCGTCGGACAATTTCGGACTCGGACCTTCGGTCGGTCGGATATCTCGGGCCATAGAGCTTACTTCTTCCTTTCTCTTCCCTCAGCACTATTCGAAGGAAGTGCTTCAATAGCAGTCCCCTTGGGTCGAAGTACTGCACTCGCACCCATTTGGATTTAGTAAGTTAGTTGGTATATCTAGCTGATTACTATTTCTTTCACCACACCACCCACAGCGACACAGCCATTTAACTTTGTGTTTGATCTACACATCCCAGCTGCCCAACCGGCCACTCCTCCTGCTCTCATCCAGGAGCCATTCAACTTCAGCCACAATCTCGCGATCACCATCCCTGCTGCCCAGCCGGCCACACCTACTCCAATCCAGGAGCCGTTCAACTTCGGCCTTAATCTTGCCATCCCAACTCAGCCACAACCAGCAATTCCCAGCACCACTCCACAGCCCTTCAACTTAGGATTCAATATTCCCATCAAGCCCAAACCCACTGCTGGTACCCTACCGGTGAAGGCACCACCCGCAACAGTGTCTACATCCCAGCATGTAGGATATAATATCAACAATGAACGTAAGTCCAGCATTTTCTATCTAACTGAGGGATGATGACAAATATACAGCATTTCAATTTGGCTGTGAAGCTCTCTCGCCGATTGGACAATGGACACCGGTGCCAATTCCAGCGCCAGCACTCATTTCTGTTCCTGCGGCACCGCCAGCAGTGCCAATCGCCAACCTTGCTCCTTACAAAGCAATGTCACTCCTCAATGCCGAAAGGAGTCTGCAATCGCAAACTAGAGCAACCTTAATCGACAATGCCAAACAAGCGGCGATAAAGATTGTTGAACGCTTGAACGGAGACAAATGTAAGTTGTCTCCTTTCATGGTATCATATGTCGCACTCAACGTGCACAGTTGACAAATTGGCACAACTGATGGCCAGCAGCATGATTCAGGATGCCAACGAGCTCCGGGATCCCACACCCGACGAAATGCTGGGCATCAACCGGGTTATGCTATCGGCATTCTGTGAATCCCAAGACAGGCTGGCTAGCATCTTTAAGGACCTCATCAGCCTGCATCACATTGCACAGGTCCATGACCGGGTTGCACCTGCAGTTGCAGCATTGATGAAAGAGGTGGAGAGAGCAGAGGCAAATGCTGCCAAGCAGTAGTAGATACTTTCCGTTCACCAGTGGTTGTATGATAATGTGGGAATCACTGAACATGTACTAGATTGTTAAATGACAGATGGCATAGCTGCTAGATTATTCTCATTACTGGGGAAAGTGATCACTTCCCATTCCGTCTGGCCTTGTAAGCTTCAGTGACTGCCACCTTGCTTCTGGTCCTCTTTGCTGGTGTGTCACACACAGGATCAGCAGCGCGCCATTTCGCCGCCTTGGGTTGATTATTCACAATCTCAACACCGCGATCCTTGCTTCTGGTCTGTGCGCCAACTGCTTTCAGCGGCAGCTTTGAGGTTTTGGACCGAACTACAGCTGCCTTTGACTTGGCAGGCGGTGTTGCATTACTATCTGTGTTGTCTGAATCAAAGACCTGAGTTGTAACCCGGTGTCCGGTGCGTGTTACCTGTGCCAGTGACCTAGGGTCTGGGTCATCGGTGACGCTTAATTCATCCTCATTGTCGTCGGCAGATGACCTATGCTCTTCTATCTGGTCCTCTTCCTCATCTGTGCTCTTGTCATGTTGAGCTTTTTTGGCATTTGTGGGCTTCCAAGTCCCATGGCCCATGGCTTTATGAGTTGCTCGGCATACTGCTTTCAGGAAAGACTTTGATGGTTTTTCCATGTCGCCGTCACTGTCTTTCCAGGCCTTGAAACAGAAGGTAGGACGGCTGCCGGTCATACCAAAAATCCAACAAAGCAGTGGTATCTGCTTTGTCCATCTTTGATGGCTCTGATAGCTGTACGTCGGCGGGCCAGTAGGTGCTGTCGAAGAAGTCTGATTGATTCTTGACCACATCGCCCCAGGGCACCACCACCTTGACTTTCTCCGTCCCAATGCACATTCCTGTTGAAATTAAGCACCGCAGATAATGTGAAGGGGACATTAACTGACTGTAATGCCTGATCAGGAAAGATCGAATGACATGCTGTTGATCGCCGCATTTCCAGCTGGCTGTCTCAAGGAGCATCGGCCACCCATCGCCGTCTTCCTCCAGTTCAATGAGCTTCCGGAGGCCTCTTTTCTTGGACATGACAATCTGAGGAACATCCTGATCTTTAGTAGTATCTGAGCATTCATTCTTATGAGGACGCCAATGAATTCTGTCAGCCAGGCATCTCACCAAATTGTTCTCCTGCATATTCTTGCCATTCTGGCATGAAGATTCCTTCCCAACCCCTTGTCTTCAAAAAGCTATCAGCGCCACCAAACTGATCATTGAAGTCGTGTCTCCAGGCATCTCAGATCGGGGTGATCAAGAATGTGGAAAGAACACTCACCCTCCCACCATTAGCTTGCCTCTGCCATCCTGCCATGCCGATAGAACAAAGACCCTCATTCCTGCTTGCTTGAACATTTCAGTGGCAAAATGCTCTATCATGTCGGCACCTTTGGTCTCGGCGACATTGGCCTGGACTTCAGGTGGAGCAGCCTCATTGTTCCACTTCTCTGCAATTGCATTTGCCTCCTCTTTCTCCTCTGCCAACAGACCTGCAAGAATAGTCTTGGTAGCCTCGGGCCACTTCACAATCATCTGCTCACTCCCAGGAGTTTCTCCAGTCTGTTCTCGGATATGGGCCTTGTTCTGCTGAACCAGGACTCGGTGACCTGTCCATCTCCTGCCATACTTGATAAGAGGCTTTGGAGCTCCTTTCCATTGACATTGGTTGAACAACCACTCCTTGTAAGTCTATCATCATGAAATCAACAGCTGGAGGATGTATAAACCAGTACATACCTTTTTCCAGGATTTCAATATGACTTTTTCCTGGGTGGGAGCTTGGAGGCCAGCTTCCTTGTGTATGGCATTCAAAACAAGTGCTCTCTGTTTACCTTTCACAGACCTCCAGTCTTCCAGGTGAGCCCTAAGGACTGTGACTTCTCCTTTGGTCAAGGGAAGCTTGGTCTGCTGGGGGATAATGATAGGAGATTCACTTCGGGCCATGGTTTGATATGATTGATGATATGAATGGTTCAAGATTTCAAAATGAGTTGTTCCAGATAGCCCTTATTAGGCTTACTCGGTTCTCACTTGGATCTCATTTGTAGTACGTACTATGTATAGATAGTTGCTACACAATCAGCATACAAGCATCTGGCTCTCATTGCACAAATGTCTATATGCTATACATACATAATGAACTTTGAAGTCACCATGTTATATCCCTGATGAAAAGAAGTCATGGAAAGAAGATTTCCTGGGATTTGATGATAGTTGTCAGATGACATTCTAACTGATCCGGTGCATACATTACATCAGTGTGTGTCCAATCTAGTGATGGGGCTAATCAGGCTTTCAACCACTTCAGTCATCATACACCATTGACTTCGCCACATGGGGGGCTCTAAAGTAAAGGAGTGGACTTCTACAACCAATATTACAGTAGTGGAATGGAAGAAAACATTTCGGACCAGGAAGGTAGCTGGGAAATGGATACAGAGACCCAAAATCAGAACAATAAAATCAGTTCTGGCCACCCCTACCAAGTCACCATCAAAGCAGCCATCACAGGATATGCTGTATCATGGCAATGATTATATCTCCGACCTGGCTGAGCAGCATTTTATACCACTGCAGCTGTCAAAGTCCCTTGTAAGCACTGCCCTCCTACACTGGTCTCCCTCACTCAGCTTGTTTCAAGGGTCAGAATGACTACCTTCGGCAATGGGTGCCAAAGACCAAGCAGTATCTTAACATACTCCTTGAGAGGGAGGTTCCCGCTGACCGGTCATGCATCATATGTCAGACAGATGGAATCTACAAATGTCACAGCTGCTTCGGTGAGCCCCTCTTCTGTACAAATTGTTGCAGGACCCAGCACCAGAGGCTGCCCTTCCATAGGATCAGTCAATGGACAGGGGGGTTCTTTGAGGACAGTTGCTTAGTCAAGAATGGACTAGTTATTTGGCTAGGTCACAATGGACATCCTTGCCCATGGGATGATGAGGTTGACCATGGATTTTTCGCCGAAAGCCACACCGACAACGAGCATGCCGGTGACACACAAAGCCACGCGGTGCATCTAAACCATGATGATAATGATAGCATGGATGCCAGCAACATGGGACTAGATCAACAATCTACCGGCATGCACTGTTCAAAGGATGCCGATGATCTACCTACTGGTGTACCATTCATAAAAACAACAAGACCATCACAACAATAGTGGACAAGTCCGGAGTACACACACACATGATAAAGTATTGCACATGTGCCGATGCTCCTAGCGCCGATGTACAACTCTTTCAAATGGGAATGTTTCCGGCATCCTTTTCCTAACCAAAGACTGCCTTCACCTTTGAGGTATTGGACGATTTCTTGCTGGATAACTTAGAGTGCGGCACTTCGGCGATGAATTATTACAGCAAGTTGAGAAGGATGACCACCAGTGTCTTTCCTCATTTGGTGCCGGTGAGTGCATTCCTCCCTCGGCGGCCCATTTTTGACCAGCCTGCAGGACCGCTATCGGGAGCTGATGAGGGTGGCCAGACAATGGTGAAAACTCAAGCTATTAAAATGGAATGGTTTCTGACATGAGAACAAAGATACCAAACCTGGCAATCTCGCTCTCTTCTGTCCGGCATGCCCCCAGCCAGGAATTAATGTAACAATGCCAATTGATCAGGAGACCGACCATGAATCTGATCTGGAAACACCGAGTTGGCTCAATTCAAGATCTCTGGTCATGGATGGCAACTTCAAAGCTGAGCACTTGCATGCCACAAATCCCGATGATGAAGTATACCTGATGGATGGCCGCGGCTTCATGGTCGGCGATTCCATGTACAAGGAACATCTTTCCAAGGCAAAGGACAATGTTCAACGGTCCGAGTGCAACAACCACCGCGCTGTGAATCAGGCCAATGCCACATGTCACGGATTGGAAGCAATGGGGATCAGCGGATGTGCCTGTGCAAGACATGGCTGTTTTGTGCCGCATGCAATGGTGGATTTTCAGAAGGGAGAAAGGTATGCATTTTGACACCACTAACCCTTACCTTCGATATCTTAAACATCGCCGAATGCCGCCAGACAGATGAACATGGACTATGCCTTGTGCAAGGCGTTGAAACACAATGCCGATGGCATTCGGCGTGCGCTCACATTCTATGATGTGAACTGCCAGTATCATAGATATCTGAAGGACCGCATAGCCAACAGTCCTGTCCTAGACATTTGCCAGGAGCTGGAGATTATTCCTGGGATAGGTCTGTGGCATGTCCATGGCCATCAAGGCAGCTGCTATGTGCGCTATGCTTCAAATTTTATCGAAGGTGCGGGAAGAATCGACGGCGAGATCATGGAAACCCTTTGGGCGCTGTTGAACATTATCTCACCGTCGGCGCATGGGATGGGGACACCTCACCGAAAGGAATGCTTGGACTATCAAATGAATGATTGTAACTTCATGAAAATGATCAGAATGAGTGGGTGCTGCCATACTTGTAAAACCTTCACTCACGACCATGAAGGCAAGTCTCTGCTGGAAATTCAGGCAAGCTGTGAAAGGCGTTGCCGAAAGCAAGGAAGCCTTCGAGAAGCTGAACCACAGCGCCAATGCTAACAAAATCAGGGATTGGGAAGAACAGGAGAGGCTTGCACAGGACCGGTGTAATGTTGATCCAAAGGCAATGGATGTGTATGAAGTGCAACTGCAGAAAGGTATGAGCCCAATCTCACTGTCAGACGTCAGCTCATAGTAGGACAGCGCTGACAAGAAAACAGCAGGAGCTACAGTTGTTGGAGATAAATGGGCAGTAGCCATGGTCCATCACGCCGCAGAGGAGCAGCAACTTGGCTTGCAGAAGGAATTTCGATCAAGGAGGCACAGGTGACTCTCCAAATGGATGTTCAAAAGTTAGGGTGCCACCCTACAGAGAGTCAGCGGCTAGAGATTGGGCGCCGTTGTGAGAGGTTGCAGGGAGACATTGATTGCTGGGTGGCGATTGTGGTGACATTTGTCGGCGATGGATTCCCGGATGGCGACATCCAAGTCATGCAGCTTGAGCTTCTGATGCTTCAAGAACACCCAGAAAGTGACATTGCTGATGAATTTAGATTGTTCAAGCCAGAGAAGGTGGTCATACCCATGCCATCTAATATGGGGCCCGCGAGATGCGCCGAGCTTGGCGTCGCCGATTTGATTCACCAAGAAGTCACCCTAAGAGAGGGACAAGCCAACGATGCACTGCACAGCATCAGAGTGCACTTGGCAGATAAGGCCATCATTTTCCGGAAGACTGTCAGGGTGGCAAAGTCACAAGCAACGTCTACTCGAGCTTGGGCTCAAGTTCATTCGGTGGACAGGGCGGTCAGCTTGAATGCGAGCATATATTCCAAGTGCCGCTCTCAACTCGGTAAACTCGGTGCTGACATTGGGTTACTCGAGAGGGTACCGTCCTTTGCTGAAGGAGGACCTCAAAGTCAGCACAGCTGTTGCCGATCCGAATGCAAGAGGACAGAGAAACAATCAGTTGGCATGGTTTTGGTCCATGGACGTGGAGGGGGACTCTGATAGCAGTGATTGGCTGAATGAATGTGAGTTGTTGAGCTCTTCACCATTGGTCGGCGCTCATCTCGCCGATGAGTTTTAGTTTACCGTGTGCATTGGCTCCGCACCAAGGCTCTAAGAGATCGGTGGGTGGAAGAACTGCTGCTGGTGCAACATGAAATGAATTGGACTTGTGACTTCTTTTTGCACAAAGCAGAGCAATGGATATGCCTTGCAGCAATCGCCAAGGAAGCTAGGAAGATGGGACATCTTGCCTATGCAGGTGCAGCAGTGCAAAATGTATCAGCATCTGAATGAAGATGCTATGGATAATTTCAAAATTGCAAAAGCATCCCGCTAAGCGACAACATTGAAAACAAATGATATTGTAGTACAAAATGTTGTAGATACATGCTACTCTGAGTCACTGGTGGCCGGCTGAATTGGATTCTTTGGTTCCCTGCTTAAATATTTGACCAAGGCATCTGTGGCGGTGATCGCCGCAATCACATCTTGCCCCAGAGCGGTCTCCATCTTCATCAAGGACGCAGCCACAATCTTTGCCTCTACCACCTTGTTTTCCATCATTTTCCAAATCTCATTTCCTTCTTGTTCAATCTCGGCATGGATGGTGGCCAATTGCTGAGCTAGCGGCGTGGACCTTGGGTGCACCAATGTGGCCGGCATCACCAACATCCTGCTCTCAGGCTGGATTGACCTGTCAGGCCCCACGGTGTCAAAATAGAAAAAGTCTTACCAGTTGGGCGAAGTGATCGGCGATCATTTTCCTCATTTCGTTGCTGTCCGGGAACTTCTTGAGAAATTCTCTGTACGGCAGGATGGTGAACTGCCCGTCCCACCATGCCAATGGATAATTCTTGACCAGGCGACCTCTCACCCAAGGTACACCAGGTTCTGGCCGAAGCTTCATGAATGAAGCATAGACCTCTTCTTCATCTAGGAGCTCAACTTGCTTCATACCGAGCGTGCTGACGAAGAATCGGAGGTTCCTTGACAATGGGGGGTTGATGCTCATGCCTTCACAGAAGGCAACCCATGGAAGGATGAAGGCCTTTTCGGCGATTGATTAGCTTGTAAATGAAGAGAATCAGGAAATCTACATACATCTCCCTCCCAAATGAGGTACTTCACAACAATTTGGCGATCCCTTGGCGATGTGACAAGAGTGCTTGTCTCCAGTTCACTTTGAATCGCCAGCAATCTGGATGCGGCGAATTCAAAGATATTAGCCATGTTGGCTGAGATCAAAGGTGACATGTTGGTCGGCGGGACTGCCACGTTTGGTGAAGGCGGGAATGTGGGACATGTTGGATATGGAGGATGAAGATGATGAAGATCTTAATTTATGTCCCTTAGTGCCATCGGAGTTTCAATCAGATTGTGGTCATAGATATTGCCCATGTGTCAAATGATTTTTACGTCTGGAATATTGTCTTCGGTGAGCACCGGCAGCAATCATGTTGATCTGCCGATTTTGCATCAATCTACGGATTACAGTATTGGTGATCGCCACTGAGTTGGCGAATTATTTTTGTGGTTGCTGCCACAGTTAGAACAATGTCTCCCGATTGTGGACAGTATTTGCAAGATTGTCAATTACTGGCCGCAATCGGAAATGTATTACATAATCATCCACCGAAGTGTACACGTCAGACTTGTGCTTATTTCGTTCATTCAATTTCATCGCCGCTCATCAAACTATCATCACCCCATCTTTATCCTAAACTCACAACATGACTCCTGCAATTGATCGCATCCACGAGAATGCCAACACCATCTTCCGTCAAATGGCAGATCTCATTGAACACCTCCTGGGACAAGCGCTACAGTTGGATGCTGCCGATCCCCAACATGTTGACATTGCGCTGAAAATGGCTAATGCAGTGGTGAGTGATATAAATTTCTTCATGTCCAAATAACTTATTACCTTGATCAGTCCCATATATTTACAGTCTACGCGCTGCAGGTGACATCAGTGCCACCAATAGTGCTCTCTGCTGCTGCTGAATTGCACGAGCACATCAATTCCTCGTCCCGCTCAGTGGTCACCACCCCCAGTTGGACCAAGATTAGGCCCAATGATCCACGCAGCCGACACAGCCCCCTCTATCCTCTCAGTATTGGCTATGGGGAGCCTCGACAACCGTCACCTCCTGCTGCCGGTCCTTCCCAACCCAACGCCGTCCATTCCCGGGACACTGATGTTCCGGCAGGCAAGGGCAAGGGCAAAGAAACAGCCCAGCCTGAAGGTGAGGAAGATCGTGGCCGGGGCAGGGAACGCAAGCGTCCACGCCCAAGGGCAATGAGCATAAGCTCAAAAAGCCAAAGTCGGCCTCCAAAGGCCAAGCGTCAGCGCCAGCGGCCACTGTCCAAGGCAGTCATCAGCAGTGAGGATGAAGAGGAGCTTGATGCCACGCCGGTTCCCCAGATGACGCCGGTTCCCATTAACATGGTGTACAAGGTAAGTTTTTAGATAGTCTGCATTTCCGATTGCTGATACGTTTACAAGCCTGGTCAACTGACCTCTCGCCGCGAACGCCGCCTGTCTGCGGCGAAGTTGGTCGTCGCCAGCGACAATGAAAGTGACGCCGAGGAGACGCCGAAGGAGATTGGTCCCACGCCCAAGAGTGGGACTGCATATGTTGAGGTACCAGTGAGTTGATCCATTTTGTTTTTTCACATCTCTTACATTTTGCAGCCTGCCCCAAAGCCTGCAAAGGCTCCCACAACCAGCGCCGTTGTGCTCGCAGAGGATGACCATGCCAACAAGAGGTCCCCGGTTTGGGACCCAGGCTGTGGCACATGCGTCCAGCGGGATTTTACATATATGCCTGCCAAGGCTACAATACCGCGGGTGGAGAGCTGGCTGTGTGTGCACGCTGCCACAGGTCGAAACAGAAATGTGGCGGCAAAGGTTCTGCTGCCCCAAACAAGGGAAAGAAGTCCACGGTGACTAATACTCGCCACACTCGCTCAAAGTCTCGGCCTCATCCTTCGCCTGTCACTGCTGCCACAGATACAGATGGTAAGTCTGTTGTTGACTTTGCAACACTAATCTAAAGTACCTGCAGAAGATATGGACTCTGCCCTGCCGGCCACAACCTCAGGAGCACCTGTACTTGGCACCTGTCCCTCCTTCCACCGGCACCACCATTCTTATCGCCAAGTCCTCCACTACCGCAACCGCAACCGACACTAGCGCCGACACCCAGGAATCTGTCCTTGCCCTCAAGAAGGAATTGGACTTGCTGAAGGCCATGGTTGCTGGCTTAGTGGAGAAGGTTGGTTCTGGGGAGAAGCTTTTGCAGCACTCCAACGACCGATTGGCCGAGCAAGAGGCTCATTTGAACCTCCTTGCCGAGCAGTTGGATGATCTTCGCCGCGAGTTGCGTCCACCAACACTCCCATCGCCTGCTGAGGTTTCTCTGCCTGGCAACACCGTTAATGGAGAGCAAGAGGAACCTGCTGAGTCGGTATCGGTGACAGCGGCGCCAGGAGAAGAAGAGGAACCTGCTGAGACGGTGTCGGTCACATCACCCACTGGAGAGCAAGAGCAATCTGCGGAGTCGGGATCTTTGACATCAGTCCCTATGAGTGTTGGAGAGCAAGAGGAATCTGCGGATGTAACATCAGCTACACCAGAGTAAGGAACATTTCCCATTTGGTAAACATTTTGTAAAAGTAGATCAGTTTACACTCGCCGGCAGTCCTTAGATATACTGGTATATCATATGGACATTTTGTATTTGTAGATACACAGTTGTATTTACATGTTCAGGTGATGTACTGGTAGTTCTGTTTACATGCTCGCTGTTCAGTCCACTAGGTCATAAGTTGAATCCAGTTGGCCTTCCAATGTGCCGGTTTAAATTTTGCCAGCATCAGCTTGGGTTTTTGCGGCGGTAAGATGTGCTGATGAGTCGCGGCACTCAACGCCGGTACATGATATACTATAGTAGTACTGATCCAATGTTTATAGTGCTCGGCGAGTATCTACATGATGCATTGAATTCATCCCAACATCAATAAGACTCCACTATATCCCGTTGTATGTCAATTGTATCCAGGAGCTGACGATTCGGCAAACTGTTATCTGTCGGCGTGCCTACTATCGGCCACATTTAAATCATTGACCCATCCGTCTGGTGCTATGAAGCCCACCCATCTATTGAAATCTCATTACCTGGGCCCACCCGCTGTCTGTTGAAATCTTGGCTGATGGGCCCACCGATCTTGTGGTATAACAACATATGGGCCCATTCGTCTATGCCCTGTACAGGTATGGGGCCCACCTGCTTGTCAATGTTGTACTAGTGGGCTCAGCCCTAGTGCAAAACCGTTGGATTTGGGCCACCTGCCCAGCAGAGTGATAGCCATCTGGGCCCATCCATCCCCTGAATATCTCATGGTGGGCCCACCCCTTCCAATCAAGCCTTATGTCAATGCCAACGGTTTCAATCACTGATGAACATATTTTCTTGCCGGTGAGCAGTTCCATAATCACTGGTTCCTGATGCATATTCGTCGACCACATTTCTTGTGATCCAGGGTTTGTTTACCAATTCAAGTATCGCAGTCAATCCCTGCCAAATATTCCAGGATTTCATCGCCGGTGGTAATACCCTACTAACAGTCCCATCACCGATGTAATGGGGCATGGGCATCCCATATTCACTGGGAGGAAATTTGCTGCCGATTCCAACCCAATATGAATGGCAGGAAATCTGTCGCCGACCCCACAATGCAGTATGCAATAGCCAGGTGGGCCCACCCTTCAATCCAATCTACTGTCAATCCTGGCACCCATGGGCCCACTCCACAACAGAGGCCAATGCACCGTGGGCCCAGCCCTAACCGTTGGCCACATTGGTGTCACCGGCCCATCCAAGATAATGTAGAAATCTGTTGCCAACACCACAATCTATCCCATATACAGCAGCAGGATATTTACCGCCGACATTCCAATCCAATCTGCATGGCAGGCAATCTGTCGCCGACACCGAGATCCAATATGCATAGGCGGGAAATCTGTCGCCTGACACCGCAATCCAATGTGCAACAGCCAGGTGGGCCCACCCTTCAATCCAATATATTGTCAATCCTGGCAACCGTGGGCCTACTCCAACACACCGGCCGATGCACCGTGGGCCCAGCCCTAACTGTCTGGCACATTAACTCCACCTGCCCACCCGAGAACATAGGATGACAACATAATGTCAAAATCTGTCGCCGACACCACAATCTATCCAATATTCACTGGCAGGATACTTGCCGCCAACATTCCAATCCAATCTGTATGGCGGGAAATCTGTCACCGACACCGTGATCCAATATGCATAGGGGGGAAATCTGTCACCGACACCGCAATTCAATATGCAATAGCCAGGTGGGCCCACCCTTCAATGCAATCTACTGTCAGTCCTGGCACCCATGGGCCCACTCCAAAACATAGAGGCCAATTCACCGTGGGCCCAGCCCTAGCCGTAGGCCACATTGCATTTACCGGCCCACCCGAGAACACGGGATGACAACATAATGTGGGCCCATGGTGGGTTGGCCCGACTCTCATGGAGGAATGTCAAGGTGGGCTGGCCGTCTCTATAGGGTCAAGTCACTGAAGGGGCTCCTCATATTTCCTCGCTCCCCTGCCGCTCTCATGGAAATGAAGTAAAGGAACTCCAACAATGTCCAAGGCGCAGTGTTTTTTCTAGTCGTAATCCTTCTGCCGTTGAAGTCTCTGCAGTATGTGACAAACAGGTATGTATTCCTCATGTGTTTCCAGTCGTCCAATTATTCATGTGCAGGCATTATATGTTTCACCACCCCAGCCACGAGTTAACAAAGCAAAGCTGCAACACGGCCAATCGCAAGGCCAAGCACAGACGTCAGTACCACAAACTCTGCCTGCTACTGGCTCAGTGGCCACAACACACCCTAATCCTGCTACTACCATGGCGGGTGCAGCAAGTGCAGCGGTGCAGTCAAGTCCTATCATAATAAAAAACCCCTCATGGTGGGCACATCTTGTGCTTTTTGTTTGTTGTGCATCTGCACAATACACTGGCAATAGTCGTTAATCTACATTCAATCACACGGTAGACTCTTGCATCAAACCTAAACTTCCGAGCCAAATTTCCTACATACTATCCAGTGATAGATTCTAAATTCTAAGATGTGTACATTTTTACGTGAGGTTGAACAAGAGTCATTGATCATCTCTGAGCAGTGAAAGGAAGTTGACACACATGAAATATGGTCTCGTACATTGTCAAAAAAACCCTGTGGTAGTCGATTTACGTCGTTTATCTAGGCTAAATGTCATGTAGCATTTGCCTGGAATTTTAATCTTGTAAGTGTTAAGATTGAACCAATATTATTGTTCAAAGGCGAAGGCGTGCTGCTACTTGACAAGAGATTATCTTCGCGATATATACTTAGAGTAAACATACATCCACATACATACCGGCAGTACTATCATTATGTACACCTTGCGACAAGTGTGCTACGCTCTTACATAGGTCTGAATTGAGGCACAAGATAGAGGCTGTGTTCCAGGACCTAGAATAGGGACTGGTTTGTCAATTTTAATCCCTGTCTGCTTGATCATCCTGGTCGCGGTGGCCCAGTCTTAGTCATCTTGTGATTTCCCCTTTTTAGTGTCCCTTTGTTCTTTTTCATATCACCATGGCTTCCAGCTCATTGACACTGAATTATTCATCTTTTGTTCCTCCCGCTTCACTTGTAGTATCCGATCAAGAGCTCCCTGACGATGGGAGCTCTGTAGTGTCATCATGCATCCTTCACAAGTTCTTTGGGTTTTATGAGGTTTCTCGAGTGCATTTACAAGCGCAGAGGCAATATCCTGTGGGTCTCTTTCTGCCAGTTGTTGCTCCAAGTTTGCGGCAGGTCATATATAATTTCTCATTCTTTACAAAAGAGCATTACTCTGCAATTGCGCGTTCTCATGTGGCCCATGTTTTGGGAACTCATCGTAAGGATTATATTTGTGATATGTTGCATGTCCATGTTTGTGACGTGGATTGTGTCTGTAATCTAGTCGTTTTTAAGCTTTTGAAAGCCCCTCGCCACGATTATTCCAATCAGATTGTCCCAGAACCCTTCTGTGATTCTTATCGCGAGTCTGATGCTGTCGCTCATCGTGTAGCACATGCAGGACTTTCTCATGTGCAGCGCGCTCAAATTTTGGATCGAGATGCAGAACGTCATCGCGAACCTTACCAGCAGAGTCAACATGCTTTGGATGGTGTTCAATTTCCCTCAATGCTCTCATTTGAGGAAAAGTGGTACATTATCTTGGAATATCAGCAAAAATTGAGTCCTGATGCACTCAAAAGAGGTTCATGTGCAGTTTGTGCGCAGAATGACTTCATTAGCAATCTCAAATGTGTAGATGTGAAAATGATACCTCTCAATCACTTGCAGAATGATTGTTTGCCTGAACATACACTTCCTCGGAGTTATGATCTCGAATTGTATAGCAGAGCAATATTGTATTCTAAAGGTATGCAGGCTTGTTGGGTTCTTGCTGATTTATATATGTGCTGAATGAGTCATGCAGCATTATCGAGCAAATGGCCAAGGCAACCTCCAAACTCACTAGCCAATTTTCAGTACTACGGTTATGAGAGACTGCCAGCTGATGTTCGTGACACATTGCTTCATGCTTCCATATATGACTTGATATTAATTTCTTGCACACAAGCTTCTCAGATTACTCATTTCTATACTTATAAGCCCTCAATGGCGCAGCATCATACAACTGAGGAGGCTTCTCAGCGATATATCAAGGGGAATGTGGCGGTAAGACCACAGGATTCTACTGAGCTTCGTACTTTGTTGCCACCAGCATATGATCAGTTTCACTGGACAAAAACAATGTCCTTCACAGGAGACAGTCAAACACATGCGCCCTGTGTTAGTTACCAAAAGTCGTGTGTGTTTATTGATCAAGTTTTTAATCGCTAATAATCCATGGTATCAGAAAGGCAACATCACATATAGCCAGAAAAATATGGATATGCTCTTCAAGGAGGCTGATGCTGACATGAATTGCAGTGTGCCTGCAGCATTGGAAGTTTGCCATTTACCTGCAGAGGGTGATGTTCACCATGAACCAAATTTTGATGCTCTCGAATCGCATGACATGAGAGAGCCTGCGTCTGGTGAAATAATTATGGAGGCTGTGGGCTTTACGCAGGGAGATCATTCTTTGAAGAGTAAAGAGAAGATGAAACTGCATGCATTAGCTCATGTACTAGATCAAAAGTGTTTCCTCCTCTCTCGCACGGGTGCAAATTTTGTGGTGGATAATGATCCTGGGTTAATGTCATATCTGTTTCCACATCTTGATCCCTGGAATATTGGGGGATTTAATCACTGTGGACGTACATCGAAGCAACAGTTGTCCATGGAAGTTAAGGTTCGTAATTTATTGCTGCAGGATGATTTGCTGTTTAGGAAGGACGCAAAATTTGCGTTTATCTGCTGAAATATGATACAAAAGAAGGAAATAAGCAGAAATACTTCATTTCGAGTTAATGCTTCGCAGCAGGAGAGTCTGGCGCAAGAGTTAAGGGTCATCAGCCCATCCCTCACAGCTTTGGCTGAGAAGTGGACGCGTTCAGTCAATGAGAAACCGTCAAGTACTTAGGAAAAAAAGGCTGCGTGAATCCTTAAATTGTGTCGACAAAATGAAATTTGTTCTCTGATGAAAAAATTTTGCACACCCGCATTATTTGTCACACTTAATCCACATGATTTGACAAGTCATGTCATTCCCCCGCTAATTGATATCGAGCTTAATAATTGGGTAACTATGTCTTCGTTTGAACGTGCCAAAGTCATCGCTAGTCGACCCAATGCCGCAGCACTTGCATTTGATTTCCAAATACAATCATTCATTGACATTATCTTGAGGTATAAACATGGCCCTGGCATATTCGGTTTTTGTCAAGCATATTATGGCATGGTTGAAGCACAGGGAAGAGGTACTTTACATTGTCATATGCTGATATGGATTGCTGGAAATCCGAGTCCACAAATGTTGTGAGATCGAATTGCATCGGAACCAGAATTTAAAGCAGATATGTTTCATTGGCTAGAGAGCATCATTAGTTGTGAACTTCCACATGATGTGGGTCCTATTTTTGAGAAGTTGTCAGACGATGCGAGAAAGCCTGCCCGGCCAGAAGGAGAGGGAGATCCACGATTAGAGCAACCGCCACAGGCATCAGAATTGGATCTGGAATCTTTTCAATACAAGTTTAAAGAATTCTTGACTTGGCTCGCTATAGAATGTAATTGGCATGTGCATAACGATATGTGCTATAAACATGTTAAGAATAACAAGAAGAGAGGGGATGCTAATTGTCATATGCGCTTAGATGGATCTATACACGACCAAATGACTGTTGACCCTGCAAGTGGCTCTATTGAGTTAAGGCAATGGAGAGGTAGGATTAATAATTTTACTGACATCATACTATTCTTATTGCAAAGTAACATGGATACACAGTTTATCGGCTCAGGTGAGGCTGCCAAGGCAGCAGTATTTTATATCATGGAATATATTATGAAAGGCAACTTACCAATGTACGTCGGGTTGCAGGCGCTAGATTATGTGACAAAGATGCACGATGAGAAATATTCTACGGGTGATTCAGCCAATCATGATAAGAAGAATAGTAACCTGATTACCAAGTCTGTAAACGCCATGATGGGACGGCAAGAAATGTCGCACCAGCAAGTCATGAGTTATCTGGTAGGAGGTGGTGATTTTTATGCAAGTCATATCTTTCGGATGGTCAAATGGTATGAGTTTGTTCACACTGCAGAACGATTTGATCTGGAATGTGCATGTGCCGAACAATGCAATGCAATATGCGATGATGAAGCAGAGGATGTGTCCCAGGAAGGACAGGTGACCCTGCATATATATGCAAACATCATTGAGTATTCTAGTGATGTATCAGATTACACTTTACATCCTATTGATCCAAATTTTGCAGACCTTTGTTTATGGCAATTTGTAGAGAATACGATCAAGATACGAGGTGAATTGTGTTCTGATAATGACAGTGAAGAACATTCCAAGGACGTAAACAATGATGAGCCATTGACTAAAAAATGTGGATGTAAGCCGTTACCTCGTGCCAAATTTCTTCCACAGCATAGTCAAGTAGACACTCACATTTTGCGATTATGGGAAAAATCAGTCATACCCGTGTTATTAGGCGACTCCATTCCTCAACCGGATCGTTCTGAAGAGGAATATGAAAAATATTGTTGTGCTATGATGATACTCTTCAAATCATGGCATGATTTATCAGTGTTAAAAGGCACATACAGTTCTTGGAGCAAGGCATTTGACAACGAGACATTTACGCCTGAGTTCTTAAATCTGATTCACAATATGAATATTGAAAATGAGTGTAAGGATGCTCAAGATGTGCATGCTGCCGCAGTCAGAGAAGAAAAAGCTAAACCACATATCTTTGGCACTCAGGCTACTGAGCATAGTGATGTGCAGGAAGATATGATTGCATTCAATGACGCATTAATGGCAAATGCTGTTCTTGATGGAGGTGAGAATGATTGCGATGCTGTGGACGTGAGCCATCTACCACAAGACATTTGGGCAAATAAGAATTCAGTGGACATAGATACCTTCCTGAGAGCTGCAAAGGACGGAGGTTTGCTTGACGCAACGAATCATGTCGGAAACAACGACACACATAATGGGTCGTGTTCAACAGAAAGCATAGGAAAAATAAGTCAGGAATGTCTGAAAGAATATGCATCAGTTATGAAAGCTGCACGTAAACATAAAAGGCCAGTAGATGTAGGATCAAGTGACACAGAAGCAAAGCGAATACAATTGTCTTCAGGAAACAATGAGCCTAGAATAACATTAGAACAGTTAAAAGAGAATGTCGATATCACTGCAGCATATTATAAGCCTGAACTTATGTCAAGTGGTCGAGAAGCAATCTCATCCAAGATTATCGTGGAATTCAAGTTATTGGACAATGCTAAACAAGAGATGAGTTTGAGAATTATCAGCGAACATTCCATTCGGGGTGAAGTAAATCAGCTACTTATGTAAATCAGCTACTTAACAGGTATATGGGGCTCAGGAAAAAGCCATGTTATTCGTGCCATGGTCGAAATGTTTTGGCAATGTGGGGCACCAGAAAAATTGACTCTAAGTGCTCCAACAGGAAGTGCAGCAGTCTTTATAGACGGCTACACTATTCATGCCTTGACTTTTTTGCAGAAGAGACATGCGCCTATCAAGCAACAAGACTTAGAATTTATCTGGAGGACGGTCCAGTATTTAATCCTAGATGAAGCTATGTTAATGTCAGCTGAGTTGTTGAGCCAAGTTTCACATCGGATATGTCAGGCAAAGTCATGGGATGAATCTGCGAGAGACAAACCTTTCAGCGGAGTCAACGTCATTTTCGTGGGCAATTTAGGTCAACTACGACCCCCAAAATCTAATGCACTATATAGTTATAAGCTTGTCAAACAATTAGCCCCTGCAACAACAAGTACCTTGAAAGGTCAGACAGCATTGTATGGTGCATTCTTATGGCGACAAGTTGATACTGTTGTAGAATTAAAACAAAATTGGAGAGCTAAGGATGATGTCAACTTTGTTGATATGCTGAATTGTATTCATTTGGGCAAGGCTCGAAGGATAGCACTGGATGAAAATCATCTCAGTGACTATGAAGTATTAAAAACAAGAATGCTCAATGAAATCAAAGTGCGATCACCAGCAGAGTTTGAGACTTTTAAAGACGCACCAGTCATCGTCACACATAAGTATTTGAGGGACGCGATTAATGAATCTAAAGGGCGAGTGTTTGCTTCAACAACTGGCCAGCAATTTGACATGTACTGCATACGAGACAAGATCAATGGAAAAGATGTGATGCCTGAACAACAACGCAGGCTATGGAGATTGCAAACGAGTAACACAAATGATGCAATTGGAAAATTACCATTGATACCTGGAATGCCTGTAATGATTACTGAAAATGCCGCCACGAGCTGTAAAATTGTGAATGGGAGTAGAGGCATTCTCAAGTCAGTGACTTATGATATAGATGCTGAAGAGAATAGGTTCCCGCTATGTGCTTTAGTGGACATCCCAGAGAGTACTTTGCATATCTCTGGATTGGAGAAAGGAATAATACCAATTTTCGCTGTGACAAACAGCTTTTCATTCCCTACTGGTGAGAAAAATGTCAGTGTACGACGAACGCAGTTACCCATCCTTCCAGGTTGGGCATTTACTGATTTCAAAGTTCAAGGAAGTTTCTTACCAAAAGTCGTGGTTGATTTGGCAGGAGCAAAATCATTGCAAAGTATATATGTCATGCTGTCACGTGCATCTCGCCTGCAAAGCATAGCAATAATGCGATGGTTTTCATCTAAGACGTTACACGCTCAACTTCAAGGTGATGCGCGTGCAGAATTCAGTCGCCTTCATCATATTGAGATGAGTACACGAGAAAATTATCTGAGAGCAAAGAACAATAGGAACGAAGAGGAACAACTCACAGTGTGATTTGAAAACATAGTCATTTTAAGTATCATTTGATCAAGGAAGACGAAATTCTATATGGCAGCAGGATAATTGACAGCTAGATTGAGCATTTACATCTGACTGTTGAAGTTGGACAACAACCATAAGAAAATGGGTATCGTATTTGGTGATTAGTAAGCAGACGAATGTGTAATAGTCTATAGCCCATGATGAGCGCTTAAGAAAACCAGCAATCCATAAATCTTTGTCCAGGAATTAGCCTGCATGTCTTGCTCATGACAACCGCAATACATATATCAACCTCTTGAATTCATCCTACCACTGCTGTCATATTCCTAACTTCCCCCTCCATGAATAACTCAACATCGTCAACCACTCTGGTTTTCTGGGACAAAGTCTTATATGTCCCATAAAATCGTGTGACTGCATACGTCTTTTTTGTGCTCCATAGGTGTTGATGAGACTGACATTAGAAGCGCAAGCCTATGTCTTCTGAGCATAACAGAATTGACAAATCTTATGCCACCAACTCACATTAATCAATAACTATCACCAACTTTCTAAAGCCCCGAGAGAAAGTAAACGATCAGTTCAAAAGGCCATCAGATTCCACAACTGGTGGCTACTAGACGAATTTGTAACAGGTAAGTTAATGTTTGCATCACAATCCATTTATCTCATTTATGACATATATTATGATGAGCCTATAGGAAAACATCAGTTGGTCTTGAGAAATTGAAATTACAACTCAGCCTCTTTCTGTTCGCTCTGATGTCATTCCTGCCAGGTCTGTAATTATCTTGTTGAGAGTGCTTGGATTGAAATAAATGTGCAATGCACAACGGATTATAGCATGCAACTTATGGCCACCTGAAATAACCAAAGAATTACCGAAACTCTGAGGATATAAGGAACTTGTCTCATGGCAGATATTTCCATCTTCATTGCCTGGTATGGCCGAATGGGCTGACGTTTACAAAGACAGAGAACATAAGGATCCTTCGAGGAATCGCATTCTCATTTACAAGACTATGCCGAACGCAGCACCCAATACAGTATTTCCTATGGCAATTCGGCTGCAAGGTCTTTTGCGTGATTTCCAGGTAGAAAGATTTGGCAATTGGACTGGGTGAGTAAAGCTAAAATACTACATATGTTTGAAGGATACTAAAGCTAGCGCAGTCAAGAAAGTGATGCCTTGAAAGTGGTCCAGCATGTCACCTTATCTTCAGGAGGCCATAAAAAAGCATGGGATTCTACAATAGATTCCATCAATCTAGTATGCGAATACACAAGTCGGTGCCTACACATTCCTATGCAAGGGACGCCATATGACAAAGATCTCTATCTGCAAAAACATGCATTTATAAAGGTAAGTAAAAGACATATACATCGGACAGCATTAGTGAATGATGATATAGCGAGATGAACCATTAAAATTGAAGGATCATATCCTTAAAGCAATAGATGATCTGGAAGGTCGATTTTTGTGCATCCAAGAACCTTGGATCCCACAACAGCCTTTGCACGTAGGTGATTTAACAGAGACAGCTAAAATCATGGCGATGGATTCCATGCTTCTGACCAAAGGTGACTTTGTGGACGTTGGAGCTGAACTAGATTTTGTTACGCACAGAGATCAATATGCACGCACGATCCTCAAGTGTTTCTTGACATGTTCATATATAGTGTGGATAATTCCAGTGGGCCAAGTCCAGAGTATGAATTTGGTGAGTTTCTAATGTGATGAGAAGTGACACACGAACTAATCATGATCATAAGGATAATAAATCGGCTCCCCAAAAATGCAAAGCGACACCGCCAAAAATGGACAGGCCTACCAAGAAACACCACACAATGCCAGGCTTTGATGAGGTGTAACATATTATACGATATTTAAGATATGTGTAATGATGATTATCTTTATTTTTCCATGTTTGTTTATTTAGGAGGAAATACAAGGATGAAAGGGGCTTTCTGGCTATCACACAAACCACAATCATGAGTATGGCAAAAACTAAACTCGACGCTTCCATTGACTGTGGAAACACAGCTGAAGACCGCTGTCATGCATGGTATGAACTCCATACCATGACATATACGAATAGCAGTATAAAAGGAGATGAGTAGAGGAGTGTACAAAGGATATACTTCTCACTTATGTAAGCTTTGTTTCTATTTATTTAGTTGTATTTGTAGTTTCCATTAGTTTCTGTCTCTTTCCATTTGTTCTTGTTTATTCAGCCACTTGATTACATCAGTGAGCCATTCAGATATGTTTGTAAGCATGTCATGTGACTGGTAATATTCTGATTTGTAAGGACTTTCCATGACTCATCATGTTTTGTCATGATTTGTCATGCTTTGTGATAATTTACAGTGCTTTGTAATATTTTACTCATGTACTTTCATAAGCAGCTGATTCAGCACACCAAAAGGCTTGGTTTGTAAGCATAATCTTACCAATCCAGTGATGACTCATTGCTTAGTAAGGATGGTTTCTAAAATGTATATAAGGACTCCATTCTCACATAATATATAAGTTTTTCCCCTTCCATTCTTTTCCCAAACCGTGTGGGAACGTAGGAATTTGAAGTCAGGAGTTTTCCCACTTTCTGTCTCAACACTGTGAGATCACAAAGAAAGTGAAGGCCTACGAGTTGCCTTTGAAAACAATCATATTCTTTTAGTCTAGATTGATTGTATACTATCTTACAGGGATCGCCTATACAATAATCTATTGTTTTATCCATTGTTTACGTATTCGTGCCACATTCAGTTCAGAGAGGTCCATATTACCTACTAGGTTTCAGTTAACCTGACAAAATATACATACTCCTTTACTATCAAGAAGTGATCTAGCAAAGAAGTAATTTATTACCCTTTGGCCACCCACGAACACCACGTTATCAACCGAGAAGTAGAAAATCCGTTGACCGTGAACTTGAGGAGCTGGCACCTTAGTCTTAAAGAGTACAATTGTGATAGTCATTGTATTCTGTTCAACATATAAGACCCTCAAGTAAGAAGACACCACCTGAGCAAAAGGACGAGGCTCACAAACACCAGTAAGCCATGTAACTCGCTCTCACAACTCAATATGATATGGGTGATCAGACAGCCCCCCAGCTGAAAATACACACACCATTACCTCGGAGGCCCTATCTACTGTGGAGACACATGAGAAAGAAGCAACAGAAGCTAGGTATTGTTATGAATTATCAACAGTGCAATAACTCACTGAAAATGGCTTGGCCAAACAGGAGTAATACTCTTGTGACTTCAGACAGCCAAGGAACTGCAGAAAATGCAACGCAAGGAGAGAGCACAATGATGTCTACCATGGAGGGGTCGACAACAGCCAGCAGACACCACAACAGAGGAGCACAACCATCCCTCACTGTCCGCAGTATTATTCCCAATCCTACCAAATGTTTGATTGACAACAGTGAGGTTGAAGAATATGACGAAACTTTGTTGATGTCAGTCAATGATTGATCTACAGAACTTGTACTGACTCATCTGTGACAGGCGTCTCCGCAAGCTATCGGAATACACAAATTCAAAGGCCAATATCTATGCCCTTGGTAAATTACTGCCAACTGCTACCTGGGGTCAATATAAGCCTATCAACAATAGGAGCAAGGTATTGTGTGACCCAGCGACTGGTGATCCAATCACCATATGGGTTGTCGGTCGGATTGCGAAGATGTGGTTCATGAGATTTGGCAAACCTGAAAGTCGGGTGACCTTAACAATCATGCCTCTATCAAGGACCCTTGCACACCAGAGTGTGCTGTTATTAGCCAAATTTTCTACCCCTGCTTTGAGTGAGAACAATTATATTCTAAAGATCAAATATGACTGCATAGTAGGCCTCACCCCACAAGGATTGGACATCATTTGCACAATAAAGTGGCAAAATGTCAGGGGCGGAGATACTGTGAACAAGGTAAGTGATTTGTACCGGTGGGTGGCATTGCACTTATAAGATATGTCAGGCTATCCTGTTTGATACCGTATATGATGCTAGACGCGACAGGTCACTAAAGACTTACAGTGAGCGGCCAATCTGGAACCTCACTGACTTGAAATCAGGAGATCTCGTCTTGTTGGAGATGAAGATGACACATTACTCCAAAAAGCAGGAAGACAACAAATGGCACTCTCGCGCTCAATATGAAATGATTGCCATATCTCTTCTGGACATTGCCGAGTTCCCCGAGGAGGATGGTCAGGGAACTACACAGATTGATGGATTAGCTATTTAAGAAACATATAAACAAACACAACTTGTTGTCAACCTCAATTGTCATATATTACTAGTCAGAATCTTATAAATATGTGTTTGCTGCGAAAATCACATCTAGACTGATTGAACTATGCACTTTTTCTGATTTGCATAAGATGTCATGAGTCACGTGCATAAATCAATGACATCATACTAAATGAAATATAGGGGCATCTCAAAATGACTGGCAGACGTGCAGTGCAGGAAAGACGATGACGATGGAGGTCCCAAACAAGCCTGAGTTACTGATAGCGATCGCAGGCTGTGAACAATATGACAAACTCACGCACGAGGAATTATGTATGGAGCTACATCTCAAGCAGCCACGCTGGATTATAAATCCCAAGGTGAGTACACGACAACCATCACTTCAGAATGATTTTGAACCACGTCCAGAGAGTCAAAAGATTGCGAGGAGAAGCAAAGGACTGTCAAACGCGGGAACCATGTATCACACTGCAGATCTCTGCCAACATCACTTTGTCAGCCAGTGTGACTCAAGGCTTATTGCTCTTGCTAGCAGGCCTAGTACCCATTCGGCGACAAAGACCTAATTCAAACAATGAGGCACTTCAAGTAATAGAAGAACTATTGCCTGAAGGAGAACCTCAACAACTGCTGGTATTGTTCCCTAGGGATCAGATGATCACTAGTTGGTACTATCACATCTATTATACCGCAAGAACTCACGACTGTCACACTCATCATCCAATCATGTTAGAGATCTTCGGGAGAAAGCAGAGTCCTCGTGGAGACCTAGTTGTTGTCAAGAATGGAGAGAGATTTACTCCCCAATCACCCGAATTCGATATAGATGGCAATGAATTGGGAAAGACATTGTGGTGGTACATGAGAAGTGGGAGAGATCCATTGAAAGAGGCGAGTGAAAGAAGGATGCTGTGATACATAGAACAGCTATATTTTCCAGAGTACTGATAAGGAGAAACACATATCAAATCAACTACAATTGTATGACTAGACTGACTGAAATAACAACATAGAAAGGCTATATGTGAAAGACAAACTGTCAATAATGCATATAAAAGTGAACAACATCGCCTAACCTAGCCAAAAAAGCATCCACTAAGGCCTTCTCATCAAGCGACATAGATTGTAGGGTGTTATAATCATGACCTAGGTGCTTGACAACAAGAATATCACCGTGCCACGTTGGAACTGTTTCTGTGACGACCGAAGAAGATAAAGCGCAATTAGCAGGCAATGTCTGGAGGTGATCAAAGAAGATGACACTGTACATGTGAGGGAAGAGACTATAGTGCGATCCAGGAAATCCACCAACAGATACAGAGCTAGGACTTGCATGCTGAGTATCAGCAGAACATGACTGGTGACTACCGCCTATCCACATATGCACTCAAACAACACCGTCCATGTCTTGAGGAACATAAGTGAGAATGGCTTCATCACAATCCATGCCATAAAACATAGCTCTATAGTATGTTCACCCTACCTAAACCACAGAGGGGAAAGACATCAGTGAAATTCCCTAGAGGAGAAAAGAAACATGCCAGCTGGTGAGAGAACATGTAATTTTCAATTTGATAGACATGAACAGAGGTGGTGGACTTGCGTGCAAACATAAAGGCAAAAAGTTGCTATGAGCACCATAGCGCATAGAGGAGTGCTTACCAATTGATGTCACATACACACTTCTTTTGGAAAAACCAATGTCACATCACAGTCTCTGAAAACATACTGAGACCATGGACCAATATGACGACTTCCACTATTGAGACATCTGAGACAACCGATTTTGCAACGACTGAGAGGTATATAAGATGCATGAGTATGATCTACCCCAAACAAATTCCGAAAAGCATGTCCACCTCAGATAATCAATCCAACAAATTCACATTCATAGGCTGTCTATTTACTTTCAGTGAGCCAAACAGCTTTGTAGAAGTAATTGTCAAAAGCAGAGCACCTGGCGTATTCCACCTGACAAAGCCCAACCTTTATTTCACGAGCAATGCTGACATCAAAGAGTGTCAGGTGAACATGCTTAAACAACAGTTCGACAAACCCACACTCTTCAGTGTCCTCTATGATGGCAACATGAATGGCAAACCACAATGTCCTTATCTTGTACTCAAGATCATCAATGAGACAGAGCTGAAAAACATGGAGAGAAAGGACTACGTGGCAGTGACCAAAGCTGTCGAACAGTGACTAACATTAATATCGTGACAAGCAAACCTATTTTGATGACACCAATGAATTAGTGTACTACACAAAGTACAAGATCAACATAAAGAGCACTGAATACGAAGACAAGTGGGAGAAAGAGAATTGAAGTAGACAAATCGCCACAGAGTAGAAGTAGGGACATACACATAACCCATATCACACAATGGCATGACAACTGTTGAACAAGTCTGGATATAACAAAATAAATAATTGTAAGCACGCGACCAAATCACGTGCACAATCATGCACACATTGTTGACTGTCGCAAACCCCTGTTAATCAGCCAAACATAGGAGGAAAATAATGAAAATAGAGATTCACAGCATTGCCACATCCACAAAGCTACATCAGAAAAGCACACCATGACGAACCTGAATGGGGACTTCGACAAACTCTGTGCAGAATTGCAAAGAATGATAATGGAGGAACTCGCGCTACCTGATCTGATATCACTAGGCAAGACTAGGATGCAGAATAATGAGGGAGTCAAAGAATACGTGGAAGAACTGACGAAGAAAACTGTATGAAGTGTTTGTCAAAGACATCGACAAATTGATCGACTTGATGGAACACACCAGAACTGTTGTATCTGGCTTAAGTGCGCTCCACCTTTTCCAACCCAAATCCAGTGCATTGAGGCTGCAAGACTTGGACGTATATGCAACTGAAGAGTTCAGTGAGAAGGTGTTGAATCACTTCAAAGACGACAAAGAATATACAGTAACTAACACTGTCAAGTGGAGGAGAGATTATGATGGCTCAGCCATATCCAGAGTACATAAACTCGAGAAAGATGACAAAATGGTGGACGTCATCATCACTGACTGGATAAGTGCAATTATCCCCATCCTCCAGTATCATTCTACGGTGGTCATGAACTACATGACTGCTCGTACTTTCGTATCCCTCTACCCCAAATGGACGAAGGAAAACAAGAGCTTGGTGAACTCTGCGGTATACATGGGAGAAAAAAGTAACCTGCAAACAGTGTTAGCCATCATGAAGTATGTGCAACAAGGAATCTATGTGAGTGCAGAGCCATTTGACATGGGGGTACATAACTGCGACCGGAGCACATACTGTCCGTGCACAACAAGGACCACAATTGATGAAGGAACCCTGCATTGGGAATTCGAGGCGAAGAAAACAGTAGGAAAGACCATGGTAGTATGCGACGACATGGCTGTCATAGAATGGTGCCTCGGAGGGGAAGGCTGCGAAGATGAGAATGAAGAAAACATCGCAGCACATATTGCTGTAGCAGCCTAACAACCACGCAACTAAAGCACATAGTTATCTCGGTGTGAAACATAGGTATAATTCACATCAACTTGATTGATTACATAATATGATTTAAAAAGACATCATGCCATCCAGACCGAACGACACGTTGCAATGATTAAAAAAGGAAGATCCAAGGTCCTGGGATGCCCGGAGGGCTGTTGCGAATTTTATTCTGGAGGTTGAATGCAGACTCCTACCCAGTCGGCGGTGTGTAGAGAGCCTTGATCCTAATTAGCCACACTGTGTAAATACAACCATACATAGTTTTTCCGACATGATTCCGACTTTTTGTTTTGGGCTCTAACACACCTAGCCGACTGGCACAACTTGCTGTGGCGCGAGGTTTGACTGTGTTTGTAGTCTCCTGTTTGTATCAGCTCAACGCACAAAGCAGAAAATAAGATAAAGGCAAGCAGAAGATTCGAACGCGGGGTCATAGGGCAAAAATCTAGCGTGACTTACCGCAACACCACAGTTGCTTTATTTCCTTGCATGACAACAAATATATAACCCATTGGTAAGCCTGCTCACGCACACAACTTGGGCTGTGCCGGCTCTTATACATGATAGCCAGATACTACACCCCAAGGGTCAATTATTCTTATTGCTCACACACCCAGTATACCATATACCATATAGATTTAATTACTGTGCAATGATTGAGTTGAATGTCCGGCTATTGTTAAAGCAGAATCCTGAAAAGTTCTTGTGTGCGTGAGCAGGCTTGCCAATGGGTTATATATTTGTTGTCATGCAAGGAAATAAAGCAACTGTGGTGTTGCGGTAAGTCATGCTAGATTTTTGCCCTATGACCCCGCGTTCGAATCTTCTGCTTGCCTTTATCTTATTTTCCGCTTTGTGCGTTGAGCTGATACAAACGGGAGACTACAAACACGGTCAAACCTCGCGCCACAGCAAGTTGTGCCAGTCGGCTAGGTGTGTTAGAGCCCAAAACAAAAAGTCGGAATTATGTCGGAAAAACTATGTATGGTTGTATTTACACAGTGTGGCTAATTAGGATCAAGGCTCTCTACACACCGCCGACTGGGTAGGAGTCTGGGTTGAATGATGAATCACCCCAGTGTGAAGATTCGGACGAAAATTCTCCAAAAGGAAATAGCGGGTGTTTTCGATTCTGTGAATGCGTTGTTAGAATCACTACGACCTGAGCGCTGAGCTCGAGTCATGAGGGTAACTACCAGCAAGTACGTTCCATTACAACGTTTTTGACGCTGTACAAGCTCAACTGCAGTGCCCTCATGTATGTCCTCATTTTTATTCGTCACTAGTCTGGCTCAGGGCTCTATCATCGCAGTATTCCTCCACGCGCCGGTGCCGCCGTGCTCTTGCCCCCTCACGTCTACGTGCACTCCTCGTTGGTCCTTCCTCGCTCTTCCATCGCTTTCGATCCAACACACATGAGACAACACAACTCCAACAACGCCCGACACAAGGGTTTATCTCACAACACCGACCCCATGTCATAGAAGTCGCGGCTCTACGTGATAAAAGGGCATGGTCCCCTCCTTCACCACTCTTTTACACTTTAATCTATCACATGGTCTTTATATGTCGCCCCACCACGTAGCAAACAGGGCAAAACACAAGGTACTCAGGCCAAAAGTCAGCAACAAGCTCAAAGTCACTCTCAAGCATCGTCGTTGCATCCTCCGGTCACTGCTGCCCCTGCAATATCCACGATGCTCACAACCACTGCCACCGCCGCTACTTCCATGCCTGCAACTGACAGGCCTTCTCATCGTGCGGTAGTCGTCGACAACCCCAATGGTGGATTCGCCTCATACTCTACATTTGCTGCACTTCCCTTAACTATACTGGCGACCATCACTTGATGAGGAGTCAGCTGTTCGTCATCCAGGCAGCATACTGGCGGTCCTCGTTCATGTTCTAATTGGTTTGGTTGTAATTGACTTGTGTATCCTCTTTTCCCGATCGTCTTCTGAATTGTGTTCACCCGGCTTGGTATCTAGTCTCATGGACTCGACCTAATAACACCGACTGTCTGGCTACTTGATAAAATGCAGTTTCGCCAGCGCTATCGTGTCATCAAATTCCGCAAACCTTATGACTTTGAGCAGTACAGGAAGAAGCTGCATTAATGCTGTGACTATTGGCAATATATTCTGATTGATGTCTATATAATTGGACATGTTTTCAGCGCAATATTAACGGGTAGTCTCTTAAGTTCCGGCCTGACTGGCGTGGGAGCTGAGCGCTGATTCATTTTCAACGTTTCATCCCATTGCAATCCCGTTCACAGTTCATCCAAGTGGCCAACCCACTCACTCCCACTCCCATCGAGAGAACGACGACTGCGCTTTGGCTAAACGACATTGTGTGAAATATTGACTATGGAAGTGTTTGTGTCGCCATCGTCCTCTGCGTTCAAATGCCTGGAAGACGCCCGCCGCTTCTATAGAGAACGTTTCCCATCAGTAAGATCAAACCCTGATCTTATCGTTGCCCCATTTTTCCCACAACCGCATTCAATTCGCGGTGACTTCGTGAGTAATTTATTGTTCCTTCATTTTACAAACTGAAACGTATATTTTGCGTGCACTTGTCATTTTCTTGGCGACCACTACATCTCTTTTGTACACAAGTCCAGAACGTGCGTACGGCAGCTTGGACACGGCTTACACTTATCCCCCGGCGTACTGTCCATAAATGAACAGCAGTGGTCTTATGACGCACAGCATCTTGACGTACGTTATGGAAGCCACAGGATTATCTTATCATATCTGATGGGCGCTGCAGACACTTCATATAGAGCTGGTGTTTCCTTTGATCATGAGTCTCACCCTAATTTGACCCACCAAGCATGTGTCCTGGTGTAGTTGAGCCATGGCTATTGAAATCACCATCGAGTTCAAGCTTGATACTTGATAGTGACACTGTACTACCAATCCCAGAACCTGTACCTGTCTGTGGCTGGCAAGATTTTCGTCAGCGACAAGCGACAGTTCAATCGGAATCAGACGATACACACGTACCTGTTACACTGCTCAGCCCATATCCGTGTCCGTTACCAGCACCGATTGGACACGTTACCCCACCAGTTTGCCAACTGTCGACTCCCGACTCCCCTTTCATCCCAAGGCCTCCGAGTATTACCCCACCACGTCACCGATCGCCAACTCCCGACTCCCCTTTCACAAGCTCGATGTTTGATGGTGACACTGTGCCAATCCCAGAATCTGTCTCTGGGGGATCAATTGCGCGCATGGCCCCACTACATCACCGACTGCCAACTGCCAACTCCCCTTTCATCCCAAGGCCTCCATGGGGCGACTCATTCCCCACATTACATTCGCCAGTTTTCCAGCCTCAATTTGTTGCACACACGCATTATGAGGAAGGAGAGGACCATTTTGTTCGTCGGTGGCAGAAATGGTGAGTTTTTCGCTTACGTTGGGTGCTGGTTTGTTCAATGTGTTACGGTGAACAAGGGATCAGTACGGCAAGCTGTGGCTACCAGATTGGTACAGGTCGCCTTCGCCCAGAGCCATTCCAGGAATCGATGACTATTTCTATCTCAACGTTCGCTCCATGAACCAGGGAGGCAAGTTTTCACTATATCAAAAATATATTGCATAGCATGTATACTGAACAAGCTCAGGCAAAAAGTCACTTGTTTTTAGCGACTTCAGTTCAATCTTAGATTCTTTTCTTCGGTATGTTATCTTGTAATTGGATCATGTGTGTGTTGATAACGTCGATACCTGATTCTCAGCACTGTATTTGTCGATGTCGACTACGACAGAGCTATTGAATACCCTATTCATCGGCTGTCTCAAAAGATGAAGGTGCTTCGGTCCAGATTGGACGATGCACGCACTCTCTTGGGTGCAGATCAACTCCCAGAAGACTTAGCAACCAAGGCCGAGACTTTCGGCTTCAACGTGTCTACTGGATGTGAGTTTTGCATTACTTCTTGCGTCGAATAACTCTGATCAATGTGGACAGGCGAAGTGGACGCTGAGTTCGTTGCTGTTCTCGTGATGCATTTAGGAAAACTGTTGGAGGTCGTGGAAACGGAAAGCAAGCAGCCGTGCGTGTGTCCCAGTCAATCTTACCCGTTCCTTGTCATTTATGACCATGCAGGGTCAAGCAACTCGAAGAATTGTTGTCTAACAATCAGATTTCTTTCGACCTTCTCGAGTATTACTATGAGGAAGGAAAGCGCTACATCTATAATTCTGGGCTTTTACAGAATAGTTTAGATGTCGAGAGGCCTATTGTAAGAATTATTCCTTCGCTCATTCATCGTCACCACTGATATGCTGCGCTCAGATCATGGTAGTCTTGAAGAGTGTTAGCTTCCTTGATGATGGAACGTGAGTGGGGGACCTTTCAGAACATGGCTGTGGCTGACTATATTTGTTCAGGGCGTTGCTCGTCGAGTTTGAGCATCTTGAGTGGGATGGCGTTCGTTTCGAGAAGCGCGTCATGAAATTTGATCTTCTTGCATTCCAGGTACTGTGACAATTGTCCAGTATCAAACTACTATTTGTTCACTCACCAATTTAAGGGAACTGAGCCCCTCTCGTCGTTGTTTCTCCAACCCGTCACAGACGAAGCCCTTGCTAAAGTGACTGGTGAGAAAATTTACCCCTTAGTTTGTCGTTAAAATGTCGAATCATCAATATAGAGCGTGGAAGACTCTATCTTTCTTACAGCAGGGTTTGCTGTGCAGAATGTAAGTGCCGCATCACTCCAGCTTCTCATCACGCCGTTCTCATACTTACCTCATTTACAGATTATGACGATACACCAATACGGTCGGTTTTCAATGGCAACTCGAAACCACGGATGAGGCGGGTGATGATCGACCCGGTTGGATACCACCGTGCCTCGCAAGGCTACAACCCACATCTGTGAGTAATTTACCTGTTCTCCTTGTCGACGCTAAGGAGCATCATAGACGTGTGCCACTTCCCGACAATGCGGAGGAGCATATCGCGTGCCTTCCATACTGGATTGGTGGGTATGATCTTGAAGTGAATGTGAGCTGTTTGTAACGCGTATTTCGCTGGCTGCTCAAGTTAATTATGATAACCAGAAATGGCGAACATTCAATATCTGGGATTTGAAGCCAATCGAGTATGATCAAGGGGCGTGGAGCAAATTGATTATGGACGAAGATACCAAGGTGCGCGCGATCTTGTTGGTTTCTTGGCTTCGTTTATCTTCTGTTGCAGGATCTTATAAGAGCACTAGTGGATAATACTGGACTGCTCTGTAGGCGGGTTAAGGCCAGCACAGTTCAACAAAGGACAGGTGTGTTTGAATTGCCATCGTTTTTTTACCTCTCATTTAACATCTCATAGACAGTGCTTCTTAAAGGACCACCAGGAACTGGCAGAATGACGACTATTCATGCTGTCTGCAATCTCCTCAAAAGACCTCTGCTTACTATTACTATCACTGCTCATGACTCATCATACGGCCTTATGAATCTGGTGTCAAATAACTCATCATACGACCTTATGAATCTGGTGTCAGATATTGCTCTGCGCGTATCGGTTCGTACAGTTGGCAGCTTTCGATGATTCTTTGACGTGACCTGGTTATCGTCTAGTTTGCAGCTACTTGGAACGCGGTGATTGTAGTGAAAGACGCCGATGTACGTACTCTCTTCAACACTTCACACTGTGATTTATCACGTTACCCAGCGTTTCTTGGAGTCGAAAGATTCAGTACATAGGGTATGTTTTAGCTGGTAGACTCTTACTATTCGAGCCTTCATTTCTCATCAGGATCACCTCAACACTGTTCTCCGTCAATTTGAGTTGGATGATTGTATCTCCTTCTGGGTATCAAGTACCTGCGACGAAGAACTCTTGACACGGTTTTCTGCCGGTACGTGACCCAATTGTCTGACCTGCTTCTACTTCTGAATGTTTTCCATTGAAGTCGTCAATTTCCCTGAACTGGACGCTGCAGCCCGACGTCGTCTTTGGCTCAATCACTTCGGCTTGAATGATCCCGCTACAATTATATGGAACAGCGAGCGCACACTCACAGGCTCCTCCATCGTGGATCAGAAGGAGATGGATCATTCATTACTCCTTCGCGATATCGAGAAACTCTCACGGCATCAATTGGATGGTAAGCCTCATGTCTGTTACCGACGTGGTGTCTGACGACGCTTTTAGGGAGGATGATTGACAATATCGTGCGGACCGCGCGAGCATTAGCTGCTTCAAAGTAAGTCCACTGCGTATGTTATCGGGCGACACTAATGATTGTTTTACAGCGGGGAACATTTGTCCATCCACCACATTAAAGTGGTCATGAAATCACAGCGATTGGATAATCTTCCTTTGTGGCGGAAGCTGACCCGAATTTTGACACGTCCGGCGAAGGTTCTTCGCACGAGTGTGGTGGATTAGGCGGAAGTCTCGTTGATTCGGCGCTCATGGAATCTACTGATACAGAGACTTATGGTTCGTGTCTGGACTCGTTTACTTGTAATATAGCTGTATGCCATTCGATGTACGAGATTAGATTGCAGACCCAGTATCTCCAAGGACAAGATAGGTTCTTCATCACGAGTGAATTTCAGCTGGGGCGGTAGACTCTGGAAAACAACATAGAAAGGTATACATGGCGCCAGCCGTGCGCGTGAGGGCCGAACACTTAATCTCCACGTCATAGTTAACATGTTGGAGCGAGCATGGAGATAAGGCACGGCAGAAGTATCGGCTCAAACGAACCCTTGTGCAACTGCCTTAATAAACCGGCCGCAACCACAGCTAACAGTTCACCGTCCCGTCCGCCAGTAGGATGGACAAACGTGCCCTACTAGCTGCAAAGAGTTGAAGGCACCAGGCGCAAATATCGAGAAACTGGACATGTGAACAACGGAAATGAAGAGCCCACTAAAAATATCCTTTGGATGGTGCATATAGTTAGCGTCAATCACGGGTCCGAGCGCTCCATATGCACAACCAGGCCTGTGAAGTATGCACAAGATACTACCCATACTCCAAACAAAACACACATGGTATGACCATCCCTCTGTCTCCCGAGTGAAGCGCATCCGTGTCAAGTACTTTGGAACAGCGTTTGATACTCCTGGCCTGCCAGAACAAGCTGAAATCAAGATCGAAGCAGTTGTTTACGAATCGATAATCGAGATCCTTGCGACGATTCCCTACAAATTCTCGAAAAACACCAAAGTGAGCAGCTCCTGCACATATCGTCTTCGGGCCGTCTTGTGGATGAAGATCGAATTTCTCTAACACGACCTCTCGTGAGCAATGTCTCGTGCATTTCTATTGACATGAGTTAAAATAACGCATACAGGCGACTTAACATACCGGTAATATTGAGATAACAACAACCTGCTCTAATTCGAAGAACGAGCTACTCTCGCACTCCTACTATGCATACCCCCACAGCTGGTATGTCACGGGTGTCAGCGATAGGCCTACGCCAGGATATGCGAGGCCATACAGATCGTGTGGGGGGTGTTCTGCACTTGCCTGGCAGACAGCCGCGGCGCATCATCACATGTTCGAATGACGGTTCACTCAGACTATGGAACCTAGAAAGCGGTGCACAGATAGGCGAGGAATGGCGGGATGAAGGGGATGGTGCAGTAGCAGTAGCGACCACCATGGCATTGTCTCCACAGGGAAACATTGTCGCAAGCGGAAACAGTGACGGGACAGTGAAATTATGGGAGGTCGAGACGGGGAAGATCATCGCCAAATGGAAAGGACATGCTGGTTGGGTGCAATCAGTGTGCTGGAGCTCAGATGGCAAGCGAGTGGTGAGCGGATCCCGCCGTGATGGGATGGCAAGAGTATGGGATGTGAAGAGCGGCAAATTCGCCCTAGGTCTGAATGCAATCAAGACCGGGCACGAGTCGGTGCACGCGGTGAGCTACTCACCCAACGCTAAAAGTATTGCGACAGGCGGATACAACGAAAGTGGGATCAGAATCTGGGACGCCAACACAGGCAAGCTGCTCTCCAAAATTAAACACGAGTGGCCAATTTGGAAGTTTGGTCTGGACGTCGGATCAAAAGAAGCTTATCTCGGGAACCGGGTATGGCTCGATTAGGATATTCGACACTGCGACATCTCAGCAGATCGCCGTTCTCGAAGGTCACACATACATTGTCTATTCTATCACTTTATTTCACAACGACCGTCTGCTTTCGAGCACATCAATCGATGGAGCAGTACATTTGTGGAATCTCGACACAAAACTCGCAGTTTGTCCACCCCTCTGGCACGAAAGTAACGTGGGCTGTTCGGCCATTTCTGCTGATGGGACGCTGCTAGCCACGGCTTGCGATGATCAAAATGCGTACGTGTGGGATATCCATGCCATCTTCAAAACAGCCGGCCTAGAACACCTACTCTCCATACCTATGGTGAGTGTCAACGTGTCATTTACTCTGTCTTACTGACAGTGTTCGCCGTTAGGCACCAGAAGACGGACTCGAGAAAAAGGTATGCATGATATGTCATGACTCTTCAAAAAATAAGTATGGCCCTAATCACACGCACACAAGTTATTGCTAGATGTATGTTGTGCCTTTTTGACTTTCACAATGATTGTCACATTGTTCTAGGCTGATTCTGCGCATCGTGCCCCCCGTCGAATACCACGAGGCTTTTTTGATGACTTAGTGCAAGACCGTGTTGATGTGCGTTACCACCATTCATCAGTTATTTTGCTTATTCCTATGTTCTCAGTCTTCTGCCACGCGTCATCTCCATCCTCATCCTTCTGAACATCGCGGCCGCGATTCTCCTGCACCCTCCTCTGGATTCCATCCACATACGCTCCTCACTCACGTGTTATCACTTTTCCGCCGCCACCAACCCAACACTGATGAAGCAACTGAACTACAACAACTTCCAAGGTCAAGCACTACCATTAACCGCAATCCTGGTGCTGTCGAAATTGCTGCAGTACGTGATAAGAAGGTGTTTCTTTCTCGGGTGTTTCCAATTGCTAGATTCCGATGATTTCTCTCCAGGCTTTGTATGTTGCTCGGCGACCAGAACGAGCTAGTGACAAGGCGAAACGCATCAAGAACCCTTCACGGTGGACTCGTTTCGTCTTATTTATCTGCTGCGTATCCATTCAACACACCACTAATGGTCACTCATAGAGATGTAGCACACGGACAACTGTTCCATGTAGCTTATTTTGTATCGTTTATCCCATTGTGGACTCCTTCACTTTCCAGCCTCGCTTCACCCTCGTCATCTGCTGTCCGTCCCTTCAAACCGATGACGGTCATGAACAGAGATGCAACACATGCAGTGGATAACTGTTTCATATAGCTATTGATCTCATATCGTTTTGCTGTGATCCCCCGTTACCCTATCCCCGACTCCCAACGTTAGTGGAGGAGGGCTTTTGTCGAATACGATCGGTTTCCCATCTCCCAAAACCTCTGTTGGCTGCAACCTTGTTTGGGACTTTTCGGTTACAAGTTGTCTTTGTGTCTGTCATTCAGTTCTCACTGAGCCCCCTTTTCCGTTATGCATAGTATAAACTATGAAAATAAGTCTATTTACCATTCGAGTCCATGATCAGCTTACATACCAGAGTGTAAGTACTATGATGGAGATGGTGTTTTTAAGTGCAGTCGATTTTAATACCATCCTGTAGAAAAGATAAAGTCTTGCTATCATTCGCCATTGCAAGCCAGTGCACTGAGCTCTCACCCAAAATACTTACGCGAGTTATGTAGCTAGGTCGTTCATCAGAGACGATGAATCAAGCAGATGCGCATTGCAAACCTTCTTTACTTGAAGATGGCGTTGATGTACGATATGGAATCAATGCCGGTGCCGAAACCAGGATATCGTAGTATTCACGAGTCACTCATATGTCATGCTTTCAAGTCAATTTTATATTATGGAGCGTTTCAGGTGTTAAAGGTCCTCCTGCAACTCGAATATACATTGTGCAGGGCACTGACCGACCCCGAACTACGCACTGCACCACCAATATTCAACCACGGCACCAAAGCTAAAGCAGAAACATAACTCACTATCGCGACGCGCTGCTCTGGCCGCTACCTCATGTCTATTTGGCGAAAACTTGGCATACATGCTGGCCATTCTAAATTACACAGCGTGAGGGTCAGTCATGTTGCTGAATCCTGGATGCACAAAAAACTACTCATACTCACTTCGCCCAATGCACATTTCATTGAATTGCAACACTGAGGATCGGTAAGGCAAACTGTGTTTTCATTGCCACATGCACTAACAGCAATAGATGCTGTCAAAGCAACGGTAATGGTGAGGGAGGAGAAATGCATTATTGTGCGGGGTGATGAATCTGCTAAGGTTATCTCGAATAATACCCCTGAGGATGGGGGGACACAGTAGGAAGACGGCCTGCTTTTATATCCTGAGGGTAGCAATGGAGAACTCGGGGGTTCCGATCGGTTTGTAAGAATGGATATCGTTGCACGAATTTAGGCAGAACCTACAGGCTACAAGCTACTTCATGAACGGTGATACCTGACGTGGCTGGAATGAGTGACGGAAGCTACATCATTTAGCGAGCTATGGAAAGCCAGACCACCGTGCTTTTACAACTTCTTCTCAGAGCCTGCCTATTAAGGCAAGTGCTTCCATTGAGTCATTGACCTCCAAACACCCACATGTACGACCATTAGAAAAATGTATTAACCGTTAATTGTGACACGTCACGCATTCATGATTCGAGGTATCTCTTATTCTGACATCCGCATGCTGAGCATAAGCGCCACGCAAGTACTGGTATGCACTACTGTCATGTCCGAATCGAAGTGCAGTTTGAATTTTGAAATTGTCCTAAACGGACTCACCGTCGTAAATGGGGAATGAGCAAACTCTCGTACAAAAAACGTAACTAGGGTCACTCGAATGTCATATGAACGATTGGGCACGTGGATTGTTGTTCTTCGACGCATGGCCAGGGGGTTTGAGGAGGATCTTGGTTGACTCGGAATGAATGAGAGTTGCTACTGCATAACAGAGCGCCAAGAATTTACCTGACATACCGGTATAACCTTGCTCGTGGATGAATCGAGATATCAATATTCCAGTTCTTGAGTCAACTATAAGATTCTCGAGATTTAGTGAGGCGCTGTATCATGTTCAGTTGGCTTGGAGTTTCTCGTACAATAAACCCCGATCAGACGCTGCTGGATCTCCCATCAGACAGTGAAACTCAAAAGTCTGACGATATCATCGGTTTCGGATCCATGTATTTCTCGAGAAGGACCTTGGGCGTGTTTGCGGAATCTGGCCAGCGAGTTAACATATAACGTCCTGCATATCAGCATGTCTACAAATAATAATATCAATCATTATATGCGCCAGATACTCGACATCCGGTACTTTCTAAGCCAATCTATAGGATTCTATCAGACACTGTTACGTGTATATCGTCCCAAGAGAACCGATTATCTGAGCTCAGGCTCCATGGAACAACGAAAATTAGAACTCATCTGCGCAGTGGCAGTCGCAATCCGCCACAGGGCACATGCCACGCGAACGTGCACCGTCTTCACCAAAGAACCAATCAAGAATATGCGATGCGTGTCCACCGTGACGACATGTCTGGCAGATGACGATTGCGTCGTCAATTGTGTCTGGGACATTAAGTCAGTCCGGCTCCCCATGCGTTTACACGAAAGAAGACATTACCTTGGTAAGCGGCCTGCGACTGTGAGAGCCCAACATCACGCGTATAATCTGGAACGATGCTCAGTGTCATTAGACAGACCGAACACCGCGGGAGAGCACGACTGCAATGCGGACATGCAGTAGGCTAACAAGTCATCCGATATTAGTAGTTCTTACATTCAAAAAAACAACGGCACTCACACGTCCCTTCTGCGTCTCGCCCAACACGGGATTCATCGGCTTTGAGCAATAATTACATCGAATCAAGATTTGCTTCGGAGCCCAATCAAAGGGCGCCAAATCCCCACTTAACACTGCCTCTTGCAGTATCTGCCCCCGCTCAACATCAAACGCAACTCGGTGGTGGAACAGCTTAAAGCCGTCCAACAAGTCCCTATACGTCTCTAGCCATCGCTCCGCTCGCGCGTCAAAAAACTTAGCAGGACACACATGACCAGCGAGGATAGCAGCAGTCTGCACATCGCCCGTACGGTCTACGTAGCTCTGTAAGATGTCCATACCTGAGGGGGTGAGCCCTGTGATAATGAGGCCCTCGATGTCACCGCGCGTACAGGCTCGGTCGGTCGTGCGTGCAAGGTAGGACGATAGCGCTTCGTCCTCCAGAAACTGGAAAGCAATTGCAAGACGCTCCCGCAGCAGAAGTGATTCTTCCTCAAGAACCTTGGACCAATCCTTGGAGGTAAGTTGGGTAAGCATAACACGGAAGTATGGATCTTCAAGGCGGACGATGAGGCGTTCGGCGTGGGTGCGCAGTTCGTTAGATAAGGTGTTGCCAGCGCTGGGAATAAGTGCTGCAAGAGTACCGGACACGAGATTGTGCATCTCGTCTAAGATATCATGTTTATCATTGAACGAAACGAAGAAAGACAGCCGCACCTTGACTCCGCATTAGCAGCTCCAGCGCCTTTTGATACTGTCGCGTGAAAACGAGCCAACATGCAGCTCTTGACTGCTGCCCCTCCTTCTCCCACCTACACGAGAAGTTTAGCAATGAAAACCACACATACATAAATCGTAGTCACCTTCTAATCTCATGGTTCATCTCCTCCTCCCCAATACTCCATCCGCAGAGATGCAACGCAAACTGTCTCTGTTCAAGCTTTTCTGTGTTGCGGACAGGGGGTTTCCATGGACGTCCCGAACTCGATGTCCGTCGAGCGCATAGTGCAGCAACGGCAGCCGTGAAATCCCCATATGCCAAATCATCAGAAGGCTGTCTCGTTCGCGTCAAAGGGTCTAGCACAGCAGGAGTAGATAGCGGAGAAAGACTAGAATCCCTCGGAGAAATTTGAGGTATCGTCAAAAGACCGTCAAGGATGCTAAAAGACGGTGCGCTCGACTCAGGAACTTGAGGTAGCGGTGCGAATCCTTCCCATAGTCCCAAAAGTCCTTGGTTTGAGAATTCATATCCATGTAATCTTGACGTCGGCGAGCATACGAGTTCACGGGAATCTGTGGTAGAGATGAACATCCAGAGTTGGAGACGCTCTGATGGAACGCACGATGTATCCAATCCCATAGCTCTGACAGCGTCGTATTTGAACAGGGATCTTCCTGTACGACTTGGGCGTTATGCTTGGCCTGAAAGAAAAAACCGTGGTCAGAACCCACATGACGAGATGTTAGAGTGAGACAACTCACGTTTGCCAGCCCATATCCACGGATAGTGCGCCGACGCATAATCATCGAGATATCATCCTCCACCACTTGATGCACGCTCCGTAAAATCTTCCCTCTCGATGAACTCTTCTCTCCAACTTGTCGATGACCATTTAATTTCGGCTTCTCTCCAGCCTCAGCCCTCGCAGCCGTCTGAGCACCGACATTACTCGGCGACGTAGACAGCTCAGACTGGTCGAGCGGGTAGTATCGAAACGAAGCTGGACTATACGTCCTCACTTTTAGCGGCTTCGATGGTGTGGTTTTGCTTTCCAGAGCTGGGAACCCATCTTCATCGCCCCTCCCAAATGCCGGCAGACTCGTAGTTTTGTCACGCCCCCGAGAAGTCGTGGTTTCCTCAATGCGTATATCCCACGGTTGTGGTGGAACTCCATGGTCCTCGAAGCCGGGGAGCACCCTGCATCCCAACCCAGCACCAATGACAAGATCCCCGCGTGCACTCCACGAAGCCTGTTTCGGTGTATCATACACAGCATAAAGTTCAAGATCCCCATCTTTATTGACGACCATAACCTCGGAAGTAAGCGAGAACGCGCGCTTCCTCGGAACAAGCGCAAAAGACGCAAGTGGTTTCCGAAAGCTCGTCGCTTCAATTAGAATAACGCATCAGCATACACACAGACAAGACCAAAAAAACAAAAAAAAAAACATACTTTTGCGCGTATCAGAAAGCACAAGCGCCAAAGCCTCCTGCGATTCAACATTATTATTCCTCATCCCATTCACAGCACCAGCACCAGTAGCAGTCCAAGGCGCCCACGACCTCTTCGCAGCCCGACTATGTGACGACTCTCCTGATCTCTCCCCGTCGGAATTATTCTCGCTCCCATGCGCCTGCTGCAGATCCCAAAACCGCACATAAGAAGAATCCTTCTCATGGGCTGCAAGCAATCCCCTCCTCGAGCTCGAAAACTCGATATGGTTGACAAAAGACGCAGACGCAGAGCGTGGTCTTGCACCATCAGCAGCTGCGTCTTTCTCTGTAAACGTAAGCAGCGGATGCGGGAGGCGTCTTGCATCCCAGACGGTTATAATTCCGTCTCCACAGCACGCAATCTGGTGTGGGTCGATTGGGGATGTTGCTATGCCGTAGACTTTAGTTGCGATATTAGTAGTTGCTGGGACTGAGCTCCGGAGGTCAAATAACCTCAACCACCGTGCTGATATACCAGCTAAGAGCATATGCGTAGATTGTGGGAGGAAGGCGAGGGCTGAAACTATTTCTGTGGGTGCATGTTGCTGCAACACGCGTCCGTCAGTTCTGTGATGACCGACTTCAGCACGCGCTATTCGAGGTTGTGGACGTGCTTCTACTGTGTCTTCTGATAAATTAAAATTGGGGGGTTTGGAGGGTGAGAGGAGGGGCGTGGCGGATTGGATATCCCAGATGATGAGACTGGAGTCTCCCCTGACTTTGTCGAGGCCGACAGCTAGGTAGTTGGGGTCTGCGTTACAGAATGCGAGGGGCGTTACATGACCGGGTGTTGCGCACTGGAAGCGTGACGACTGGACCGCTTGAGAGGACGTTATTCCGAGCGACCTTGGTAGCTTCGAGTCTGATGAGGTCGACGCGTCCAGAAGCTGTTCCGACAGCAAAAAGATCGTCAAATGCAGGGTCTGGCGACCAAGAGAAACACTATAGGTGGAAAGGCCAGAGCACCTTGAGTCGAATCAAGCTTTCGAGCGGAAGACTACGGAAGCTCACCTTCATGAACTGCAAGTCATTTTGTGAAGTTACATGTCGAATTTCAGATTCTTCTGGTGCCCATTCGTACATTGTCATTTGAGAGCCTCCTCCGACCATAAACTTGTTCTCCCATCGTGGATGCCAGAGTAAACGCTTCTCCGCCTGCGCGGAAGGGGCCATGCTCGCGGTGACCCGTCAAGATGAAGCTTAAAGTAATCATCCCAAAAAGGAAATGAACGATGAAGTGAACAACGACAAAGAGCCAGAAAATAGACGTTCAACGATAGTGGTACACTATATTGCGGTACTGTATATGCTCTACGCTTCATATGCATCATCACGGTCTAATCAAAACGAACCCAAAATTATGGCTAATTTTACGAAACGCAAGTTACTCAGACTCAGAGGTCAGCTAGAAGTCTAATCAACATCCATCTCCGGCGGCCCAGGAGCCTCCCCCTCTGCCTTCGGCGGACCCTGCTCCCCCTTCGGCGGCCCTTGCGTCCCCGCATCAGGCGTCTGCGTCCCACTCTGCGGTGTCTGCGTTCCAGACGTCCCCTCCGCCTTCACAGGCTTCGGCTTCGGCTTCGTCAAAATCGGAATCGCGAAATAAATCACATCCTCCCTCTTCTTCCCAATCTCCACGCTCGTTAACACAGGATCCACATTCTTCGGCTTCTCGGCTTGCCGTGCATTCTGGTCATCGAGCCACTTTTGGACTGTCGCACATTTTTCGACGACTTTCTGTTTTTCGCTGTCGGCGATGTGCGCGAATTTCTCATCAGGGGAGGTGGCTTGGGAGATGTAGTCGTTGACGGTTGCGCGGAGCTGGGCCATGGCTTTGGGCCGCTCTTCGGCTTCGCGGTAACGCGCGACGATGGCGTCGCCGACTGCTTTGAGGGCGTCGAGTTTGGCGACGTACGCAGATTTGGTGGCGTCTTCGCCTTCGTCGGAGTACAGCCAGTCTTCGGCTTCTTGGAACATACCGTTCAGCTTCTCTTTTTCTGCAGCCTGTGCGAAGGATGAGTAGCGCTCATCGAGCTTGGCGCGCATGTCGTAGACATATTCCTCCAGCGCGTTCTTGCGGTCCTGTTGATAATCATAAGCACAATTCTATACCATGGATTGGTAAAACAAACCTCAGTGTCCATGACAAGCTTATCAGCAGTATGCATCCCTGCCTCCAGCTCTTTCAGCTTCTCAACGAAGCTCGGGTCGAGCGACGAAGTACGAGTAGAGAACGGAATCTCCTTCTTCACAACTCGCTTCTTCTTTGGTGCCTCCCCATCAACTTCCATAGTCTCCTCGCGCTCCTCCACCTCTTCCGTGTACGCATTCTCAAAAGACATGATCCCATGCAAATTCAGCCGCGTCTTCAATTTCACGCACGTAAGGTCGCCGTTCGGGGCAGGCGGAACAGCTTGTGCCGTGAACCGTGCAATTGACGGATTGATTCCTCCTGGTAGAGTAGCAGGCTCTACGTACTCGGCATCGATCTCAAACGGCTCCTTGCGGTAGAATGTAAGGATCTTGGTAGACGGGATGCCATTCCCACGAGGGGAAAACGACAAGCTCAGTGTCATCGTCTGGATCTGAGGCAGAGCGCTCCCAGGACACCTTGATCGGGTACTGGTTGATATCGTGCACGTGGAACTCGCGCACGCGGAAGGTAGGAGATTGGAAGGCAGCTGCGAAGGTGGCGCCGCGAGCGATGGCTTCGTCTTGGTTGAGGGTGGTTGAGAGGACTTTGCCTCCGAGGGCTGCTTGGATGCGGGCGCGGACTGCAGGAATACGGGTGGTGCCACCGACGAGCTCGACGGTGTCGATATCATCGATGGTAAGTTGTGATTCAGCGAGGGCTTGTTGGAGGGGCACGGCGATGCGGTCTAGAACGCCTGAGATGAGCTCTTCGTAAGTTTCACGGTTAAGCTTGGATGAGGCGTCAATGTCGTTCATGAGTGATTCGACGTTCAAGGGGGCCTCATTGTTAGCTGAAAGGATCTTTTTCAGTTTCTCACAGCCGCTGAGGAGACGGAAGGTTGCTTTAGGGTTGGAAAGGACGTCGATATGGTATTTGGCGTTAAACTCAGCAGCAAAGTATTGGATGAGAGCGTAATCGATATCACGACCACCTAGGTGGCGATCGTACGCAGCTGCTTTGACGGACAATTGACCTTTGGAGAAAGCGACGACTGAGACGGACATGGAGGAATGGCCAACATCCACGAACATGACGTGTCGTGGGTTTTCTGGCTCGGGGAGATCGAGTTTTGTGATACCGTAACCGAGTGCGACAGCAGTCGCGTCATTGATGAGACGCAGAGCATTGAGACCAGCAATTTGTGCTGCATCAAGCACTGCTCGTCGCTGAATATCGGTATACCATCCTGGGACAGCAATAACGAGATCAGAGACTGCGGTCTTGAGCTCATTTGCGGTGATATCACGCAGCTTGCCGAAATACATTGCAACAAGCTGGGGTAGCAGAAAAAATCTGCTTTTCGCCACGATATGTTACCTGGGATGATAAAGATCAGTATGAGATTAATTAAATTTTTATCGCTAGCGAACCTCTACGCCGATTGTTCCTTCAACATCAACAAGGGCTGCATTGAGGAATTTCTTCTCTACTTCGACATCTTGATCCTGTAGTGTTCTACCGATGAGGCGCTTGAGGCTACCTATGGTATTCTTGAAATTTGAGGTCTCTTGAGTTTTTGCAGATTCGCCGATAGAGCGTTGTTTGGGGCCAAATGCCACGAGAGATCTAGACAAAAAGACATGGAATAAGAATTAAGAATGGAAGGATGCGAGAAAGAAGATGCAGACGGTGTTGCACGATTGGAAACCTCGTTTACAATGATATCGATACCTCGATTTCTTGCTACGCCGATCTTTGGGTAACAAGAAGTTAGTGCATTGATGTGATCTAAGCGATGATAGTGGACGAACCTTGCTGTGCAGAGTACCGAAGTCGACACCGACGACAGACATTGCGACCAAGTTATTCTAATGAAGATAGTTCGTGATTAAGATCGGATGGCAAGCAGACTTGTTTTTAAATGCAAATTCAAGCGCGTTGATGAATTCACATTTCGTAGCTATTCTCTTTTAGGAAATTTCGCCACTATTCTACAAAGTTCGATGCTTTTCCTTCAAAGGCACCCGCGGCTGTGGCACGAGGCGGTAGCATGCTGTTCAACGGCCGTGCTGCGTACATAGCATTAAAATTCATCGAATGCTACTGCTGTTGGACGAGGAGCTGTAGACATATAATTATTTAGTTGTCAGCGAGAGCGCTCATAAAGCGCTATGTAGCATATGTGAAGCAGCTGTGAAAAGACGGACACGTTTGGGAAGAATCTGAATCAAGTTTGACGCTCTCTCTATCTTCTTGACTCCCATCTTCTAGCCTCGTTGGTAAAGCATGGTTTTCAGCTTAATTTTTAATCGGACTGATCGATCTTTGGTAGGGATTAAAACCAAGGTAAAAACATCTAAAACCAACGATTTTAAAACCAATTCGGATCGCAAAAAAAAATGTCAGCAAGGCAAAATAAAAAGCGCAAAGGCCGAAACAACGTCAATAACCGCGAACGAACGGTCACCACGTTTACAGAGGATCCAAACACTTCTTTCCTAGTACCACTACCAAGCGAAGAACCTGCTCTCTCTTCACCTTTCTCTGTTGCTTCTACATCTGCTACCAACAACCCAAACAATAACTTTCAGAATTTCGGCATGTCCTATAATTTCCATGCGCACGGACCCAACAGTCAGCCGCAGCAGGGCCAACAACAGCAACAACAGCAGCAACAGCAACAGCAACAGCAACAGTTCTTTTCTCCGCAAGTCATCCTACCTCCAGGCAAAAACGATCTTGAAGTACTAGAAAATTTAAAATCTATCATCAAGGAAGGTCAGCACGAGTTCTATCGTGCAATTCCTCAGCCGGCTGCTCTCGCTAGCCTCTACTTGGGCCCAACCTCTTCTCAGGTTCTGCCACATCCAGAACAGCTTCCTGCGGATTATTACAACCAGTCTGGTTACGATAACTCTTCTGACGACCAAATCCCTCCTTACTCTTCAGATTCCGCAAGAAGGCCCCCGGATCCACCCGCAGTCAAGAAATCGTCATCGACAGCTAATGTGCTTATTTTCGGTCTTACCCTAACCCTCTCACCTAACACGTGTTCTCAGAATCCAGACCCTACTCCCCCACCTGGAGGTCCCAAACCTGGAAAAAAGGTTGAAGCTCCACCCCAGAAACCCGAAAGCAAGATGTCAACGGGTCCAGATAATGCCGACGTTAATCCCCGAGATGGTGCTCTTTCAGGCGATCATCGCGACAGTTCAAAAATTGAGACATCTCGTCCTCTTGGTGACCGTCCTGGTGAGTATACCACTCGTCCTTCCGTCGACTCTTCAGCACCAAAGTCCACCTACGATGGTAAAGACGATATTAAACGAGATACTTTTCGTGATTCCCCATTGGACGACAGAAGGGTCCGATTTGATGCAGAACGCCGTCCTCTCGATAGCCGCCCTAACGGTAATGACCCTCGACCGCCTCCAAGGGATCAAGCATTCCTTGATAAAGAAAGAGACAGAGAACGTGAAAGAGAGCGTGAAAGAGAACGTGAATGGGGACGTGATCGTGACAGAGACCGTCCTCAATACGGTGGTCGTTCCTATGGACGCAGTCATGCTCCTAGACCTCCCCCAGAACAACGCCATTATGAGCCCCGATATCCATTTGACAACATCCCTCCTCGCCGCTATGATTCAAAAGACGATTTGGATGTAGACAAGCGCCCTCCCCTGCGTCCTGACGATCGCGGTCCACGTCCATCTCTCGATGATAGGCGGCCGCCTGTTGATGACCGTGAATCCCGTGGTATGGTGGTTGATGACCGCGATCGTCCTAGTCGAGTCACCCTTGACGATCGTCCAACGAGAGTCTCTGGCTCAGTCCATAGTTCTGAAGATCGTACTGTTCGACCTCCGCTTTCACCCGATGACAGTCACCGCATGGCTGATGACAGACCTACTCGCCTTCCTCTTGCCGATGTGGCACGTGCAGCGGATGTTGATCGTCCTCGACCTCTTGAAGAGAGAATATCTCAACAATCAGTTCCTTCCCTCCAAGAACGTCTCAGCCAGCCTGGGGCTCCAAGAGTGGAAAACCGTGTCACCCACCAACCGAGTTTGGAGGAGCGCTTGTCAAATGCACCTATTGCTTCTGATCGGCCTCTTCCGGATGCCCGTACTAGTCCTGTAGAATCATCACGTGTACTGCCTTTGAGCGATCGTCCTGCTGCTCCTGCTGACGTCCGTCCTCGTCCACCTGTCAACGATAACTTCGCACGCCCAGCAACTCCTCCCCCTCGTTCCAGTGGTTATGTGGCACCACCTCGGGCGGCATCTGTCGCTCGGGATGACCTCCGTGGACCCAAAGATTCACCACCAGTTGTTCGTGATGCGCGCGATCTCCGTGCAAGGGATCTCTCACGGGAGAGATCAGATGTAAGACCACCTTACCGCTCGGACCTTGACAGAGGGTTCAGTGATGACAGGCGTCCTGATGCTATGGATTCTCGCCGCTACAGTCCACCACCTCCTTCGGACGTTCGAGGCAGGAGTTACTACCCTCCACGGTCACCACCTCGGGCGGACGTACCATTCGAGGCTGATTCTGACCGAAGGTTTGCGACTGCTGATCAGCGAGACTCAATCGATAGGCGGCGTGACTGGTATGGAGCTGCCGATGATGACAAGTCTCGTCCGCCTGTATGGAGACCCTATGATAGAGAGCCTCAGAGAGAACGGTATGACCGCGATGCGCCACCTCCCAGAAGTTCTGGGTGGGAAGGACGTGACCCGGAACGGAGAGCACCGTTTTCCAGTTCCCCAGTCCGCCCTATTGATTCTTCCCGTCCACTGAGCTCGCGCCTTGGAGATGGATACCTGCCCCCCGTAGACGACCGTTCGTATCCACCGCGAGACTTTGACCGTCCCCGCTACACAGGTCCAGATAATGACCCTCCCTTCGTCCGTGGCGTCCGTCCGCGCAGCCCGAGTCCGCCAAGAAGAGGTGGCGGCGAACAGTTCTCTTGACGATATCCGACCACCTCTCAAACGGGCACGCGAGGACCCGCCATATAGCGGTGGTGGTGGGTACTACTCGCCTCGCAGACCGTCGATGGGTGATTACCCACCTCGTGCTGCTGTGACGCCGCCACCGGGGAGCGGGACAAGCGGTGGGTTCTATGAGTCGCGTGGGGGGGCCACCGCCGTTTAGTAGTGCTTCTGCTGGGATTGAGAGGGATTATCCGCCAAGAGAGAGGTCGGGACCCGGGGATGGTGGCCCATCTTATGGGGCTGCGTACGATAGGGATACGAGGCCGCCGAGATCGCCCCCTCCGAGGATGTATGGACGACTTTCGTATAGACCGGATCCTAGGGATGATCGGAGGTATTTACCGCCTCCTCCGAGATCTGGTTGAGGTATGTGTTTGTGGGTTGGTTGAAGCGTGGATTGCTGATATTGCGTAGGAATACATGTATGAAGATTTATGTCATGAATGCATTTCTTGGTTTCTTTTTTCCTTTCTTTTTCCTTTCTTTTTTCCTTGTCCTTTCGTTTCTATCTTTTCTATGAGTTATCATCGCTGTTCGACTGTGCATGGCCATGGTATCGTACACATGTCATATAGTCCAGATTCTTCTATTTCATTCAGAGTTGTAAAAGTTTGCAGCGCTACTTTAAATACTCCTGATTCGTGTTCCATACGTAACTTTCAAATATGAATGGATATTCGACGTGACGTATTCCAGTCAAATTTTGCGGTTTTCAATTGGCTGCGTTCGATTTCCCAAACTGCAAGCGGCACCGCGATCTCGTGTCAATGATATGATTCACCCATCCTCTCTCTAAGTCCAACACATCCATATATCTAACCGACATTGTATTCATATATTGTATCTTGATCTTGTCCATATCTCTTGTACGATTCGCTCTCTGTATCGCTATGCCTAGAGGAAACAACAACAATCGTGGGCATGGATCTCCTCGAGGCCCAGGTCGCGGTCAAGGTCGTGGACGTGGACGTGGTGGACGAGGGCGGGGACGAGGACGTGGGCAAGACTATAACAATGATACACCTCGAGGAAACTACCCTCATAGCCAAAACGAGATGGATGTCTCGGTTCAGGTCTGGCAGGAGCCATCATTGAACAGTGCGTAGGGAAACACTTACACAAGTGTTTCTTCTTATCTTGACATCCATGCAGACTTCTCAAGAGGTGGGACTCACGGTCGAGGAGGATTTGGATCGGGATCGGGATCAGGTACGCCTCAGCGAGGAGGAAGCACCCCTCGTCGTGGGATGGGTATTCCCAGAGGTAGGGGACGAGGACGAGGAATATCCGACGCTCCCAGAGCACGAACAGGCTTCGGCTACGGTACCAATCGGAACAGAAACGCAGCAAACACACCTCTTTCCAAACTCCTCGACTCTGAACGACCGTACCTCAAACCTGTTATATTCGTGCCATCGGTGCTTACAAGGACGTTGTTTCATGAGGAGGAAGATATTCTACAGCCTGTAGCTGAGAGTGCTGGTATGTGTTATGTTTTTCTGGTCATTGTAGTTTTTCCTGAATGTTGGGTTGGATGGTTAGGTCCGAGTGAAAAAAGCCATGTCCCTACTGCAGATCGCGTTGCTCGCGTGTTCAGTGGAGGAACTCTTCCCCCTCCATCCTCGTCATCTTCAGAAGACGGTGTTTCTGATCATGAGGACGAATTGGAGGAGGTCGACTTTGCTGATATGGGAAATCTGTTTCATCAGCTTCATACTGCTCAGGCTTCCACTAGTACCCGGGCTTCACATGCACAAGTCGCTTCTTCTTCACGCAAGGAGGTATTCACTGGGGTGTATAACAAGAGAAATCACACTGTCGCAACTCCCCCATCCCATCCAGCTCCAGAGCATGCAGATGTATCGCCCAAAAAACCTAACCCCGTATCCATTGATGCGGCGGTCAGTGAGACAACCGCCATTACTGTACACAGCGTCACTACGCTAGAGCATTCAACAGCTGCCATGGTGATAACCAAAGATGACGAAATAGCCATCGATAAACCAGACACCTTCCCATCCTCGCAATCTCCCACAGCACCAATATCAAACGAAATCACTGTTTCCCCTACATGTCTTCCTGAAGACGATACCCCCACCTTCTTCGTGGATACAGAACCTACTAAACCATTTACGCATCGCTCCTCCAGCGATGTCGTGCTTTTTGATCGCACCGTCTGGGATGGTGCTCCTCTTGGGGAAGATGACGAAGCTTATCGTATATGTTGCACCCCACCCACGATCAGGGCAAGTTTCGCCCAATGTTCCTCGAGTACGGTTACCCTCGAGGTCTGTACTGACAGGTACTACCAATCCCATGCAAACCTACCCAGGGCCCGTGGCGCATGAAGACACAATCGAGAATAAGAGTCTCCCAGTTCCGAGCGAAGCTCCCCAGTTCTCCTCCGTTTCGTTCGATTTTGCTACTCCCAGCCCGAAGAAACAGTCTCGTCAGAGACCAATCTTCACTCCGGGCGATCGCTCAAAAGCGAGGATGCAAGCAAGGAAACAAGACGCTCGAGTAGCTCGTAAGCGTGCCAAACGTCAGGCAATGTTTGGGTCCTTTGGCGCGATACTTTCTGAAGCGAGATTGAGAGATGCTGATGAACGGGGAGCGCAAGAGTGCTCGATGGGAGTCTCGGCGGAAGGACGATTCTGATGTTGATTTTGGTGACGACGAGGACGATGCCCGCCCCGGTAAATGATGGTGTCGACGAGGTATCTATTGGACTAGGGGGCATGGATCTAGACCCGGATCTTGAACCAGATTTGGAGGCTATGAAAGGCTTCGTTCAGAGCATGAGCGCGGAAGGATCGCGGCATCGCACGATTGATGAAATCCAGGACGAGGAAGAAGACGACGGAAGTGACTCCCACGGGAGTTATAACGACACAAGCGATGAAGAAGACAAGGAAGAAAACGCGGTGTTTGAAGTTGAGGAAGAAATGCTTATTGCAGAATCAGAGGGGGGAAGGCCTCATGAAGCTTCACGCTCAGATGATTCTGACGAGGCAGATGATTCGTCCGATGATGAGCTCAGTCCAGGAGCTAACTTCCAGGCTAGACTCCGTCGAGTCCGCGAGAAATCGCGCTCGGCGAAGCCAGCGACAGCTGCAGCTGGAAGCGATTCAGAAGAGGAGTCTGATGCTCCTTTCCCGCGATGGAATCGAGGTGATTCCGACGATGATTACATCGCACGAATAGAGGTGTCTCGATTTCCCTCCTTGCACTCCACGAAGGCTGACTTCTACCTACAGGACATGCTTGAAATGCATAGCGGTACAACTGGTAAAGACCGCAAACTACGCAATAAACTATTCCGTGCAATACAGAATGGTCAATTCGACCACATCGATGACTACGAAGAATTAGATGGATCCTTCAGCTATCAGCCAGCGAGTTGGTGCTCTTTCTATGTCATGTTGATCAGTTATCTAATTGATTTTCAGAGGGCAAGAAAGACAAGATGAAGGAATTGCCCGCCGAGCTCCAAGAGATGTGGGAGAAAGATCGCGCCAAGAAAGCTGAACGCAAACGGGCTCGCAAGGAGGCCCGCCTTCTCGATGCCGTCGATCCCATTTCTCCAAAGAAAGGCGGCAAGAAGGGGCGCAAGGCGATGCGGGCAGCTGCACGGCTGGATCCGAGGGAGCTCTCTGAAATCCAGAATGCGATCGAGGATATGGTGACACTGGAGAAGCAGATTCGCCGCTTCATTAGTGACACCAGCGGAAAGAACAACATGGTACTTCCTCCGATGAACAAGGCGTCGAGGAAAGAAGTTCACGAGCTTGCTAACTCGTTTAACCTCAAGAGTCAGAGTAAAGGCAAGGGAAAGGGGAGATATACTACTCTCATCAAGTCCACAAACATGCGTGCTATTGATGAACGCAAAGTCAAGAGTGTCATGAAGAAACACGGAGGCCGGTTTGACACGGTGCCTCGACACAAAGATGGAGATGAAGTCGGCAAGGTATGTGATTCGTCCACTTGACATAAATGTGGCTCTTACATTCTCGTTTGCAGGCTGCTCCAAAGATCGGAGAGAAACGAATGTCGGGTTCAGGATGCTTGCTTCTATGGGATGGGCAGAAGGAGACAGGATCGGTGGCGATGCGTCCACTGGGATCGATGCGCCTTTGACGGCTATCATCAAGAACACGAAGCTGGGCCTAGGCGCTACTCGATAGTCACTATCTTCAGAGCGAAATATAATGCCTTCCCTGACCACAGCTGATCCTTGATGAAGCACAGCGAGTTCGTCAAGGCTGGAAATGTGAATGCAGTGGTATTACGGATCCGGTTGAACGTTGTTTACTATGTTGATGAGGTTGGTTTTCCTAATGCGGTTTTTTTAAATTCTATGCGGCACTCGAACTATTGCGTTGAGACAAGTTTTGCAAAAGATAGGAGAATCAGATACAATCACCTTGCGGAGCAAGGTCATGTTGGAGAAAATTTGGTCATGACAAGGGCTCAGCGAAACTTTCCAAGGGGTCAACTTCCCGCTTTCCTTGGGAGGTGGTAAAAAACAAGTCGCCAAAGGTTCTGTAAGCCCGCTGGCTTACTAGAGTTCCCATAATCTACATAAATACTGACTGCGATAATCAAGCGTGAGCTTTGATTATCACTGCCTTTTGGCGTAATTGTTAAGGGCGTCGGGGACGTCACGTGTATGGAGAAATGGTCAGGCGAGCGGAGTTTGAAAAGCGGCCCCTTGCCAAAGCTTCAGTGTATTGGTCTGTCTATTACCTCCCGGGTCTAATGCCGGGTGCCGGGGAACACCTTCCCCCTCTCAGAAACTCACTGTTTTCTTAGAACTATTTTGTTGCTTCCAACGAATTCATGACTATGGTGCCCAAATCGCCGCTGCCTCCGGTCAATAATACTGAAGACCCCACGCCGTGAACGTTTTGCGTCATCGACAGCACGCTGGAGTCAGTTGTATGTCAATCATGGACCAACCCTAGCTAGATGCTTTCACTGATTTGATCGTCTAGAACACTAACACGTGCATCGTACCCTTTGAAAAAAGAAGGAACTAGTATACTCCTTCTTCAAGGTCTGACTATTGGAATTAATTGTAACCTAAATTCAGCCACTCCACTTATGATGCCTGGCTAATCGTTTGCATATTACTCTCAATAAGGTCATATTGGAAAGGGCTCAGGCGTCTACACACTGCCATGGCTGACCCATGTACACTCCAAAATCTTTTACAGCGCCTATGGTCACCTTCTGATCATGCGATGCATAATTATTGTCGCCTGTCCCCTTCGCCTCGTGGATCATCATGAGTAAAATGCGTGCATTGTCTTCCCACCCTCTGTTATGCATATAATGGGCAAGTATCGTCTACAGCTGCTAATTGCATCATGTCTGACGATGACACCTTCAGTAAGGATCCCTTTGACAAAGGCTTATCCACTCGGAGGCTCGTCATTTTTGGTTCCATTTTCTCCATTCTTGCTGGCCTTGGTTTTATCGCTGGTGGTGTTTACATATGGATCTTCACATTATCGAGTCCAAACCACGTTCATGGTCTACTGTACTTCAAGTGCCACGTCCCCTATGAGGTACCCGGCCTAGCACTGAATCTGATTGTAACTGTATGCACAGAGTGTGCTGGGGTAGTGCACTCCATGACCTTGCGATTCGTATTATTTCAAGAACGTCGTGCCACGTACAACTTGAATCTGCGTCTTCTGACTGGATCTGACGAAAAACCTATGAACTCTGTCATCATCAGCGGGCTAATGGCGCTCTTGCTTATCATTTCATACGCGTCCAGCTCTTTCTTCTATCAAGACTTGGGTCAGTATATCTGGTCCGATGAGGCATGTGGGGTATTGGCAATTCTGGCCATCGTCCTCGGCATCTCCATTTTTCTCCAGACATGCATCTCGCTCTTTGCACTACGGGATATAGAGATCCCGACCTGGAGCACTTCCCCTCTCGATACCATACCAGCACTTCGCCATATCCATCGTCCGCAATGTTTGAAGAAACATTACCTATTTGCAGACCCCTGCACGTGTGTTGGTACCCCTCCAGATGCAATAAAACCTATACACCCCCAGCCATCTGCGTGGAATACTCGCAAAGGAGTGAGAATGGCAATTCATTTTTTATGGGGTTTAGGCATCACATGTATGTTCTGGGGCCTCTGGGTCTACCTAATTCTCCCAGAAGGTTCGAATCGTTCATGGGCGTTCTTGCCGGGCCCAAATAATTACAGGGAAGACGCCATTAATGGTGACTACTGGGTGAACCTACATGGAATTACGTTTGCAACATGGCTCTCGCTGTACGCGCTCATGGTGATCACCCAAGGCGGCCTTACTCTTGGGCTCCACTGCGCAGAGCTTGTTGCAGGTGTAGTACGAGATGAGACAGTATGGAGAAGAAGAAATGAAGGATCGAACAGCGGAATGAACTCTTCTTTCAGCTCTCAGTTTCGTGCGTTTGGGCTACGCAACTGGCTGTACATCGTGCTGTTCTGTGCCAAGCCAATCCTTCGTATGTCCTCTGTGATGCACTATGTACCTTGACTTACCTGCATCGCCGGCAGATTGGTTATTTGGTCTCGCAGTTGAGATATACATCTACCAAGACGTCACTGTTACAGATGTGTTAGATGGATACACTGCTGGAATTAACTTCTACTTTGCCCAGGTATTTGTCGTCTTTAGTCAGTGCTGTCCACCTGTCTGATTGGATGTACAGATATTTTATTTAGGGTTCAGTCTCTTCATCACTGCCATTATTTTCACATTAGCAGCTTGCCACCATCCAAAGGGAGCTCAGCTGGCTACATACAGACACATTAAGACACTCCTGGACCTGGATGACCGAGAGGAAGCACAGTCTTGTGGTATGGTGGACCTTGTCATTGATGGTCCAGGTAAGAAATATTTAACTCATGTAATTGTGCTCTGAACTCTTTTGACAGGGACGAGCAGGGAGTCACTTCTGGCGGGAAATGGTTTGCTAGACGCAAAAGCACATGCAAGGAACACCTCATTGTAAGCATGGCTTACATCAGTAAATCACTAAACCTTCACAGACTTTGGCTTTTCACACAGATTCTCACAGTGTGACAGACATCACAGAATCCCAGGATCCCAGAGCCACAGACTTACAGATTCTCACAGTGTGCTACAGACTCACAGAATCCACAGAATAAATGACAAAATTTTCACTAAGTCTTTTCTTTAGTTAAACATCAACACTAAGCCTTATTGTAAACTAAAGCTTATTAAAATTCATTGTTAGGACAAAAAGTGCTAAACCTATTGACTAATTAAAACTTGTTGGAATTCACAAATTTTACACTTTGTACTAGTAAACCTCCAACTTGAAGTTTTCTAGTCAAAAATAAGGATTAGTTTTTTTGAAGATTTCAATAAGGGCAAGTTATGTTGAGGTTTGACTATAGATTTCAATAAGAGCAAGTTATAATGGGGTTTGACTATAGATTTCAACTTGACAATATTATGAGGCTTGAGAATCATTGGTATATGTATCATTGTGAGAGAGGAAAAGTAAAGACACTATGGTGTAATGGTAAGTTTGTGTTATTGTTGTTGCTGAACTTTGTGAAGCCTCAAGTTCAATTCCTGCCAATGACACTTGAAAATGTCAAAAATGCGAATTTATTTTGTTCTATTTACTAGGCAATGCTTTGTCACTGTGAGTTCTGTGGCTCTGCTGGGAGGTTCTGTACAGAGCTGCACAGAAAAGATGTAGCTGGACAGAAGGGACCAAGCTGTGGCACTGTGACACTGTACAGCTCTGTACAGCTCTACACAGAACATTGTAATTTACTGATGCTACCACACGTAATTCAGTATACTACTCGTTGATTGGACATGCCGCACTGTTGTTAGTTACGACACATTTGTCTTGATTAATATATAGTCGCCATCGCTGTTGTGTTTTACTTACCTCGTTCTACTCTCTGGGGTAGCCTCCAGGCATCCACCTGGCATACACGTGTTGCGGGAAGCCTTACTTCCCAGATTTCATTTTTTCTTCTTGCCGCTTCTGCTTACTTCTGAAACTGGGCAAAAACAGGGTCCCGTTTATTATGATACCTTACTTGGGCGGCACGCTGGCACTGACTTGTGTCACAACCCTTTTAACGAATAAATGTAGGGGCAGAGACTAGGACTCAAACAAAGGTTATCTAACAAAGAAGAGAGGATAGCAGGGACGTCTTAGGATTGCTAGCAGTAAGCTAATACAAAAGAGGTTTGAACTGAAGAACTACTGACTACAACGAGCTACCTATATACACATATTGAAGCGGAGACTGAATCTGAATCTGAACTAACTAACCAATCATTAAATAGGAAAGGGAATCGTACGATGATCTAAATATAACTACACTATGATGTTATGGAACGTGTGATAGCTGTGCAAGGGTTCTGGAAGGTTCTAGAGTCACATGATTTGATCGCTTGTGAAAGGAAGTCGAAATCGGGAATGTCGGAGATAGAAGTAGTAGGCGCTAACGGAATAGAGAAGTTGGGGTTAGGGTTTGTGAATGTTATAGGTATAGACGCCGACTGAGCGTTAACGACGGGCGCTTGTGATGGGCGCTTAACAGGTGTCTTACGAGTGTTCAAGAAGGAATAATGATTTGTATTTGGAACTCGTGACACTTGACAGCTTCAGTGTGTCCTGTCCATTTCGTGATGACCTTCCCCTCACTGTCCCATCAACGCTGTCCCATCAACGCTATGGTCTTCAATCCCACACTACCCTTTTCATCTTGCCATCGTCGCCTATCTGAGCACTGCTTCCTAGGTCCCATAGTTTAGACGAACCGTCATACGAACATGTGATGATGTGCTGCCCTCCAGGCAGGTGCACAACACCTTCCACGAAGCCGGAATGGCCTCGTATGGTCCTGTAGGGTGCTATCGCCGGAATTTTAGCCGTGGGGGAAGATGGGATGGTGGGGGTGGGGGAAGACGGGATGGCAGGGGTGGGGGCGGAGAAGCAGATTCGCCGCTTCATTAGTGATACCAGCAAAAAGAACAATATGGTACTTCCTCCGATGAACAAGGCGTCGAGGAGGAAAGTTCACGAACTTGCTAACTCGTTCAACCTCAAGAGCCAGAGGCAAGGGAAAGGAGAGATATACTACTCTCATCAAGTCCACAAACATGCGTGCTATTGATGAACGCAAAGTCAAGAGTGTCATGAAGAAACACGGAGGCCGGTTTGACACGGTGCCTCGACACAAAGATGGAGATGAAGTTGGCAAGGTATGTGATTCGTCCACTTGATATAAATGTGGCTCTTACATTCTCATTCGCAGGCTGCTCCAAAGATCGGAGAAACGAATGTCGGGTTCAGGATGCTTGCGTCTATGGGATGGGCAGAAGGAGACAGGATCGGTGGCGATGCGTCCACTGGGATTGATGCGCCTTTGATGGCTATCATCAAGAACACGAAGCTGGGTCTAGGCGCTACTCGATAGTCACCGTCTTCAGAGCAAAATGTAATATTTTTCCCTGACTACATCTTGACCTGAGCCTTGAAAGCTTGATGAAGCACAGTGAGTTCGTCAAGGCTGGAAATATGAATGCAGTGGTATGCAATTTCTCGCCTTCATGAGTCACAAACGTTGGCGTCTTAACTCCATCACACGTATTTCTGCAGAGTCTTTGTAGAATTCCCCTGACATAGCAATATGAATGTCATCTAGTGGACATCCTGTATAGATAGCGTATCTCACTGTCTCAGCTCAGCCTACCATATATTCTCAGTGTTTTCCTGAAAATATGTTTCGTGATAATTGGGCTCGAGGGACGTACGACTCGGCACGGAATACAAATGTACGTGACTAATAAGAAAGGATACCTACGATATAAAAAGAACTAGAATGCCAAAACGATACCTATGTGCTGTCGGTGCCAGGAGAAACACAACAGAGGAACAACACTACACGAACCCCCCACGTAGGGTTCTTGATGCGTTTCGCCTTGTCACTAGCCGTTTCCCGCGGTGGAGATACATACAATGCCTTCATGGTTATCAGACCTCAGAAATCGGACACACATCCAAGAAAGACATACCTGTTTGTCTCGTTGTGCAACAACTTCAACAACCTGAGGACTGCAACGAGACGAGGCAGTTTGCCTTGTCCATAGGTGAAGTTCGGGTGTTTCATCGGCGTTGGGTGGAGAGCGGAAGAGTGACGACATGCGACCAATAAGTGCACCTGGACGTGACCCCGAGGGCGTTTGGGATTGCTGAGGCTCGGTTGTTTCGTTGGTGTGGAGTCGAGAGTGGGGCAAGAGTAAGGACAGGTGACCTAGGAGCACCTGTGGATTTAATCGCGCAAGCATTGAGGGTTGCGGAGGTTCAGATATTCCATCAGCAGTGTTCGCCGGAGAGCGAAGGAATGAAGATAAACGACTAAGGAGCGCACGTGGACGTGACTCCGAAGTTTCGATCGCTTCATTGGGTGAAGAACGGTGAAGGTGCGAGGAAAAGCGATCAAGGAATGCAGAAAAATTAGGATGGGTACCAGGTCTTGCGGAGGACTGAGAACACATGTTAGGTCAGTCAAGACCAAAAATTATTAATAGAAATGGTGATGGCGCACATGAGCATTGGCTTCCATGTCGTCAAAAAAACCTGATGGGAGTTCATCTGCATCTCCGAGCGGGTTCGGTGAACCCGTAGCATCAGCCTGCAATGTCGATGTTATTCTCGTTAACGAGGTTAAGGAACACATCACCCACCTCCAAAAATGATTTATCTTCTATGTCCTGCGAAGAGCCATGAGATGACGTATACACATTCTGTTTGAGTTCGACTTTTGGTACCTGATTGAAAGTAGACTATATCAGGATTGTCAGTGGTGAGACAATGGGTGATATGTTGCCAATCACATCAGGTATGGGTAGGAGGTCTTCTAGACCAGTTGCTTGGAGGATGGCGTAAATGTTCCATACATATGTATTTTCATCAGCACAACTTGTGGATAGCAGCGTTCCGTCATCGGAAAAAGCTGCACTGGTCACAATATGTTCGTGCTGGAGGGGTGGACCAACTAGGAATTTTGTATCGAGATTCCACAGACGCGCCTTTTGATCCCCTGAAGCACTCACAAGGAGCCGGTCGTTTCGCGACAAAGCGATGCCATAGACAGGGCCTTCATGGCCGTCAAGGAAGGCGATCTGCGTCCATGTGGCAGTGTCGAATATCCTAATCGAGCCGCCCGTGTACCCGGCGATAAGCTTCTTGTCATCCGACGTCCAGGCCAGGCTGCAAGCGACATCAGCGGGTTCAGCGCGTCCCACTGTCGAGAGCAGATTGCCTGTCTTGGCATTCCAGATTTTAATATTGGATCCCGCTGTTGCGATTTTTTTTGCCTTAGGTGAGTAACTCACCGCGTGCACCGACTGCCCTGTCTTGGTTGGATTCAGACCCAGGACTGGTGTGGTACTTTTGACATTCCACACTTTGATCGTCTCGTCACTTGCTCCGCTCACCACTCTCTTACCATCCGGACTCCAGCACACCGACTTGACAGCTTCAGTGTGTCCTGTCCATTTGGTGACGACCTTCCCCGAGTCAACGTCCCACAACCTCACTGTCCCATCAATGCTTCCGCCTGCAATCATGTCGCCCTTTGGAGACAATGCTATGGTCTTCAATCCCCCACTACCCCCATCGTCTCGCCAGTCGTCGCCTATCTGAGCGCTGCTTTCTATGTCCCATAGTTTGGGTGAACCGTCATACGAACACGTGATGATGTGCTGCCCTCCAGGCAGGTGCACAACACCTTCCACAAAGCCGGAATGGCCTCGTATGGTCCTGTAGGGTGTTATAGCCAGAATTCTATCCGTGGGGGAAGATGGGACGGTGGGGGTGGGGGAAGACGGGATGGCAGGGATGGGGATGATCCGAGTCGGTGCTTGATGAAGTCTGCGATCGAAGGCGTCTCGAGGGTATCCTTATCAAGCCGCATCGCCCCAATGAACAACAAACGCTGATTAAAAACAAAAGAAAGACAGTGGACTGCGTGTAACGGGAGAGCTCGGCGCTGGATCTTCTTTGAAATTAAGCGGGTTGTCGTCGTCTTTTAGGAGCCAAGATTGCTGGTGAGTTAATCTATTTGCTATGACTTCGATTCTTGTCGATAGAAACCCAGAGTGAATCACTCACGAAGAAACCTTTTCAGGGAAGCTCGCACACGATGCCTTCGGGACGATGTATGCAGGAGTTAGCCTTTGCTGCGTTCTCCACTATTTGAGAGATAACGACGAGGATTCCTAACACTTAGTGACTCGGAGTGGTCCTATCTTTTCCTGCCTGAAACACCAAGAGTATCACCTACGGCAAGCCCTCCTTAGAAGAACGAGACACGGATGCGCTCTACCTGAGAGGGACGCACACTGAGCGGAGGCGGTAGACGTTTTGTTCGGAGTTGATGAAGTTGGGCGATTGATTGTTTAAATCGTCCGCTAAGATGCATCATCCTGTGTGCTATTTCATATGCTCGCGATGCTGTGCGTACGAAGCGCCCGCGCCCAGGACCATGACTGACGGCACTTATATCATGTCTTGGTGGTCGTGACGCGGCACGAGTTATCTCCATTTTTATCCGCGTTTTCCCTGCAGCCAGGTCCCAGGGTGTCGCGCTGTTCTGTGTTGTGCCAACTTCACGATGTCACTGAATGGCGTACATTGGTCAGCAGTTGCACTGAAGTTCTGTAGTCACATATTGATCGAAGTCCTAGTGCAGGCAATGGTGGTACACCATGATTCATTGGTCCATTTGTCGTCGCATGCGGTGTATTTGTGACATTTTGATGGGACCGCGTATTGCGTAAGCTATGAGCTACTAATATTTGGTGAGATGTAACAGCCAGTGTACAGCCATGGTAGGGTCGTGGGGTGAGTATGCAATTTGTACAGCCAATGTACAGAAAACAATCACCGCTTTAAGGACCGTCAATATGCGCCCCCTTAGGGTTGCTGGATTCTTTCAAGTGACATAAAGGGGTCGTTGACACTCCATGTCGGTGTCACTGCGAAGGCGCCAATCATCAATCACCTCAATACAGTATGCGCAGCTCTGCATCACCACGCTTAGCGTTTGAGAATATAACGCTAAGCTCGTGGGTGACTGGGATTCAGCAACCGGTATGACGTCAATTGCTTTCCGGTATATTTCACAGCGTCTAACATAGGAGACGTTCGATCTGATTAACAGTTGTCGGTTACTCTGCAAAGAGCGGGAGAATGTGTTTTCTTCTTCAGGTTTTGTCACGGTACTTCATATTTCACTTGTGTTCGAAAGTAGATTTGAAAGACAAATAGGCCGGACGAATCGTTAATCAATATCTTATTGCATCGCTACACTAGCTGCCCACGAAGGGTAAAACTATGAAACACTTCATGGCCCATAGCTCCCAACGTGAAGCGCGGCGTTTCAGCCTCATACAGGTCGTATTCATCGATCGAAGGTCAACCAAGGGTCGCGCAATCGCCAGTTTAATTCGGCAATATGATTTACTCAGCCGAGGAACTAACATATTTCAACTTTGCTACGTTTTTCGTTGTTGATATCAACTTTAAAGTTGGAAAAACGTAGCAACGTTAAAATATGGGAATTCTTCGGCTGAGTCACCATATTGCGAATTCAACTGGAGACGCGGCGAGCCTCAGTTGACCTTCAATCGATGTATACAACCTGTATGAGGCTGAAACGCCGCACTTCAAGTTGAGTTGGAACCAGGGGCATAGAGTGTGTTCAGGGTTGACCGAATGCTCGGAGTTTGATGGATGTCCTATCATGGGGAGAACACATAAGATTAGTACGCCATGCACATCTCATCAGCCAGGTGGATACCCGGCAATGGGCTTCATTGCTGAGTATCCACCTGGCTTTGAGAGGAGCATCGTGTGCGGGACGAACCAAATGTGGGCCATTGGGTTCACCCCGTACACGATGACAGGAGTTCCGAACGTCCTGCGTAACATGCTGTGCCGCACAGGATGGACCTCAGATCACGGACTCAGTGAAGAAGTCCATGCTCGTTGAGGATCAGGTTTAAATTGACTGAGGTGATTCAGGTGAAGGTAAGGGATGAAGGGCGATAAAGATGGAGAGGAGATGCCTACACTTTATATACCTGGTCTATGTCCACAATTTATTCGAGGTGGATGTGGACGATGAAACAAGTTGAAGTCATTATGTATATTCTAGGCATTGTTAGTGTTACACTGGACCCACGTAGCTAGGCTTGTGGCAAGCCATCAGGACCCTGTAACAATGGCCACAGTCGTGACACCGTTTCACTCTTCGTCTTATCTTCATTGTCTTCCCCATCCCCCGTACGTATGGCCTCAAACATCAATATCGTAAGGCTCCTAAAATATGTTTCTGCCGACTTTCCTGTTTTGGAAACTTCAGCTTGCCACAGCCACGTTCCTTGCGAACGTATGTCGGGGACCAGCGTAGAGAGTCATTACTATGTCTAAGCCGCCAAGAAAGTTGGTTTTATTGTTGCAGTATGTACAAGAGTGAAACAAGCTCTGCTCCAAGCCGTTAGCTGCTGGACAGAAAAAATAGAACAACAATATATGAAGAATAGATGGGCCAAAAAGTCATGGTTACAAGATCAAACAGTATGAAGGGAAACCCCGCAAAACAAGAACAAGAAATCTGCATAACGTGTCTTTTTCATGCAAAAAAAAAATCAATCATATTCCGACTGTTCCTCCTTAGTAGTAGTCTCCGTGTCACGCCCTTCATTAGAGCTAGATCGAGACCCCATAGACCTTGGACGAGAATTTCGCGCGATACGTTGCTGCTTGCTAGCTTCCTCCGGAATAAGCGGGTAGCACTGAAAACCGCGTCTCCGCTCTTCTAAGCCCCTCAGACTCGGGTTTCGACTCTCCTGGCTTTGGTGATATTGAATCCAGCCAGCGGTGCATAATGACTAGACATCATGGATGAGGAAGTAGATGTAGAACGCGCGAAGATTGAGGTTGCTGTTTTGCGATGCCATGGCTTGTATCAAGAGGTCCTGGGCTTCGTTTGTCTCATTGAAATCAGCTAGCATCTGCGCTTGTCGAAACTTGGCTGAAGGACAATCGGACAGAGACACAAGTGCTGTTTACCTGCACTCACCGTCAGCATACTCCGGATGTCTTACTAAGAGTTTGTCGTATGCTTCTTCGCCATTGCAACGTCGCCACCATTCTCGTACACCCGCGTGAGGTTGCATAACATTGATGTTGACATCCCCTCTCTGACGTCCAGGCCCAGGCTAGGTTGCCTTCCATATGCTGGGGGGTGCCCATGTTGTTGAGCAGCCGTGGATCAATCAGTCCGTTCGCCTCGCCAAGCCTCAGCGCCTCCTTAAGGGCCCACGTTGTCCTGTCGAGACTCTTGTTAAAGCCGTGCAATTTCAACATGCATATCCAAGTCATCGTTGACAGGACTGGCTGTGTCACGGTGATGCGGGACGTGACCATTGGACGTACAAAAGCCGTCTTGCTCGAGAGCTTTGATGGCGCGGTCGAACAATTCACAGGTATTGGCCTTTTCTTGAGAGAAGTCTGAGCTCGAAACTCCTGAACGGGGCTGTCCGCGGAGGGAAGCGAGCACGACCATTGCTTCAGCAGAACGCTGAGGTTTTGGAGGCTGCAGAAGGGTGTGGATCGCTGAAGCTATCTCATCTGAAACTGAGACGAGTTACTTTTTCTACTTCTCTGTTCAAGTTGGCTTACCGTTCTGGATCTGCATTTATGCCATGCCGATGGCGCCTAAAGCATATTTTGGTTGGCCATCCGTGGCCGTCGTGTAATACATGGTGGCGTCTTTCAGAGAGCCCTCTGCATGTAGCACCAGAGCAGTTTTGAGGTTTCCCTCTGTTAGCAACGTAAAGGTATCAGTGAACTGAATAGTGCGCTCCGCGAGCTTCAAGCTTCAAAGCCTAATGACGTGATGTGAAGTGCGTTCTCGAAAGTGGACGAAAAATCACATACTCCGCGTTTGCAGCTACCCTTCCTGAGGAAGAGTTCACATAGCGCATTCGCGGCAGTAGCGCTCCCTTGGTTGGCATTGAAAGCATTCTCTGAATTTTGTGCCAGCAAGGAAGGCCTGGGCGTGGTCTTGCTTGCTGAGATTCTAAAGTCGCTAGACCGACCACTGCAATAGTGAATTGTGAATTTCACAGGAACGTCAAAATTGTGTCCTGTTCAAGACGAGTCAGCCGAATATGATACAGGAAACCAAACAAACCGGATTATGAGGCTGAATGCGAATGGTCAAGTGGTGAGATGAGTGGCCTTGCTAAGTCGAGTGTATATGGACGGCTGTGAAAAGCGGCATGAACTAGGGCAATACAATGCGTGTGAAGCAGAACATGTGAGCAGAAAGTTATCAATTGACGCATGAATGTAACGATCGGAATACGGAAGTGAACAATGCCACAGGCACATATTACGTTCATACAGAATCTTTCTCGTCGATGGTTTCGTGACGACCGGACTGGAACGGAGTGGCAGTGATGATGATGTATGCACAATGCCCATCAGCGCCCCGAAGATCAAGACGGATTTGTGGGCATCCCAAAAATAATACTTAACCTAATTTTGACTGGGCTAGAAACGAGCGAACCCCATATTGAAAAGAGTTTAAATCTACAGGAGGGTTAGTGCCTTGCAGAGTGTTCGGGTGTGGGACCAAGGTCGAGTGAATGGGCGAGTGGATCGTTTCGCATTCATCAGAGGAGTATATCTGAATCTAGCGCTCGAAAATCTAGGGCATACGTTGAGCACGTGCATGAGATGTACTTGATGTATTTGTAAGTTCACGTCACGCTGAGCTCCTCCAGGCTAGACAGTCCTCACCAACTGATGTGGAAATCAACCCATCACTTCACAGACGAATTAGAACTTTGCGAGGCGTCAATGGTTGTTATTCACGATAGCGGAAAAAACTGAGAGATAACAAAGGGAGGGTATCAAGATGAATGTAATCGTGCATGTTTTGATACCATCAATGACCGTCGTCGGTGAACGGAGATGCACAGCAGAGGAACAGCACAATACGAGCCCACCATTTGGGGTTCTTGATGCGTTTCGCCTTGTCGCTAGCTCGTTTCGGTCGCCGAGCAGTATACAGCGCCTGTAAAGGAAGCTTGAGATGCCAGCCATTGAGAACGCGTACCCAAGATGACGTACCTTCTTGTCATCTAGTGCAGGAACTTCGACAAGAGGAGGACTGCGACGAGGGGAAGCGCTGGGTCCTGGGAATTGCTGGAGTTCGATTGGTCCATCGACGTTGTGTTTGGAACGGCGGAAGAATTGGGGAATGCGGGCGAGGAGCGCACGTGGACGCGATCCCCAGGAGGGTGCAAAAGTACGGCGGCGGTGAGTTAGAGAAGAATCAGGATGGGGACGGCTGGTAGTGGATGACTAATAGCATAGAAGTCAGAAAGAGCAGGGAAATTTGAGACGGTGATAACGCACAGGATCGCAGCCTTGCACGTCATCGAAAAAGCCTGCTGGCACTCGACGGGGGGTGGGACGGATGGCTGGACGTCGCGTAGCATTAGCCTAGAATGTCGACGTCATAATCAATATCAAGGTCAGAAAAAGCCACAACGTACACCTGATAACGACTTGTGCGAGTGAGACGTAAGCGTGTTTCATTGTTGAAAAGCGACAAGATGATGCATACCTTCTTTTTGAGTTCGCATTTTTGTGCCTGACAGTCATTGAGAATGAGATAGCGAGTGGAGTCAAGTTGGCACTCACATCAGGTATGGTCAAGAGGTCTTCTAGGCCAGCTACTTTGAGGATGGCGTGAATGTCCCATACGTACGCGTTTTTATCCTGACAACCCGTGGATAGCAGCTTTCCATCAGTGGAAAAGGCCGCACAATAGACGTATTCTTCGTGTTGGAGAGGTGGTCCGACTTGGAGGTTTGTGTCCAAATTCCAGAGACGTGCTGTACAATCCCATGATGTACTCCCAAGGAGGCGGTCGTTCGGAAATAAAGTGAGGGAGTGGACAACATTTGTGTGACCCTCCAGAACGGCAATCTGTTGCCATGTGGCAGTGTCGAATATCCTAATCAGGCCATTCTTTGACCCGGAGATAAGCTTCTTTTCGTCCGATGTCCAGATTAAGCTCCAAGTGACATAACGATCTCCGATTGTCACGGTGTTGAGCAGCTTGCCTGTCTTTGCGTCCCAGATTTCGATTGCATTTTCCTTGAATCCCCCTATCGCAATCATTGTTGCCTCGGGTGAGTAACTCACCGCATACAGCCACTCGAGTCTTGTCCTGATTGGATTCAAACCCTCAACAGGTTCTCTGCTTGACACATCCCATGCTCTTGCCGTCCCGTCGTATGATCCACTCACAACTTGCCCACCATCTGGACTCCAGCACACTGAATTCACCAATGTGGTGTGCCCTTCCCATTTGACAACAACCTTTCCCGTTTCAATGTCCCACAACCTCACAGTCCCGTCCTGGCTTCCGCTGGTAACAGTCTTACCATTTGGAGACAATGCCATCGTCCTTACTGCTTCCTCATCCCCTTCATCTCGCCACTCGCTACCTATCTGCGCACCGCTCTCTAGGTCCCATATTCGAAGTGAGCCGTCGTACGAACATGTGATAATGCGCTGCCCGCCGGGCAGGTGCGCAACGCCGTTTACATTGTAGGTATGGCCTCGCATCGCCTTGCGGGGAGTTATTCCTGACATCTTTTTCATCTCAGCAGCAGGAGAAGACATGGTGAGCGCTCGGGAGATTTCAATCAAGGGAATCGTGGCCCCTATGCGCGAGCGCGGCTCGTTGGATATTTGAATTAGAATGGGTTGTCTTGCGGGAGTGCAGATGGTGGATGAAATCACAGGCTTATCTGTTTTCAGCTGAATGTGTGTCAATAGATGTACATGCGGCCTTACTTACGAGAACGATAGAGATGCAGTGAAACTTCGGGACGATGTATGCTGGACGATTTCGTTGCTGTCCTTGAAAACTGGTAAGAGGTCTCCACGAAAATCCTTGATAGTGCTCAGTAAGCAAATTTCCTCCTTTCATCGCTCAGAATGTTACTCACAGCGAGCAACTAGACACAGATTCACTCCATGCAAGAACGAGAGGGACGGGCTGGTAGCTAAGACAGTGGACGTTTGTTTTGGAGTCGAGAGAGTTGCACAAATGTTGGTTTAAGGCGTCTGATAAGGTGCGTATTCCATGCGTTGTCCTCGTGTTCTCCGCAGCTTACAGACGAAACGATCTAGCCCGCAACTGCGCCACGTGCGTCTCCTGTCTCTATTTGGACCTCGAGCGCTTGAACCGAACCAAACCATCTCCGCTCTCTTCATATGTGTTCACTTCCAGCCTATCTATATCGGAGCCTACTCGAAGGACACGCTTGTATACGATATCGATTGGTGCATTAATGGTGAGTGGTCGCATCTTGTAGTCTCGCGTACTAAGCTGTACGTAGCGCTCAAAGTTGGTCCAAGTACATATGAATTGCGGGTCATCATTCTCTTGCAGAGGTTGTTGCTGGTAAGTAAGCAAGCCTATCTATTGTCACGTCACATAAACTCTTATCCATAGACGTACATGAAGCGCGCTGTTCGATCCTGACACCATCGGAACAAAAGCTTATTTCTACGTTGTCCAAATGTCGCAGGAGATTGTTACGACGATCCAGGACATTGGTTTTATCTCACCTTTTATCTCACCTAGGAAGTATCCACAGTATCGCTCACGGCACCGACAAACTCTACCAAAGAACGAGAGGAGCTGTTAGATACCCAAGGCAGCGGTCATGTGGCAAGACCTCCAGGGTTGTTGCAGCCGATCACGCAACGAAGAGTATCAGAGTTTTCAGGCAAGCAATAGATGCCGACAGCATATCTTATTTCTGCTTGCCCCATGCTCAACCCATGCTCCCCAACACCCAATAGCTCGTCCTTATTTGTACCCCGAATGGTGTGGGCATCTGGCCCAAATCGAATTCGCTCTCACCTTGCTCGAATGAACAAAGTTAATTTGTTAGCACGTCCCTCCAGAATTATCCGCCTCTGCTCCTCCTTTCTGCTGACTACTGTTCTTTCGCGTAATGGAGAGTAACAGATGGCTCTTTGTCTTTGTGTGTGTTGCGGCCTATTGTACTACCGTACTAATACTGCTGTAGGTGTGTGATGACCCAGTTTGGGGCGCAGCTGGCAGTGAAGGGGAAGGTTTGCTTGAGGACGTAATCCTACTTGACTCTCATGTTCGATCTTTGTGGATAGGTAGTTTGTAATAAAGAAGCGCCCCAAGAGCGCCTGATAGATACTGTTGACAATACATGGTCATTAAACAATCCGTGATGAGTGATGTATTGCAGGAAAGCCTTATACTTTGGAGGCGACTATAGCACACCATCCGGACGAGGAGAGCGAAAGAGATGCGCATGTGTGTCACCATCAAGACACTGCAGAGATGGCCAGGCTGCCGCAATAGTGTGGGTTATGGAGAGACCAGATACAGTGCATAGAACATCGGATATCCTTACTTGCTATACTTGAATTGAACTTTTTCGAACTTCGCGCATGAACTTGTTTGCACGCTCGAACCACTTTCTAATAAGTAGAAAAAAGCAACCTTTAAGGTAGCTCGAAAAATCTGCTCACAAGCATTTGGGTTAAATAAGGATCCGGCACATTACTGATGCTCACTATCGGGAATAATAAAAGCAAATTGCCCTTGCTCCTCTCAGAGCACCAGACAACCGTTAATTTCACCGAGCATTACACACTACTGCTAGTCGATATATGCACGTGCTCTTGGAAAGCGATTGTGGTCATGCCAGTTGCTGCGTCGGAGTCGGCCACGAGATTAGCGTGGTATTCTCGAATGCTAAGGATCAAGCGAGGTCCCAGCACAAACATCTGCACGACCTCAAAAATCTGCAACAAACCAGCACCAATCGCACCGCTCATGGAATATTCCTATAGAAATGATGAACCAGGGTCGCATGGCAGGGATCAGCGAGATATTGACATACCCCTGAGAGTACTGGAGACAAATCAATAATGAGGCGGAAGCAAGAAACAGCAAGAAAGCTTGCACTGTCCGATCTTTTAGCGGAAACGGGAACCGTGTCCACAACATGAGCTCACCTCGCAAAGTAAAGCACGTGAGCTTTCATTAACACCGTGAAACAGTCCACGATAATCCCAGTAAACCCTCCTGCCGAGTATGGTCGCAGTTCACGAAAGTGTTTGACAGCAATCCAGACTGCGAGACATAGTGCGAGGACCTCCCACGCAGTGCCGAGTATCCAAGTAATAGAACCCAGAAGTATGGTATCTCCCGCAAAGTTGATCGAGCACAGATAGGTGCCGGAGAGAATGAGTTCCTCTGGTATTCGTCAATGAGTCCCATGCACATTTTTTGACATCCACAATTAAACGTACCCCATGAAGCATGCGTCGTTGTCATGACGGCGCCAACTCCGCCGAAAATGTTGACGGTCAGGAAGATGACAATGAGAAATATCAGGATTTTTCTAGATCGATGATACATGGCATGTAACCGAGTGATCATGATGACTTGCAGCATGTTTCAGTCAAGTCAATATCGCCGAGATCTCGCAAGTGCCAAGCTCACCACACAGCATTGCAACTACCACAACATAAATCCAATTGCACACGACGTCCGTAATCCAGCCTGAGAAATCCAGTCAGTGATCAGCCTCGGAGACTAAGCACACACTCCAAACAGGCTCACATCTGTAGCAATATAGCGTAGGCAGTCGTTGGTGAACTACAAAGTGAGTGAACTAGAAGACGCTTACTCACCCCTACAGGGCACCACCATTAATTGGAGGAGAATAGTAAACATCTGTGCAGAAGACTCACTGTATCTGTCATCGAGATGGTAGGAACATTGCCTATATGCCGTTGGTCAGAAGAAGCAATGACAGCGAATGTACTGAGGAGACATACCCAGCATGTACAGGCTGATTATGAGAGATAGACTATTAGCACAACACTGATTGCTTATCCTTCCGAACATACACAGTAGATATGATTCCAAGGTAACGAACCTAGGATATTTCAAGTTAGCGCAACATGACAACCGTGACAAGAAAGCTACATACACTGAGATACAGAACTGTCATTAGTGACCAGCGTTGCCTCTGAGAACCAAGCGTATTTTATGCGTGTTCCTCTGACATGAGATTCTGCTCACCCAGACTAATTCGATCTATAAAACAATTCTTAGCGAGATGGCTGTTCAGGTCATAGCATCAACATACCTCTTGTCCGAATGTAAGCGCTGAAAATGTTTGTAGGATATCAGCGCTTCAGCAGTCCTTTAATATTATCATGCTCACCCCAATCATACGTCACTATAACAAAGGAGGCAACTGCGAAACCACAGTCAAGGTTAGATTAAAACATCAGCTTCAACATCCGACTGCTCGCCACCGTGACGAACCTAAAAAATAGCTGAAAACTCGATATGAATTGATGGCCGGCCACCAAGTAGGATCATTTAAGACGATGGTCATATTGGTGAAAAATGGGGGTGTGAGTGAGAGGTAAACTTGGGAGATGCTTTGGTGATGGCCGCATATATACCACTAGTACTCTGCTTCGATCACCAAAATGAAATCGAAGGATGATTGCATCCCTACCATTAATATTGGTTACATAAGTTAATCCAGGCTCAACATTGTGGAACTACCGCTCCATTCCTAACTTTAATAATGATGCAATTCCGAAACCATTTAGCTCCCGAATGTCGAAGCAAATGAGGTACGTGCCGGAAGAGTGAGTCAAGACATCAATCGCCACTCACTAAGTATATCTTCTAGTCATCTTCTAGTCATTTATAAGAAATAGCTTATTCAATACTTGTTATCTGACTCCGTCGGACCTTCTTTGCGCCCTGGTAATGCCTGTACCTACACAATCGCCTGCTTCACCTCTACTCACTCATAAACACTATGTACTTCCTTTCTCGATAAGTCTCGGCCCAGAAAGTCTCCTCCTAGTCCATGTTTCCCTCAGATTTCTAAGTTCGTCTATGTAGGGAACTTGGCTTTGTCCGTATGGCTAGGAGCGATCCCATAGGAAGCTCCACTTGATGGCCGAAACTTGATTGGATGACTATCCCTCGATCCCATGGTTAACTGAGGGTCTGGCCGATATTCTTGGTCCCATCATCATCTCATAGGATCATCCTCAGAATTAAAATTCAATCAGTCCTAAAGGTGGAGAGTTGAGACAACGATGCGGTGCAATATCAGTACCGCCAACATTAACAGAGGTATGCTCACAGTCGAACCCCCGTTGGAAATGGTCTTGTGTTCCTCAGCCAAGCCAACTTGAAAGCGCATTCAAAGAGTAGCTGTTATGTCGATCTAAAATGCTTAGCTGGATCGGGCACTGCGATATTGATAGTGAACTGTCAGCTTCACATACACGATAAATACTGTATCCTGTTTCAAGCCGAATCAGACGAATACGATACAAGAAACAAAACAGACCGGATTATGAGGCTGAAAGAGTGGTCAGATGGGTGACCTTGCTAGCTCGAATGTATATGGACTACTGTGAAAAGAGGCATGATTAGGGAAACACAAAACATGTAGAGCAGAGCAGAAATCAATCGATTGACGTATGAATGTGATGACGGGCAGAACACGGCAGTGAACAATGCCACAGGCACATACTGCATCCATGCAGACTTTGTCTCGTTGGTGATGACCTCGTGAAGGCTGGGCTGAAACGGGGAGATAAGTGATAATGTTGTATGCACAATGTCCAGTAATGCCGCGGCTCCGAAGGGCAAGTCGAAGTCGTGAGCATCCAAAAACGTATACTTACCATAATTCCGACTGGGCTAGAAACGAGCGAACCCCATATTGAGAAGAAATTAAATCTGCAGGAAGGTAAGTGCCTTGTAGGGTGTTCGTTCGAGGGACCAAGGTCGAGCGAATGAGCGAGTGGAGAAGTATCCACACATAACTGAGTCTAATGCTCGAGAATCTAGGGCACACATTGAGCACACGGATGAAATATACTTGATGTAGTTGTAAGTTCACGTCATGTTGAGCTCCTCCAGGCTAGACAGTCTTCACCAACTGATGTGCAAATCGACCTATCATTTCAGACGAATTAGAACTTTGCGAGGCGTCAATGATTGTTATTCATGATAGCAGACGAGACTGAGAGATAACAAAGGAGGGATCAAGATGAATGCGATTATACACGTTCTAATACAATCAATGATTGTCGCCGGTGGACGGAGACGCACAGCAGAGGAACAACACAATACGAGCCCACCATTTGGGGTTCTTGATGCGTTTCGCCTTGTCGCTAGCTCGCTCTGGTCGCCGAGCAGTATACAGCGCCTGTAAAGGAAGCTTGAGATGCCAACCATTGAGAACGCGTACCCAAGAAGACGTACCTTCTTGTCATCTAGTGCAGGAACTTCGACAACAGGAGGACTGCGACGAGAGGACGTACTAGGCACTGGGCGTCGCTGAGATTTTATTGGTTCATCGACATTAGTTTGGGAACGGCGAAAGAGCCGGGGAAGGCGAGCGAGGAAAGCACGTGGACGCGGTCCCCAGGAGAGTGCAAAAGTACGGCGGCGGCGATGTAAAGAGGTATCAGGATGGAGATGGCGAGTAATGGAGGACTGAAAATATGAAAATCAGAAGAAGTATTGCAGGTGAATGATGGTAACGCACAGGATCACGACCTTGCACGTCATCGAAAAAGCCTGCTGGCAATTGACGGGGGACTGGATGGATGGGCGGACGTCGTGTAGCATTAGCCTGGAATGTCGATGTTACAATCAGTGTCAAGGTCAGAAAAGGGTGCAACATACACCTGATAACGACTTGTGCGAGTGAGACGTAAGCGTGTTTCATTTTTGAAAAGCGACAAGATGATACACACCTTCTTTGCGCGTTTATAATTTTGTGCCTGACATTCATTGGGGATGGGATAGCGTATGGGAGTCAAGTTAATACTCACATCAGGCATGGTCAGGAGGTCTTCTAGGCTAGCTGTCTTGAGGATGGCTTGAACGTCCCATATGTACGCATTTTTATCAGCGCAACCAGTGGATAGCAGCTTTCCATCAGCGGAAAAGGCCGCACAATAAACTTCGTCTTCGTGTTGGAGAGGTGGTCGGACTTGCAGGTTTGTGTCCAAATTCCAGAGACGTGCTGTTTTATCCCATGATGTACTCGCAAGGAGGCGGTCGTTTGGAAATAAAGTGAGGGAGAAGACAACACCTGTGTGATCCTCAGCAGGTATAAATGGGTTATCTCCATGGCCCTCAAGAACGGCGATCTGTTGCCATGTGGCAGTGTCGAATATCCTAATCAGGCCACTCAATGACCCGGAGATAAGCTTCTTTTCATCCGATGTCCAGGTTAAGCTCCAAGTGACGTCATCATCTCCGAATGTCACGGTGTTGAGCAGCTTGCCTGTCTTTGCGTCCCAGATTTCGATTCCACTCTTGTTGAATCCTCCTATCGCAATCATTGTTGCCTTGGGTGAGTAACTCACCGCGTACACAAACTGGTATCTTCATCAACAAAAGAACCGCTGGCGTGTATGGCCGGTTACTGCCGTGTATGGTTTACAAACCCCGAACAGAATGGTAGAAGGTATGTATGAGCTTGTAGCATGTATGCAAGGAGTAACAAATATGTGTGACATACAAAGTTTGTACACGAATTGTGCGAAGCTTGTAAAGTAACTAACAGAAGTGCAGAGGTACACATGAGATTGTAGCATGTATGCAAGTTGTAGCAGATATGTGCGAAATGTAAAGCTACTACATGAAATGTGCGAAGTTTGTACAATGATTAACAGAAGTGCAGACTAGTATGTATGATCAAAATCTGGAGCTCAAACACTTGAACTCCATGCACATCATGCTTACCGAAGTCTTATATATAGGGAGTTTTTGCTAAGTTATTTTTGGGTTTCTCAGATCCATTCGGTGCAGTCTAAGTATCAACTGCATAACCATAACACATATTCTAGTTGGTCACTTGAGAGTTTGGCGAGTTCTAAGTTATTTCTCCAGGCTCCAATTGCTTTAAATCTAGTTAAGTGTAAAATCGACGGCCCATAAGTTAATAAAATTCTTGATAAATCTCTTAGCAAACACTGCCTAAATGCGGATGGTACTTCGTCTCTAAGCCATGAACTCGGCCGACAGCAGCTTGGCGCTCGGCACGTGCGTCGATTGTATAATTTTCGTCAAGTCATTCACCTAGGACCCCGAACTTGAAGCTTAAGCAGAATTCACGTTGAAGTTCCGACTTCGTCAAAGATCCGTCCGGCTCTATCACATAAGTATCAAGCCTCTTTCCTGCTACTATTACATTCCAGCTCTCCAGCAGCTGCCGTTCAATAGCACCCGCCCTTGTAAGTACTTTTCTGTCACGAATTCCAAATACGAACCATTATTCTTTCTTGAACACCCGTAAAACCTCTAAAGACATTCGTGAAACACCCGTTAAGCGCCCATCAGAAGCGCCCGTCGTTAGCGCTCAGTCAGCGTCTGTACCTATGACTTTCACAAACCCTAACCCGAACCCATCCTTTACATATCCAAGTTTCTCTATTCCGTTAGCGCCTACCACCTTCATATCCGACATCCCCGATTTCGACTTCCTTACTCAAGCGATTAAGTCACGTGACTTCAGAACCCCTGAGAACCCTTGTACAGCTGTTACACGTTTCATGACATCATAGTGTAGTTATATTTGGATCATCGTACGATTCCCTTTCCTATTTAATGATTGGCTAGTTAGTTCAGATTCAGATTCGGTCTCCGCTTCAATATATGTATATAGGTAGCTCGTTGTAGTCAGTAACTCTTTAGTTCAAACCTCTTTTGTATTAGCTTACTGCTAGCAATCCTAAGACGTCCCTGCTATCCTTTCCTCTTTGTTGTGATATCCTTGTTTGAGTCCTAGTCTCTGCCCCTGCGTTAATTCGTTATAAGGGTTGTGACATTTTCTTTATTCACTCTTCTCATGCCCTCGCTGCTACCTGGTACATGTAAGTTTTATCGGTTCTCTTTGTCTTCTTATTTTAGTAGCCTTCTGCATCACTCTGCATCAGAAACCTTCCTCCGCCCTTTATTTTCCCTGCGCTGTCTCACACCTTCTCGATCGACTCCTCTCATGCCTTCTCAACTCCTCTCGCGCCTTTTTGACTCCTCTTGCGCCTTCTCGATCAAGTCCTCTCGCACCTTCGCGACTCCTCTCGTGCCTCCTCAGCTCCTCTCGCGCCTTCTCGGTTCCTCTAGTACTGTCTCGCATTGTCATTGTCTATGTATAGTGTGGCTTTTACTTTCACTCTGTCTCTCATCTCTGCTGGTTCACGTCATACATCACGACTCCCTTTATATTGTCGCTTTCATATTCAGTACTAGTACTTGCCCTTCTGTACTCTAGCTACTGCAGTGCAATTTGATGTGCCCATTATCGTGATCAAATGGAGCCCACAATCACCTCACAATAGGGCAACAAGACTAGTGGGAATGTGTATAAGTTTATCATATGCACAAGGGACCACCAGGAAGCACAATTGTAACAATAATTGTAGTAGCATGTATTGAACTTGAGCTTTACCACTTGAACAAGGGTTTACCGAGTGCCACAAGGCTGGTAGGAGTATACATAAAACCTCGCTGCATGCACGGACTTACATGGAGACTGACAAGCCTAACACAAGTCTGTCATGTGTTTGTGGGGATGGTAGTAATTGTACACCTTGTACTGGCTGTTGCTGGCCTGTTACATGGTATGCACGGTTTTGGTTTTTTTGTTGATGTTGTCTCTATTGGATTCAAACCCTGAACAGGTTCTCCGCTTGACACATCCCACACTCTTGCCGTCCCGTCGAATGATCCACTCACAACTTGCCCACCATCTGGACTCCAGCACACTGACTTCACCAATGTGGTGTGCCCTTCCCATTTGACGACAACCTTCCCCGTTTCAATGTGCCGCAACCTCACAGTCCCGTCCTGGCTTCCGCTGGCAACAGTCTTACCATTTGGAGACGATGCCATTGTCCTTATTAATTCCTCATCCCCTTCATCTCGCCACTCGTCACCTATCTGCGCACCGCTCTCTAGGTCCCATATTCGAAGTGAGCCGTCATACGAACATGTGATAATGCTCTGCCCGCTGGGCAGGTGCGCAACACCTTCTACTTTCCAGGTATGGCCTCGCATCGTCTTGCAGGGAGTTAGTGTTGACATCTTTTTATCTCAGTAGCAGGAGAGGACATGGTGGGCGCTCGGGGGATCTCGTTCAAGGGAATCGTGGTCCATATGCGTGAGAGCAGCTCGTTGGATATTTGGATTCGGATGGGTTGTCTTGCGGGCGTATAGATGGTGGGTGAATTCGCTGGCATATCTGCTTTCACCTGAGTTCATGTCAATAGAAGCGCTGGAGGGATTGCTCACGAGAGGTCCTGTCCAGGCGGATTCAACTTTGACTCACAGGACAGCTTTGGGACGATATATGCAGGAGATATCCCCAAGACCGGTCGGTGAGTGGTCCTAGCTTTTTCTCGCTTCAACTTTTCCAACGCAAAACAATCAGTGTATCACTCACGCAAGCCCCACTTGGAACAATCTGACACAGGTTCACTCCACGGAAGAACGAGAGGAGTGCTGGTAGCTGAGATAGTGGATGTTGGGGTCGAAAGGGTTGGATGAGTGTTGGTTTAAGTTGCCTGCTAAAGTACGTATTCGTTATCTTGTTTCCTCTCCACAGCTTCACAGTGCTGTGCAGACGAAGCGCCATGTGTGTCTCCTTATCTGTATTTAGACCTTGATGGTCCGATAAATCTCCGCTTTCTCCACCCTGTCTATGTCGGACCCTACTCAGGGGTGCACGCTTCTCTGTATTGTACTCAGGACGTCGATTGTATTTGTGATGCAATGGTGAGCAGTCGCATTATCCAGACCCACGCACTAAGTTGTACATGTTGGTCGAAGTCAGTCTGGGTGTACGCAAATTGGGGCTGTCGTTCTGTTACAGAGCCCGTTGCCGGTAAGTTGGCAGATATATCTACTGCCCCATCAACTCTTATCCGATGTCCATAGACGCGTATGAAGCATTCTTCGATTCTTATGACGTCAGGACCATGTATGTAGGAATCGCTCACTCCTGCGTTCCTGCGAACTTCGCAGGAGATCGTTATAACGATCCAGGATGCTGGTCCAGTTCTATTTTGTCTCACCTCAGCTTTTATGGGACTTATACCATATCATGGCAAGCTTTACCGAAGAGGTGCCGTTGGATCACACAGACGTCATTGGGTTTGTCTTTCAGCATTGGGCAGGTTTCGTCGCTCTATCACTCAGCGAGGAGTATGAGAGTCTTCGGGCAAGGAATAGATACCGACGGCGTGTCTTATCTCTGCTTGCCCCACTCTCAACCCATACTCGTTAACACCAGTTGGCTCTTACTTTTCTTACTCCGACAGAAGGCGTTGGCTATGTCGGAGAGGTGAAGGACGAAGTAATTTTTCATACGAACCATCATCGCTGACCGTTTCTAAGTAAATGCACTTCTGGTCAACTGAAAGTGAAAGATGAGAAGATCGTTACAAAATCTCTCCGTCGAAAGGGGAGTGCACGAACCAGGAACCACATGGTTCACCCCACAGCTCTTCGCAGACGCATTAACTATCTCTGCACCACGCTGCTAAGGAACGACTACCTGTCAGGCATATCAGATCGTTTTGTGCCGATCTTTGAGTTCTTTGAACAGCTTGAGACACTGGCGCCATGCACATCTTCTGTCACACTTTATGTGCATGTTCTGCAGCCTATACAGTTTGAACTCGAATCGGAGGACGGTGTAAGCTGGGCTGTCTTGTGCTGCCGATTGGTGGCTAGTTGACCCAATTTCTCATCTACGCGCCAGGCTGCTCGAGACTGGACTTTGTCGAGTCTGCGAGAGATCACGCTCGACACAGCCAGTGACAAGCTATTCAGAGGAGTTTCCTGATACTTCTCTCCCGTCAGAGTCGAGCTGAGGCTAACGATGATTGGGTGGCACAAATATAGGTGTCTTATCTCATTCCATCCTTGAGCGCTGACTGAGTTTCGTATAGGAAATGCTTGATATGCATAGCGGTAACGACCATGTCAACGACTACATGGAATTGGATTGATTTCTTACCCAGGCAGATATGGAGCCAGCGAATGAGTGATCTTGTCGTCTCGTGCCGTGCAATTATCCAAATCGTTTTCAGAGCGCCAGAAAGAAAAAATCAAGAGAATTCCCGTCGAACTTCTCGCTACATGGGATAAAAATCGAGCCAGTGCAAATTAACTCACGAAAAGGTCCGCATTCTTGTCGCCGTCAATCTCCTTGCTTCAAAGAAAGGGAAACGTGAAGCAAGACCACGCTAGCAGCTTTACAGCTCGATCTGAGCATGCTCATTCAGGTTCGGGATACCATTGTGTAGTATACGGTTCACCAGAAAAGCAGATCTACCGTGTTATCAGTTATGTTGGCGGAAAGAGCGGCAAGAAAGTAAGTCCACGAAACTATACGAATAAATTTTAGGATGTTTTCTTCTATGGGTTTGGCGGAAGGACATCATCAGGATTGATGGAGATGCATTCACTGGGATTAATGCTCTTTTGACAGCCACCACCAAGAATACGAAGGTGGGTGTAGGCGCGACTTGATAGTACATCCTTGAGTAGAGCTCGATTGTCATAAAACAAGAGATGATAATTATGGCAGGTTTATGAGTGTCGTCGGCACCAGGGCTCTCATCGGAGACACAGCAGAGAAACAATACCACGCGAACCATGGTTTGAGATTCCTTATGCGTTTCGCATTTTCACTAGCTGTTTTCGGTCGGCGAGTAACATACAATGCCTGCGCAAAAATCATTAGACCCTAAGGATTAACATATTCAAGGAATGCATACCTGCTTGTCTCGTTGTGCAGCAACTTCGACAACACAAGGACTACAATCGGAGGAGGTAGTTTGCCTTGGTCATTGTTGAAGTTCGTTTGCTTCATCGGCATTGGGGGGAGAGCGGAAGGGATATGCGACCAAGTAACGCACCCCGAAGGCGTTTGAGATCGCTGAGGTTCGGTTGCTTCATCGACGTGGAGTAGAGAGCAGGTAAAGAGTGAGGACAGGTGACTGGGGAGTACCTGTGGATGTAATCGTGAACTCATTGGGATTTGCGGAAGTTTGGATATTTCTCCAGTGTTCAGCGGACACCACCCCCGAGCGCAAGGCGACGTCGTGAGCACCACACGCAGAATGACCTAATTCTGACTGGGCTAGAATCAAGCGAACCTCGCATTGAAAAGCAAGGAGACCTGCAGAAGGTTTAGGGTGTTCGGATGCGATACCAAGTTCGAGCGAACAGGCGAGTAGATAACTCTTCCGAGATGCATCCATGCATGACTCAGTGGAGCGCTCGAGAATGTGGATGAAATATCCAGCACGTAGCGCTATTTCTTGACGCACGAGTTAGTATGAGAGATGTCAACAGATTTTATTAATGAGATATCGAAAGACACTATGATGGGCAAGAAAACGAATGCGATGAAATTATTACCCATATGCTACTCACTACGAACTTGGACCGTCAACGGGATAATGAGGCACACAACAGAGGAACAGTACGAAACGATTCCACCATGTAGAGTTCTTGATGCGTTTCGCCTTGTCGCTAGCTCGTTCCGGCCGCCGGGCGACGTGCAACACCTGTACATAAATATTCAGACACTAACCATTGGCAACCAACCGTAGAAAAGACACACCTGGTTGTCTTGTTGCGCAGCAACCTCGACAACATGAGGACTGCGAATAGAGGAAGTGCTGGGCCTCGGGCGTTGTTGGAGTTCAATTAGCTCATCAGTGTCGGGCAGTGAGGGGTGGAAGAGTGGCGGAAGGCGGACTTGGAGCCTACGTGACTCCAAGAAGGGTGCAAAAGCACTGCGGCGACGATGCACAAAGGGATGAGGATGGAGACTGCTGTCATTGGGGAACTGGGCATATAAATTAGTACGTGAATCGGTAAATTTGGATAGTAGTGACACACAGGATCATAGTCTTGTAAGTCATCAAGCAAGCCTGGTAGTTGAAGGGGGGGTGGCCGTCGCGTAGTATTAACCTAGAACATCGATATCATAATCAATGTTAAGATCAAGAAAGGCAAGACGTACCAGTCCATCTGAGAACGACTTCTGCGAACGGGATGTTAGTTTGCTGTATTTTGAAAAGCCCCGAGATACACACCTCCGGTTGCTTGAGTCCAGATTGTTGTGCCTAAGTCATCGCGAATGAGATAGTATATTGGAGTTAAGTTGGCACTCACAGGTATGGACAGGAGGTTTTCTAGGCCAGCGGCTTTGAGGATGGCGTGAATGTTCCACACGTACGCGTTTTCATCAGCGCAAGCCGTGGATAGCATCTTTCCATCAGCAGAAAAGGCTGCATACTCGACGTCCTTTTCGTGCTTGAGGGGTAGACCGATAGAGATGTTAGTGTCCAAATTCCAGAGACGTGCCGTTTTGTCCCATGATGTGCTCGCAAGAAGGCGGTCATTGCGAAATAAAGTGATGGCCTCAACAACCTGGTTGTGACCCTCCAGAACGGCGGTCTCGTGCCATGTGGCAGTGTCAAATATCCTAAGCGAGCCATTCCCTGACCCGGATATAAGCTTATTTTCATCCGACGTCCAGGCCAAGCTCCAAACCGCGTATTCGTGTTTGATTGTTGAGAGCAGCTTGCCTATCTTTGCATCCCAGATTTCGATTCCATCTTCGTTGTACCCTCCTGTCGCGATCTTTGTTGCCTTGGGCGAGTAGCTCACCACGTATACCGACTCGTGTCCCGTTTGGATTGGATTCAAACCTTGGACCATCAATGGTTCGCCGCTCTCGACATCCCACACTCTTGCCGTCCCATCCGCGGATCCGATCACAACCTGCAAACCATCTGGACTCCAGCATATCGAGTTGACGTCTTCACTGGGCTCTTTCCATTTCGTGATGACCATCCTTGTCTCAACGTCCCACAACCTCACTGTCCCATCGAGATAGCTGCTGGCAATAGTTCTGCCGTTTGGAGACAATGCCATGCTCCACACTCCTATTTCATCCCCCTCATCTCGCCAATCTTCACCTAACTGTGTACAGCTCTCTAGGTCCCATAGTCGAAGCGAGCCATCTCTCGAACATGTGATGATGCGCTGCCCACCAGGCAGGTGCGCAACGCCTCGGACCAGCTTTGTATGACCTCGCATCATCTTTTGGGTCTTTATCATTGATGCTCTTCTGATTTTAACAGCCGTGGAAGACATGGTCGACGCTCGAGGGTTATCAACTGAGGACAATGTGGACTATACGTGGAGAGCAGCTTGTTGGGGGTCTTTGAGCGGGTTGTCGTTGTCTTTCAGGCAAAAAGATCGTTGGTGAGTCAATAAACCTATATGGTACCTCCTGAATGAGTGTCAATCGACGTGCATGAGGCATTCCTCACGAAAGGGTTGGAGACACAGAGACAGACTTCGGGACGTTGTCCGCAGTATGTTTTCGATGCTGAATCTTGAAAGTTTGTAAGAAGTCTCCTTGACACTATTCAGTATGTACTCTTTTTTCACCCAGAATGTAACTTACAACCAGTCCCACTTAGAACAACTAGACACGGATTCAATGAACGCAAGATCGGGGTAGATGGCTGGCAGATGAAACAGTGGACTTGCAGCGGACGTTTAATTTTGGGTCGAGAGAATTGCACAAATATTTGTTGATGTCTTCTACATACTAACGTGCGTATTCCGCGTTATCCTCGTGTTCTCTTCACAAACGAATCGCCCCGGGCCACGACTCAGCCACGTGCGTCCCCTCGCCCCTGTTTTCCCCTTGGATCCTTGATGATCCGATTCATCTCCGCTCTCCGCATACGCGGTTTCTTCCAGCCGTTGGATAAGTAAATGCTGATTATGCAACGAGGAGTATCAGATTCTCCGAGCGAGCAATAGATGTGGTTTGTGCTTGCCCCATGTTCACCATCGCAGAACATCACTGAACACTTTCTTTTTCACATTTCACCACTCCCTTTGGACCAATACATGCTACTCTTCCCGCCTTTCAACATATTCAAAGCTATTTCCCGTGCAGACAGTTACGAGGCTGACCGTCCAACGTCACAACTTGTTTTGTCTTTTCTTGGGCGATCGACGATTAGAGCCGGAGAGTGCTACGGACTTCTACCTGAATGCTTACCATTGCTCCATAGTCCCATCCCTTGTTTCGTAGCGCATTCCAATATATTTGTTTATACGAAGACTTGTTCACGGGTGTCCTAGCGACACCCAAACATTCGTTAATGTTTTCTACCAGGTGTGTCTTCCATTTGTATCCACAGTTGACGGTGTTTGCTGCGCAGATGCAGTGCCTGAGCAATTTAAACAAGGGACGCGGGAGAAATATTGTTCTCACCAAGGACCACGACGATGCAGTTCGTCCATGACGGAAGTTGAGAGAGATATAAACGCGGATTTGAACAGACGCTCAACGCAACAATGGAGATGGATAAGTAACGTGATTCTCGCCTTAGAGGAGAGTGCAGTTCTCACATTTTGTTCCCAGGCTGCTCGAAAAATCAGAGAAACAAAAATCAGGCTCAAGCAATAAATACCTCAATACCCAGTCGGACCTATGTGTCAAGAAACCAATTCGATATTCCGAATCTCGATGTCAGTCTTTACTCAACATATGCTGTACATATCTTTGGCAAAGCTATCGATGCTGTAACGGATACTGAAGCCTTCAAAGTTGAACTGCTGTCCTCGTTGCTGCGTGCATGTTGCATAGCTATAGCCACTTCTGTCGCGGTTGGAGGGGCAATGAGAAAACGGTTGCATGTGTTGGGGTGGCAGTCTGGCAGATATACCAGTGGTCTGGCGCAGGTCTCAGGAGTGCCAGGGGTCCTGGCGCAATGGCAGGAGTCCTGAGTCCTGACTCATAGTCGTTAGTTTACCCTCGATAGATCGGACTCAGCCTCCCGCTATAGAGATTTGGCCTTGGGTTTCCCTTGCAGTTCGCGTCTGGTCCACCGTGACCTCCAAAACAGACCAACTGCTCTCGCGAGTCGCGACCACGAATTCTCCAGTGATGGTGGCCTTCACGTCTGTGACGGAGATGGCCACTGCCACTGCCACATCTGTAACCACTACCACGACAGCAGCCGACTGAGGTTGCAATGTGCGGCGCTACTTATTGGACTTTGATGCAAATGTCGCTCCTTCATATAAACTCCTACCTTCCCTTTCGTTCAACCACGAGTGTACGTGTTGGATACGTTACTTGCCCAGAAAATCGTGAAGTCTGCGGCAGTGTGTGCCAGTGGCTTTGGTCTAATTTGTTTCCCTTGCAAATTGCCTTCACGAAGACTATCGGGTTTCGGAAAGTCCAATTGAGGCCAGCTTTAGCTTCTCGCGATCGCAACCCGAGACGATTAATAACTTCAAGTACTACTACCAGCACCTCGAATGACCACGGGCGGGTAAAGACACTCTCAAAACCTTGCCTTTTGACGTGCGTTATATCGATCACAATAACTCTTGACGGTTGTCCAGTGAGTAGCAGATCGTATCTGACACGAGACTAATCAAAAACTACCCAGTGTCCAGTCGTGATTTGCATCCGCAATGCACGCCTGCCTGCAGATCTCAGAGATTTTGCAAGTCATTTTTGCGAACGTGACAGAAGTCACGGCGAATGGCGTCCAACCATCATATACCACTCTGTACCACCTGGCGTTGACGTGTCAAACTTTCCGAGAGCTGGCACTGGACACCCTATGGGCGCATATACAAGCGTCATACGCGCTTGTCATGTGCCTGCCTCAGGACGCTCGTTCTCCACCATGGATTTGATCGGAGGGGATCTCAGCATGTTGGGAATCTCTATATGCCGTTCCGATATGGCTATAACAGGTAACATGGTGGTGAGTTTGGTGTTCTTCTCTTTTGAATGTACTTCATGGTATATCGATTTTAGAGGCTTCTCAGACCATTAGTCGATGATGATTGGGTTACTTTTCGAAAGTATGCGCGCAAAGTGCGCTCACTCACTTTCAAAAAACATGATGTGAGACATTGTGGGCTGCGTGATAACGTTGCACTTGCTCTTTTGGACTCTCATGCTTCGCCGTCCCCATCGTTTCCTCTACTCCACGAGCTGTACTGGTATGACATGCGTGATGCGCTTCTACCTTGCTTGCACCACTACATTTCCGCGTCCCTTACTCGACTTGTCATCCATTCGGAGCATTGGCCATTAGCAATGGTCGATCTCTTGGCAGGCGTGGGCAAGGCTTGTCCTAAGATCAAAGAATTTCGTTGTTCGACCCCACCCGCTAGTGCATGTACCATGCTGTCAGATATCGTCACTTACTGGGACGATCTGGAGATCTTGGAGACGGTGGCAGTGAATGCACAGGCATTGAAGCATCTTGCATCCCTCAAACAGCTGAGGGAGCTGAAGATGCTCGTGCCAGAAGGTTACAGCCTAGAACCGACGTCGCCGTTCAGCGTCATATTTTCGGTGGACAAAATCAGTATGACTGCTCCAAAGGTCGAGCATCTTCTCGCTTTTTTGGCCCCCTTGCAACTCTCTGCGAAGAGCGCGCAGCTGAATATCAAGACAGCTCCAAACGCAGTTGATCTCGGCCAGCTACTTTCCTCCATCACAGAGCATTTCAAATTCAACGTTTTAGAATCGTTGAATGTTGGGGTGGCTCGCCCCACCGATTTCGCCGATCACGCCCTTTTCGAACCAACCGCTTCCGCCTTACGAGGGCTACGGGCCTTCACAGGGCTCACCAATCTCAATCTCAGCTCAATGCATATTTCTATCACCGATGATGAAATTATAGACCTTGTTTCTGCTTGGCCGCAAATGAAACATCTTTATCTTGACACGGACCGGAGCTGGGAAGTTACCCGCTTGGGGGTGACATTTCTCGGGCTTGCAGGTGTTCTCGAGCGCTGTCCAAAACTGCGTTCGCTGGGGATCAATCTAGATACAACGGCCCTTTCTCACACCCACCACCAATACACTGGCATCACCAGCGAGCAACTCACTGACCTACATGTTGGGTATGCAGAATGTAACGATGTTGAGGCCATTGGCAACCTGTTAGCTGGGGTGTGTCCCAACTTGAGCCATATCTATTGCACGCGTCCCGTAAATCCCGATTACGAAGATGTTTCCACTCATCATACATGGTTCGAAGGGGCAGGAACATGGAAAAAGGTCGAAAATTTCATCATTCAAAGGAGAAGGGAGCAACTAATACGACAATGGCAAGTTCACTTTATAGCCACGTAGTCGTGCTCTCACATTTCCCGGTCTAGGATATATACCGGCCGTTTCTGATGTAAAGAATTGGTACAAAGCACCCGAGCGAGTTGCTTTTTTCTCGTGTACAAGACAAATGTCAGTAATTCTATATATTCGGAGGAATCTGTGATCATACAACGTGTATGCCCCATGGCAGACATCGCACTGGCATGCTGAGCTATTATAATGGTATTTACTTGTAATGGGACGCGAGCGCAGCATGGCAGCTGACCCCTGCGGCGTCGGTCTGGGTGACAAAGGTCGAACACGTTGAAAACAATCAGTAAGTGCGCACTCATTCCACAATTGCCATCACCGTCAGCTTTTCGAGTAATCCAAGAGTTCAAGAGCTTACCAGATTTCTTAATGTTCCCGGTGTTCCTGACGTTAAGGCCCCGGGATCGTTCCCCCTCTGCATTCCCACAAGATCATCCATGCTATGATTGCGTTCACAATTTTGCATCCGAAGCACGGGGGCAAAGTCACTCTACTTCCGATGCTCTCAAGTATGCATGCCAAAATCGGGCCATCCATCTCGCGAGCTCAGAAATCATGGAATAATGCGTTTTGATCATATGTTCAAGTCTTTCTGGCATTAGCATCTCCTCGTTTGGCTCGAACGGCTGTAGTGTCTGAAACTTGAAGCCTGGGTCTTGCCTCGTCGTTTTATGAAGGACAGAAAATCGCAAACGTATGCTGATTTATAACGATTATTGGGATTAACCACCTAATTTGCGCACACAGTCACGAGTCTGCTCAGGTCCTCGTCGAAAACACTTTACGACATGTGCCCGTGGACAGTACTTTATCTACCTACCACATATCGTAGGTAATGATGAACTGAAACTGAAATAATGACCATAAAAATACAAAGAGGCTGTAACGCAGATGAAGAAGATAAACTGAGGTAATAAATCAAGTACGGCACGCTATACATTTATACATTTGCTTCCGCCGACTTCGCCGAAACAGAATACGACTGTAAGTCACTGACACTGTCCTGCTCTGGCCCAGCTGCTTGTGCCACGTTGGTTCCTTCAGCTGGGATCGATGTAGTCCCTGCGAATGCTAGAGTCGTAGGTGCTGCTGGAGCATTTCGGGTCGACCAATCATGTGTAACTGCCCTCCCCCGTGCCACACGTATGATGATGAACAATTGCGCAATGCCCTATTTTAAAAACGAAATAAGCTAGTATCGGAGAGACGGATATCTCAGGTTTCTGCCTGCTCACCTGAACTTGGATAACAGACAAAAAGCATAGCGTGGAGAGAGACTCTGAATGCACAGCAAAACCAACTATGAATATAATGATGAAGACAGTGTATGCCATGGCGGACTCGACGACCATGAGGATGATGGTATCATAAGTGCTAGAATCATATTCAGCCTTGAACGCCGTCTTCATCTGGCTTCGTATGGAGAGCAAACGTTTCGCCACGAGAATGGTATAAAGCATGGTGTGCGCCACTTGGAAGGCGAGGTATACAATCTGTGGTATTGATACTGTAAAATGGAGTCCCGGTACCTGCCTGGACCAAGACGACGATGGCTGCTGCTGCTCGAGGTGTCAGTAACTACGGCCGTTTGGTAAACAATGTAACTGCACCAATTATGCCAATATAGAGGGCGACCATGGGGATCATCACGCGTCTTCCCAATTCCATATCACTAAAACATCGGTAAAGCTGAGTATTTCAAGCGTCAGGCTTGCACATACAGCAAACTATTCAGCTCACAAGCAGTGCTTGCATCAACCACTCCCCGACGTAACCACTAGATGAGACCGTCAGCGTTATGTGTAGATGGACAGCTAAAGGTGCTTACCAGCATATCGCCATAAAGTTGATACGGTACTGCATTACGTTCTCAATCAACGCAACGGGACCACCAGGTGCGTCACGAAGGTCTATCCAAATCATCTCCGTATATTTTGTATTGACACCAAAGTTTATCGTCGTAAGCGCGAATGTGATGAGGGTGTAACAAAGAAGCGCGCGACGATTATTTGCAATTTTCTGCCCATGTCGGGGACGTTGCATGAGAGCAATCACCGCTTGTACAGTGAGGAGAAGGTATGCACCTATCATGGTACACAGGTTAACCACCAAATTATCGTGTGTTGGCCGAAGACGCACCGTAGGATACACCTCCCAAAATCACTCCAATAAGACGAGAGCGTTCAAGCGGCAAATCTGTCTGTGGGGTATAGGACGACATGATCCAAAAATTGGGAAGATCTGAGTGGATGTCGGGAAGATGTGTCCTAATATGCGGCACTAGCAGGGGTGAGAATAACCGGCAGGGTGATTAGCCCTAGACAAGAAGAAGCAGTCACATATGGCAGAGTCTCGGAACAGAGTTTTCACTCAAGAGAAAATATCGACACTGGGAAGTAGAAACCCTTTTACGTGAAGCGATAAAGACGAGGGCGACAAAGGGTTGATATATTAATAATCCATATTGCAACGTGCCGTGAAGACTTTGACGTGGGATCGAGCGAGAGAATGGACTAACCTCAAGCATAGCTTCAGGCGCTGAAACATAAGCTTCTCATAGCTTTGCTGAATTATGAATTAGTTGCTCGTCCTGGATCCCAATGAGTCATCTGCATACCATTTGATACTGCTGGTGCCTTTAGGCTCGCCCCATGCACATCGCAGTATTCAAGCAAACAAGCAAATACTCACCCAGGTGACCCTGTTAGGTACGCATTCGTACCCTGACAGAAATGAATGACATCATTTTCATCTAGTTACAGCCTTTACAGGCCGGCATCAGTGGTTGACTTCCCGCAGCGTTTAGAATTCCAGATATGCGTTCCAAACCTGCGCCGAGGAGCCGCTGTCAAACGTAAGCAATTTCCAACTCCGTACGTCAAATGCACCCCCTTCCAGTTTCAGATCGTCGTTCTAAACGATATTTCAATGTCCGCGGCGATCGTTTAGGGCATATTGCTCCCACAGTCTTTTTCATTCTGCACTGTACATGCACTGTGTGTGTTCCCGACCATGCAAGAGGTTCATCTTTCTATATTTCTGGGCGATTACGGTGCATTTCCATGTGATGTGGCAAGGATAAGAAACAACTAAGCAGCCCTTACAAAATTTTCTGTATGTCCAAGTCTCCTGGATCCTCTCTTTTATACCAATCAACGTTCATTTCAAAATTCAGGTCTATGCTGCATTCTGCACCATGTGCAAATGTCACTTGAACTGCCAACTCACACAAGAGGTCCATTTTTTTGTATCTCGGGACGTAGATGGTGCACTATGCGCTTTGTGATATATTGCGTGTAGTATAACCGCAGTTTGGCTACGGCGCGCTCCGGCTTGGCATTCACCGGTTTGCCAGTGTTTGGGTTATGCTAGTGAGCTAGGCCACTTATGTATAGTTTGGTTTGGTTTGTTAGCTGGACAAAGTGCCTTGAACCAACTGTAAGCCAAAAATCATGAACGGCGGCTTGAGCTGGCTTGAGGCCACTCAAGCTGATTTTGAAATCACTGGCACATCTTTTCTCAAGTCTCGCTCGTGGTTGGATTCACTGTTGGAATTGTTGTACTCAAGGCTCAAGTTACCACATACCATGAATCATCAGGTTCCAATATGAGTTGATGGTAGATTCAGACTTGGAGATGTTGTGGGATCTGGTTCATATGGTACGTCGTTCACAAAATGACTACAATGTAAAAATTCAACATACTATGGACCCTTAGTTGTTGTATACCATGGACGGAACATCATCAAAGATGACGCAGTTGCGATCAAACTTGAACCTATTGTCTGCCACTCATCTTCTGTACAGCACAAATACACCATTTTGAAACTGACTTGAAGGTGGAGTTGGGATACCCCACGCCCTCTGGTTTGGTAGAGAGGCAGCATATCATGCGTTGGTTCTTGACCTCCTTGGGCCATCACTGCAAGATCTTTTCCTCGCACACAATCAAAAATTCAACCTTCACACTGTCGTGCATCTAGGAGACCAACTGGTCAGTTGGTTTATGCTGTGTTGTTGCAGATAGGCTAACACATTTCCCAGCTCTCACGTCTCAAATACATCCATGCACACAATTACGTTCACGGTGATATCAAACCGCAGAATGTCTTGGTGGGTCTTGGCCATTTGAGGCACACTGCATATATCATCGATTTTGGTATCGCGAAGGAATACTGGAACACTACAACCAGAGTCCATATCCCATTCCGTCAGAATCAAAGTCTCACTGGCACTCCTGTGTTCGCTTCAATCAACAATCACTTAGGAGTTGACCCAGGTCATTGTGACGATCATTGAGTCCCTTACATACATGTTGATCTATTTGTTGCTGCGGCTCCCTTCCATAGTTAACCAGTGACCATGAGAAGCTATCCAGCTCTTCTATCCTCGAGCGCAAGGTCAACACCACCATTGAAGTTCTATGTGATGGAATTCCTGTCGAGTTCGCAAGTATTCTCATCTACACACGCTCTCTTGCGTTCTCAGAGGACCCTGACTATGGGCATCTTCGTTCATTGCTTCACAGTCTTCAAGCCACATTGTCCGCACCAGCTACGTGCTCACTGAATTTCTCCCAACCTGATGATCACATCATACATCCCCCTCCAATCTCCAATGAACATTGGATTGCTGAGGCAGCGCCCCCACTGGCATGTCCGCCGGATGCAACACCTCTTTGGCAGATTGACTCGTGTGTGAGTGATCTGTTTCATTTTCCCATTCGCAATCTTAAGCTCAAGTAATTTCCAAGTGTACGCCCACATAACGGCTTTCCGATGCACCCAACTACTTCAGCTCCATGCCGTAACAAAATACTAGTTGCTGGCTGTTGAATCCTCATCTCTATCTGTACATAATACATATATAGTGTACGAGCCAACAGCATTTCTGGTCAGATGCAGGCCATGCGGCCTTTGAAATACAAGTCAGGTGAAATTCGAATCATCCTCCCACACAGCTCTAGCTTCTTATCTTTCTAAAATTTCACACTTGCCCGTCGTCTCCTTGCCCGTCATCTCCTTGCCCCTTGCCCTCCTTGCAAAGCAATCTGCAGATCGGTTGACCTGCGATGGAAACAACTTGTTCCAGATACTTACTCCTGAGGCCTGAGGCCTGATATCAATCAGACTCACCTTATCAGATCCAATCAGCAGATTCAGCACCATGGCCAGGCTGCCTACTGTATGGCGCATGGGGGATTTTTCCCAAAACCCCACTTCCCTTTCGCTGTATTGTGATCCAGGTTCAAAACTCAATTGATCAGGGCGAATGAAGGTAAGCTTTCACTCACTTGACCACCTTCTTAGTGATAAGTCTAGCAAACCGCAAGCATTCATTAACGGAAGACAGACCAAGCAAAATACCAGATTTAGTGCCCATTAAAATGCACATTTTATGGTATCCTTCTCATCGGGTAAGGTCTATGGGTGGTTGGCATCAGGGAAATCCCACTGACATGTTGTGTTCCCTAGGACAACTCGAGCGCGAAAATCTCATGGAAGGTACCCTGGTACCCTGGGCGTATGTTCAGGTGTTCCCCTTCTGTGTATCACTATAATGATGTATTTAGACCGTACTTCGCTTGTGTGATACATTGGCCTGATTATTAGGTGACTCAGTACTAGGGTTTCCCCGTTATTTCCCCAGGACGAAGGCCTATAAAGACTCTGTCTTTGTATCTTCACCATTATGGTCACTTGAACATGCCTCCTCGTCGACGAGGGCAGAAGTCTCAGGTTACTACCACGCCTACTCCTGCTGCTCCACCTCTCCCTGTTCCCCACTGCTGCTGCCCACATCATTGCTGCCCCCACCACTACCGCCCATGTAGCTGCTGCCCCTATCACTGCTGCCCCCCTTGCTGCTACCCCCATTGCTACTGCCCCCATTGCTATTGCTGTTGCATTGAATGCAACTATGCTTCAGCACCCCCATAGACAACAACAGCTACCTCTGAGGTTCTGCGACGACAACCCAGCTCACACTGGCACAAGTCGTACAGCAGACGACAGGGAATATATTGAGATCAGTAATGTGTCTGGGGATGAAGAAGGATGATTTGCCTGCACCCGGAGTCAGGGCTCCTCCAGTCCTTGGCCCACTGCAGATGGCTACTAGTACCGTCTTCTCCACCCAAACCAATCCCTTGGCCACGGGTATCCCAGGACCACAGATTAAAAGCATGGCTGATATCCATTTCTTCTTTAGGTTGGATTTAGCTACTAATCACAAGATTTGCCAAGCCTGCGAGTGAGTATGTGTCTGCCATTCTTTCATTCTTTTTTTTACAACCTTGTCCAGGGCATTGCAGAAGACAGACATTTCACACACAGTCACTTCATACAAGCACACAACCAGCACTTCTGCCCATCGTAACCATGCCTTCTATAGCCATACCGACCTATACCTACAAGAGGCCGAGCGCCTGCACTGGCCTATTCTTGTAAAGTCGCTGAAAGGGCGCCTCAATGAAGGGTGGAATTTGGCGGCCATCCGTGAAAGACTACAGGACCCCACTTATCATATTGACTCGCTTGGTTCCATCCCCAACCATGCACATTCGCTGCCCGGAACTGGCTTATCTCCGGATGATCATTTGCCAGATTTTAGCATTGACAAGATGCACCGTCAATTAGTGAAGTTCATAGTCGCAGACGATCAGGTGAGTGGTATTTACTTCCTATGTGTTCTTCTTAATTGACTATCCACAGGCGATAAATATAATCAAATGTGTAGAGTTTTCGGCAGCTGATACATCTTCTGCGGAGGGAAGTGAATGAGTCCAACATTCCCCACCGTACAAAACTTCGCGAATTGATTATTGTCTCATGGCACAAGTATTTTCAGGTGTTGAAAAGTGATCTTGCAGTAAGTGTCTGGTTGTTGAGAGTCCTGTCAAGTGTCTTATATAACTTTACAGAGGGTGCAAGGAAAAGTATCCTTCATGTGTGACCTCTGGTTGGATAAGAAACTCTGCCCGTTCATGGCGCTCACCGCCCACTGGATTGCAAAGGAAGAGAAGATGTCAGTGCTTGTCTTGAGGGTAGCCTTAATTGCCTTTCACCACGTTCCTGGAAGCCATACTGGCAAATCTCTCGGTTCAACATTACTGTGTCTCCTCGATTGTGCTGACGTGGCAAAGGATGTAAGTGTTTAACTGTACTTATATGACACGCTCTGACTTCATATAGCCTGGACATTTCACTTTGGACAACGCTGCTAACAACAAAACATCGATGAAGGAGCTCTCCTGCTTACTCGAGGAACACCAGATCGAATACGATCTGATTGACAACAACATTCCCTGTTTTCCGCATGTGATCAACATATGCGTGAAGCACATCGTTGACGACTATGTCACAGCAGACTTTTCATGCATGAATGACACATGGGATGTTTGCAGTCAACCTATTGACAAGAAGGATTATGTGAGCGCTATCACTGGTAAAGCTCTCAAATGTGCCAGAAATGTCGTGCGCTCCATTCGTGCATCAGACCAATGACGCAAGAACTTCAGGGATACAATTGTGATAGGTAATGACAAGGAATGGTTCCAAGGAGATGATGGCGAGCCCATAAAGCTCCCTACAGTCGAACTCCTGCTTAATGAACCAACACGTTGGGATTCAGTTTATGTGATTGTTAGAATTACATAGGTAAAAGGCCTGTCACAAACATTGTCATGGACTACAGTTCCAGGCAGTTGATTAAAGTCAGCCAATCAAGTCCTACACGAAACAAGTGAGTTGAATGGCATTCTTACGGATTGAAGTAATTCTTGAGGTACGTTCATTTGCCATGTTGTAATTAACGTTGATGGCCCCACATAATTGAATGCATTATATTCTATGAGTGCGAGTCAGCCAATCACGTCAACTTCCATACACGTATAAAAAGTGCCTGAGTCCCATGAGATGGAGTGGGCATTGATCTTGCAGGACTGAGCTTGAAGTAATTCCTTGAGGTACTGTCTATGATATGGTCGTCGAAAAAACCGATGTGATAATGTATTAACTGTGGTGATGTCAGGCGCCCCGCACATTCGCCAGCCGAGCATCGCCTATGTTCGAGTCAAGAGTTACAGCCTCTCACATGTTGGGATGTTGCTTGTTGATTTAACCGAGACTTTTGAAAGGTTTACTCGGGATTGGAAGGCGTTGGCTGATGGCGCCCCGCACTGTGCGCCACTCATTAACATTGGTTTAAGTTGGGCGGAGAAGTACTGATGACCGGATGGCCTGCACGAACACCATATTCAGTTGCGATGTCGTCAGTCCCTTGCACTTCATTTAAGGTTGAGTATCTCATGATTTATTTTACCAGTCGTTGATCCAACATGCCAACTGTCATGGGTTGAAGAGCACTGGGACGAAAATCAAGTCAAATCGGCGAAGGAATTCATTCTAAATCTGGTACGTTTATTTAGACAACAACAGCATGCGCTCACATGTCCTGCAGATGCATGCCAAGCAAGCACAAAAGATCCCAAATGTACCAGTTCCAACACTCCCAGTCTCATGACTACAGATGCGCACACTTGGCTCGTGTGTCTACGGACTTCCTGAGAGGGGTGTACTCCCGCATTGCCCTGATATTGTCCAGACAGTTGAACAGGAGTTTGGGGCTTATAATACCGCTAACCTTAGTCCTGGGGGAACGAGTGTACTCTCCTTCTGGCAGGTGAGAGTCCCGTTCTCCGCCAAGTTACATTTGTTGACTGCGAGGTTTTGACCAGATGTCTGAGGCGATGTTCCCAACTATTTACGCCATTGCTATGGACTACCTCCCAATCCAGGCATCTGCCGTTCCCTGTGAGCGGGTATTCTCGTCAAGCAGCAAAACTGTACACCAAGAAACGCAATCGAATCAGCCCGGTCCTCATGGAGGCGCTACAGATGGTTAAGTTCTCCGTCAAAAAGGAGTGGCTCAACTTCACCAAAGGTTGGGCAGCATCTCAATGGGCCATGGAAGGTGCCATGGTATCTGACAACAGCTCCAAAGAGCTTTTGGCACCTGTTTCTAGTGAAACAGCAGGTGACAGCTTGCACATATGATGCTGTTCTCAGAGCCATGGCTGAGCACGAGTGCGATGACATCATTGACCAGGCTACCATCTATGATACATGACATATCCTCGAACTTAGATTTTTTTACCCACATTTCTTACTTTTGCTTACCATCACACACCTTATGATTCTTTTTGCAGTGTGTTTGTATATTCAATTTCAATTGTTGGTTTAGGATCTCCTGCAGTACCTCCCCAGTGCCCCCCCACCCTTTGACAACATTTCCCCACACGTGAACCAGAGCAGTTTGTTGTTGTCTGTGCCCTGGTGTTCCAAGTCGGAACCCAAACATGCATACTTTAACTGATCTACTGCGCGCTGCTACTTAGCTGTGAGTGACAGTCGTCTCAAAGGTGGCTTGCGCATGCCTGTATTTGTAAGTTCCAAGTTGAACTTCCGTGGCCAGACTTTGGCTTTGGATGCTGATTGCTGGAATACTGTTGAACATGTTTGGGGGGAGCACAGCTTCTTCAAATTACACCCTTCATGCCCAGTATTGCGGTGTCATGCATGATATGGAAATCATACATGGACATATTCGATATATACAAAAGTCTGCAGCAACTTGCCCTATAGCTTTGCCCTTAGGATACTTGCTTTGAGACAATAGATGAGAAGTTGAAGAAAGAGGAAGAAAGAGTTGTGCAATTGTGTTAGAATCTGGTTCCTTTTGTTCTGTCTGATATTTGATGGTTGTGACTCTTACATAATCTTCTCATTGTGTCTCTTTGTTTGTTTGTGGCTCATTTGCTTTTATCATGTGGCTTCTCTCTTTTAGGGAAAGCTTACATAACAAGTTCACACATGAATATTCAGAACTTGGCAAGATCAACCTTAGTCAATTCTGATGACTCATGAACTCTGTTTGACTGCTCAATTTGTCATCTGGAACCACTATTTGATTATTGGCGATCAGAATGATCAGACTGAGTCAGTTCTATTTTTATTTAATAGTATACATGTAATATTTTATTACAAATAAGTGGAGCAGGATATTCCAGATATTCATCTGGCACCCGGGTTTCTTTCCCATGCCAAATGTATAAACAGGAGGGCTTCTTCTCCACTGTGCAAAAAAGATTTCCCACTTCAACTCTGTCTGTTACAGGAAGTGCAGGGACCACTGTCTCCCTTGAAATCACTCTTGTCTACACTGAGATTAGGTAATCTTAGTCCTGTATTTACTCACTACTGTTAGACTCCAACTAGTCTATCACTTGTATTTAGTTCTCTAGTCCTTTGTTGGTCTAGATCTGTTGTATTCTTGTTGTGATTATATCAGCAAGGATTTGTCTGGGAAAAGCTTTGTCAGCATTTCCATATTTTGTCTTTAGCACCTTTCAGCCACAACTTCAGTGCAGCTTAGTCATTAGGTTCACACACCCTTCCAGCTTGAAGTATCTGTGTTTAGCCTGTTTATTCTTTGTTAAACTCCGGTGCAACCCACCAAAGTTTACCTCCCGTTGAGGGCGAGGAATGATAAATGGCTACTAAGGGGGAGTGTGTAGTGAGGCTCTCAAGTGCTCCTCTGGAAGCGAGCAACAGTCATCCCAAGGGGATTGCTACTGAGAATAGATTCCTCTAATATAAGTGAGGGAGATCCAAGACTAGAACTTCGGTCTAGGAAACCTAAGTAGAGCGCTAAAGCCTAAATGCACTGAGAATAAGTATGAACTGCGCGAGGTGCTTCGAATGCGCTGATGGTGCGGCCGCCAAATATAGGACGCGCGCTGAAAATGACTGATGCGGTGTCTTACTAGGATGTGAAAGGCAAGAAAATCACCAAATTTCACAATCCTCCACAGTCAACGGTTCAGACAATTACCAACGGTTGATAACGTGGTCGTTCATGGGGGACGAGATGTGTTGAATTTTTCAAGCGAACGCTAGTGATGTAAAAGAGGCAAAGAACGATAGAAACAATAGTAGCACAAGGTAATGCTATAAACTTCAGAATAATATGTTGCAGCTGTATGCAATGAGCTTGAACTT